TTCGACATCAGGGAATGGGTTGAACGCTGGTGCCAGCCATAACATCCAGTCCTCATGATGTGGGTCGGCTGATGCCCCTAAGACATTGGCCGTGCACACGGATCGCCAGTTGTTGAGATGAGTGAGAGTAGGCCATGGAGGAACGGTCACTTTGTCGGCTTCCCTCCTGGAAATTCTCACCTCTGTGACTTCAGGATCCGCGTCTCCATCAGGATCACGCGCATGCGAGCCAGGATCCGATTCAGGTTTGCCTCCACCGCTTTTCTTCTTATCATCATCATCGTCAGGCGGGTCAGGAGGGTCATACCCCGTGCCGGTTCCTTCATCGTGCTCTCCATCTTCGTTCTCGTCGCCAGCCTCGTCACCGTCATCGTCTCCATTATCCTCCTGAATCGTTTCAGCGAATAACCTCCACTCATCACGATCAGCTCTGAGACGTTGTTCGGCTTTCTGGGCCTTGAGTACTTCGCTTCGCAGATCGGCAATCTTCTCCTCGTACCGTTCCGCGACCTCTTTCTCGATCTGACGTCTCCTTGCTTCATGAATGGAATCGTCATAGGCAATAGGGGGACCGATGAGGTCGTTGCCCTTCGTAGATGCGGTAACACCGTCGATACCAACAGGTCTTGAGGAGCTGGCAGATGCTGTGGACTTCGATCCCAACATCCCGCGATCCTCCAAGAGTTCGCGTAGCTGTCGATCACGCACGGCTGCCGCATCACTTTTCCCATGAAATCCGCTTGGTATGCCGAACAAAGTGGCTGCACTAGGCGTGGAACGCGCAAGTGCTGGGCTGCTAATACCTGGCACGTAGTGCTCGGGCATTGCATCCGCCACGATTGGCATTGAACTGCGGCCAGTGAAGAAGTTTCCACCGGTGAATGGAATTCCATCCATCACAAGGTTCTTGTCCTTGTCCGATTCCGAGAATGCGAACTTCTCTTTGGCGACTGGACTAACTTGACTTGGGGACCGTATTTCAGGGGATCGTACCTCATCTCCTACGGAAAATGCAGGCATTACTTCCTTTCCTACGTGCTCCCAGCCAGACTCAGTAGTCCTCGAAGACATGGGCATGCTCGAAGGTCGCGTCGCTCCTCCTTGATTGGAGTTTCGCGCTGCCTCCAATTCGCTGCGTGTCCTCGCTTGAAGATCTTCTTGTGCTTTGAGCGTTTTCCTGAGTTCACTCAGCTCGTCGTGCAAGGTAGGCAATGATCGCCTTGCATGATCTTCATTCTGATGAAGTCGGTCCTCTGCTTCTTGCATCCTCTTCACAGCCATTTTGCGGTACTCTTCCTCTTCACCAAGACGTTCGCGAAGCCGAAATCGTTCTTGATCAATGGCTGCGCTGTTTCCAGCTAGCCCTTGGATCTCGTTCACAGCCCGCAACTCCTGGTTCTTGACCAAGTGGAATCGTTCCTGCATTGCTTGTAAGGCTTGTTCCGAACTTGCTGTGTTTGACCGGAGGACCAAGTTCTCTCTGGCGTGTTCATGAAGTTCATGAGTCAGACGCTCATACTCACGTGCCATAAGCTCACCATCGCCTTGCGCTCTTGCCTCCAACTGCACAAAGTTAGTGGCTGCCTCCGTGCGGAACACGTGTAGCTGTTGAGCTAACTCCTCGGCAACGGCATGTGCTTGACGTTGTTGAGCAGAGTTCTGTTCATCCATGCGAAACAAAGCTGTTTCATAGTCTCGCTTCATCTCCTGATTGACATTGTTGATGTGCCTCATGGCTAAGCATGCATGGTCACGTTGTCGTTCCAATTCTTCAATGCGAATTCCAGATCCTTCATCTTCTTGTTGCATCTCCTTGATCTTGTCCATCAGGGTCTGGACGATTCCTTCGTATTCTTGCACCTGACTGCGATAGTACATCTGCTGTGCAAGGTTCGATGCTTCGAACTGTTGCGAAATCGTCAGTTCCTGATAGGCATTCGGACCATCAGCTATGGCAGGCGTGGCCACGGACGACGCATCACCACGTGCAGGAATCGTATCCAGAGTCATATCCAGATCGTCAGCATCGCGTGGTTGATTGGTAACCATCCGATTCCACGTCATGGACTTGTCACGCCCACGAGTGGCTGAGGTCCTCGATCGTGCTGAAGAGCTTCTCGAAGATGATGGCCTTGACTTCTTTTCCAAGGTCTTGACTCCTTTGTCCTTGGCCCTGGACGTAGTCCGAGGTGCCTGAAAACCAGACGCTTCGGCCCGTCGTTCTGAAGCCTTGCCCGTCCTCGAACCTGTGGATGTCGGACGCGAAGGCGTAGATGCTCTTGGTAGACTCTTTGCTTTCCCCTTGGGAACTGCCTTTGCAATGGCAAGCGCAGAAGATTGACCTTTGTCATCTTCCGTGGAGCTATCAACGGATTGCACCACTGTGTCATCAGCTGTTGACTCACCAACGGCTGGCGCTGCCACATCGGCACCGAAAGTCATTGTCGTATCTTGGCTTGATCCTGAGTTCATTGTGGTCGTAGTAGATCAAGTAGTCGTTGCTGTAGAAAGGCAGAGCCGCGTACGGCTGATAACCTGCGTGGGGGATTGATCTCGACTTGGTTGCTGCTCTCCCCACCAGAGCTGTAATGAATGTAGGTGTGGCTGGCTAGCACTCTCCACAGACTGGACCCTGTCTCTCCCTCTTACTTCCACACGTGCGATCCTATGCAGGCAGAACCGGCGGCCGTTCCTTTTGCACTCACTGCCGGCGGCGGTTCGTCTGTGCAACGGGATAGCTCTGATTGCTCAGGATAGAAGACACATATAGCACTTAGCTATGGGCATTGACTTGAGCCAAACGTTGCGTTGGCGGTCACATAGAAAGGTAAAGATGAGGGATGCGTAGCATGCCCCCTAGAGTCGAGGGACGCGTAGCGTGCCCCCTTCTCTTGCACTTTACACGGTCTTGCTCACAGCTCTTATAGTGACACCTTAGAACTTGACAAGGCATCGCAGTCCGTTCGCACAATAGTTTACATATACGTATGTAAATATATATATATATATATATATATACATATATATATATATATATATACAGGATCCAATGCAATTCCACAGCAACACGAATAAACTATTTTTCTAGGATCCTACTAGTTTCTTCCTATTTCAAGCCTCCCCCCCCACGTAGGGTTTGGACCCATGGGAAATAGAACAGACTCCACCCCTCGCCCCCACCCCAATATCAATACATAGATCGCCAGGGGCAATTTAAGGGTATAATGCTCATGTTCGGCAGGCTTGGTAGTTTCGGGTTGGGATGTGCGCACCACCATGCTCATCTTCTTCCTAAGTTCAGGGTCATCATCTTCGTCCTCCGTACACCACCACCGCCACCGCCACCGCCACCGCCACCGCCACCCCCGCCACCGCCACTCCCGCCACCCTAGCCACTGCCACCCCCGCCACCGCCACCGCCACCACCCCCACCACCACCACCGCCGCCGCCGCCACCGCCGCCGCTGCCACCCCCACCCCCACCCCCACCCCGCCGCCACCACCGCCACCGCCACCGCCGCCACCGCCACCACCCGCCACCCCGCCGCCACCGCCGCCACCGCCGCCACCGCCGCCACCGCCACCGCCGCCACCGCCACCGCCACCACCACCACCACCACCACCACCACCACCACCACCACCACCACCACCACCACCACCACCACCACCACCACCACCACCACCCACCACCACCACCACCACCACCACCACCACCACCACCACCACCACCACCACCACCACCACCACCACCACCACCACCACCACCAGCACAAGCACCTCACCACGTGCGATCATTGTCATGAGCATCCTCAACATGAGAATCATCATCTTATTCATCGTCATGTTCATTGATTCATCTTCGTCTTAAACTCACCATCATCGTCTTCCGCACCCCCCCCTCGAATCCTCCTCATCAGCAGCTTCAACTCTTACCACAAGCTTGTATATTCCTTTCCTGATCGTGCACATACTTGACCCTAAACCCTAAACCGTGACCTCTTTAATCCTCAACCCTAGACCCTAAACTCAAGATCCCGGACCCCTAAAGCCTAAACTCCTAAACCCCACCCTAAACCCTAAAATGCTAAACCCTGTCCTAAACCCTAAAGCCCTAAACCCTACCCTGAACCCTAAACCCTAAAGCCCTAAACCCTACCCTGAACCCCTAAACCCTGAACCCCTAAACCCTACCCTGAACCCCTAAACCCTAAATCCCTAAACCCGACCCTGAACCCCTAAACCCTCAACCCTGCAGTAACTCGTCGTCGACAATCCAGGGCCGGCACTTGCTCTGTGTCTGCTGCGTGCGCTGCTCCACAGACCTGGCCGAACTTGGGCTTAGGGTTTCCGGTTGGGGTTTAGAGGTTTAGGAGTTTAGGGTTCCCTTAAGGGCTCCTTTAAGGGTTCCATAAGGGTTCTATAAGGGATCTATCGGGTTTAGGGTGTAAGGACTAGGCGTTTGGAGTTTAGGGCTATCAGGCTTGGGGATGAGGGGTTTAGAGTGTATAGGGTTTAGGATTTCTAGGATTTCCGTGCTAAGTTTTGGATTTAGATCTTGCTGCAGTCGGTGCTCCCACTGCCGTTGTTGCTCCCGCGCTGCTGGTAGTAGCAGTAGCGGCAGTAGTAGCGGGTAGTAGGAGTAGTGGTCGTCGTCGTCGTCGTAATGGTGTTGGTGGTAGCAGTAGCAGTACAAGAAGTAGTATGTAGTCGTCGTCACAGTTGTAGTGGTAGAGCAGGAGGAGGAGGAGGAGAAAGCGGAGGAGCAGCAGAGGTAGCAGCGGCAGCAGAGCAAACGCACCAATGGTGGACATGCAATTTCCACGGCAGTGACCCGCATTTCCGCCCCAAATCGAAGAATTCTAGAATCCCTACCCATAGGCTCCATAGTAGTTCCTTTTTGGGACCCCTTATAGGATTCTAAATAAGAACCCGGAAAAGGAACTACTATGGAGCCTCTAGGTACACCCCAAACCTTCGAAATCCCTGCTCGAGTCCCAAGCCTAAGCTGCTCCATTGCCGTCGCTGCAGTGGTCCCGCGCGACTCCTGTCCAAGATCTGGAGGTCTGAGTTTAGGGTTGAGGGGTTTAGGGTTTGTGTTTCCTGGATTGAGTGGTCGCATTGGGTTGAGGTGAGGGAAGCCCACAGCATGGAAACACAGCACCAAAGCATGCAGCCAGAAATGGGACATTCCGAAAATTTGGGGTACTTTATTTTAGGGTCCTTCTAATAAGGATCCTACTATTTAGGGTACTATATTAGGGTCCCCTATTTTCGGAAACCCCCAAATTCAAACTCAAGCACAGCCCATCCCCTCAGCTGCCCCCTTCCCACGGTCCAGCTGCCGCGCGAGAGCACGCAACGCAAGATGCACCTCCTGCGGTCGAGATTGAACTTGGGACCATTGCGTCAGGGCTCAGCTTAGAGTTTGTAGCGCTACATGGGTATTTGCAAAAATTAGGGTCCCTTCATGGGCCATCATTTTTGACAACCACCCACATAAAGGTTTAGAATTTCGGGGTTCAGGGCTTTGGGGGTTTAGGGTTTGGAGCATTGTAGTAAACAGTTGTAGCCGTGGTTATGACAGGATTGAGGTTTGGTGATTAAGGGCTTTGGGGTTCGGTGCTGAACCCCAGACCCTCAAACCCAAAAAACCCTAAACCCCTAAACCTCTGAACCTTAACCCTAAACCAAAAGGAGACTCAGTTGGAGGTTTGGCTCTGGAAGGCTTACTGGCTTTAAGATCACTAAGACCGTACAACCCAAGCAAACTCAAACCCTCCCTTCCACTCTGAAGCTGCGACATGTGGGACCCCACGTGGATTTGATTTGGGGTTAGGGCTTGGGGGTTTCGGTTTTCTGACGTAGGGCTATCGAGGGCCAAGCCTGATGAACCTATAACCATAAGTTCCCTCCCTCCTGGGTGGATGCTTCGGCGCCCTTCACTTGTGCTGCGATATCCTGGCAGGGACCCGTGTCGCTTTGTTCCGTCCGTAAGGTTCATGGTTGGCAGTGGGTGTTGGTTAGGGAACGGTGTCAGGTGCCGCTGGGAAGGCTACAGTCTCGCGTACGATGACCAGTCATAACTTGGTTAGCCAGGAAATATGAGTTGTCGATGTTGTATGGTTACCACTAAGCCTATACTTTAGGGTGTCTACAGGCTCCAAGCTCCAAACCCTAGAGCCCATATAAGCCCTAAGCCCTAACATCCTAAACCCTGAGACCCAAAATTCTAGCCTTAGACCCTACGACAATCACAGTGTGCCTGTGGGGCCTGGTGATCCTACTCCCAGAGGTCCCTTAGAGGGCTTCCCATAGAGGTACTTTAAGAAGGCCTAAGTATATATTCTGTAGGTACACGGAGCCTTAGCAACAGATGGGAAAACGGCTGCCTACAAGTGAGCAAACACTGGTGGTCAACCCAAGAATCCCCTGGAGCCTTAGGTACTGTACTGTGCCCTAAACCCGAAACCATTTTGGACAAAGCCTTTTTTTCCAAAACCCGACACCCAAAGTGGAGCGGGACCTTTAGGTCCAAGGTTTAGGGTTAAGGGTTTTATTTCGGTTCTAATGGTTTGACGACTTAGGTTTTCAGCGTTTGGGGTTAGGTTTTAGGGTGCGGAATCGACGGCGGCAGCACATGAACCTGGAGAGCTAGATGGTTTACGTCCATGCAGGGCGCATTTAGTACATTTGCCGCGCTTGTCCTTTGAGTCTGGTGACATGTGTGCTGTGTTTGCGGTTCTGAAGTAGGTTCTTTGGTAGTGCATTCAGATGCTACATTGCATTTCTACTGGCAGGGACAGCAGTTTTCAGTGTGCAAACATGCATAATGGTTTCAGAACTGAAATCGTGTCAAGCATGTGTCTGTGCATTCATTCTTAAAGAGAAGTCATGTTGCGTCTTGGAACTTCAGAGTTGGAGGACGCGAGTGGCTACCCTCTCGGTGTTTCGCGGCCATGTAAACTCTCACTTGAAGCATTGATGGAGCTTGACCCGGAGGATTTTCCTTCTTTCTCGCAAGGTCCTAGAAGAAACAGCTTCAGTCGCAAGGTCCACCTTTAAGCCTTCTTGAAACGCATGCGCATTAGTACATCAGAAGCAAGCCCGAATGTAGAGGTTTCGCTCTTCAGGATAATCCTCCAGGGTGTGGATGTTGAAGGTTGGTCTTCAAGGTACTAGTAGAAGCTTCGAACTTCAGAGTTTCAGGTGCTGTGTCTTGACGGTTGCTGTTGAAGGTTCAGGGTTGAGACTGAGAGTTTCATGGAGGCACGCTCTGGAAGCCGGTACCAACTAATGCCCTGAAGATTCGATGGAGTCTCTCATGATAAACACAATCCAAATCCCCAACGGAAACCCTGAAACCCTAAGTCCTGAAGACCTAAACCCCCTAAACCCTGAAACCCTAAGTCCTGAAACCCCTAAACCCCCTCAACCCTGAACCCCCTAAACCCTGAAACCCCTAAACCCCTGAAGCCCTAAACCCCCCTAACCCCCATCCTCCGATTTCTCCACCAGAGCCGATTTCATCGAGAGTGTCTTGTCGAACTTGGAGGCGACGATCCTCGGAGTTTTGGGCTTCGCGGTCTAGGGTTTAGGGTTTAGGGTCTAGGGTTTAGGGTTCACTGTTTAGGGTTTAGGGTTCAGGGGTTTAGGGGTTTAGGGATTTAGGGTTTAGGGTCTCGGTCTTAGTGTCTTTGTCTTTTTAGGGTTTAGTGCCTTAGCTAGGGTCTTTGCGTTTAGGGGCTTAGTGCCTTACCCAGAGTTTTTGGGGGGTTGTGGGTCTTACCTAGAATCTAGGGTCTTCGGGGGGGTGGGTATCTGTTGAAGTTGTTTAGAGAGTCTGATAAGGGTTTGATATGTTGCTTGCTTTCGGAGGGATCCTGGGCGGTTTGTAGGGGTTTTGTAAGCCAGGCTCTACACGAGAATCTTTCGGTTGATGGTATAAATCCTGCATGACGCATGATAAGGACTATACCACAATTCCCATAGTTTAGGGTCCTTAAGGTAATGCAGGATTTATATCATCAACCGTTTCGGTGCTTGCAGAGGTTTTGCATTTCTTCCAGTGATCGGCGGAGCGGAGATCTAAGGTTTAAGAGCACCGTCGTAAAGAATTACTTGGAGGGTCGGGGGACTTAGTAACTGGCTATTGAAAAAGGGCTTATAACTAACATAACTCCACTTAGGGTCCCTTTTAGGTACTTATAAGTCTACTTACTAACTACTTACTCTAAGTCCCCCGACCCTCCAAGTAAGGTTTAAGCGCACGTCGTGAAGATTAGGAGCTACCAGTCGGAAGCTCAAGGATTCTGGCATGACAGCAGTGGCAGCCGCAAGTATGTGACGGACTTCAAACCAAGCAAACAACGTGATACACCTACAGACATCTTCATACGTAGTTTGCATATACATACGAATACACGTGTAAACATAAATAACTCTAGTTAAAAATCGAGATATATGCATTTACATATGCGTATGTATGTAAGTACGTATGTATGTATGTTGTAATTATGCCTCGGTGCCCTATCTCTCAATCCTAGCTGTCCACGAATCGGCCTACTTGTTCAGTTCTGCGGGGACAAAAGATGGTTTCCTGATGCAGAATCTTGAACATGTACTAGGATGCCCAGCAACCTAGTAATAAGAAGGGCTCCCTGTTTGGTATTGGGTAACTTTATAAGGAACCTAGGACTACAAACAGGGAATAAGGGTAGCACTGGGCATCCTAGTGTAGGTTCTTTCGTGCCAAAGGTATACCTAACTGTTGTACATCCCAAATACTGGGATCCGTAATGCAAACTGTTCTGCCTGTTCGTGTCATGACGATACCTCGCTCCGTCCACCTTTTTCGGCATCGCAAGGACAACAAGCTCATCGGATCTGTATCTGCATAGGGTTTCGGGTTAAAGGGCGTACTCCGATGCTGCGCTGCTGGATTGGCATCTAGAAGCAGATTCATGGGTTCTGTCAGGGCATGTCTTAACATGCGACCCCACAACATAAGGAGTTTGAAAGCACCAGGCTCCTCCCCAGAGAAAACACAGACATCTCATTGTAGGTCCCTCACAACCCTTAACCAAGAAGGTCCTTTCTTCAATAGGGATGACATTGCCCAAACCCTAAACCCCAACACATTTGCTGACATTGCCCCCAACCCCAAGACATTAGCTCTAGAACCTAAACCCTAAACCCCAACACATTTTCTGACATTGCCCCCAACCCCAAGACATTAGCTCTGAAACCTAAACCCTAAACCCCAACACATTTTCTGACATTGCCCCTAACCCCAAGACATTAGCTCTGAAACCTAAACCCTAAACCCCAACACATTTTCTGACATTGCCCCTAACCCCAAGACATTAGCTCTGAAACCTAAACCCTAAACCCCAAAACATTTTCTGACATTGCCCCCAACCCCAAAAACATTAGTTCTAAAACCTAGACCCCCGCCGCGGCACTCGTTTGCCACGAGCTTGCCTTCGATCTCGGAGAGCTTTTCCCTCGGAGGCAGCACTGCACGGGTCGGGAAGCGCAAAGACGCGGGCCGAACTCTTTTGGACCGCTGAGCTTAGACTTAAAGCTCTTGTACTTACCTTTGGTTAGTACGGAATGGAGGAATGGGGTAGAATTATAACTACTATTAACTACCATTCTTCCATTCCCTACTAACCAAGGTAAGTGTAATGCTTTTGTATAATTTGGAGCTTAAAATTTCTCGTCTTAGGTTAGGATTTAAGATTTCGCTTTCTGGTGTAGGGTATTGTAGGGCCTAACCGGAGCATCTGGAGAGGCTTCTCGGCTTTTGTGGCAGGCTGGACTTGCGTTTTGATGTCCCTAATCCTAAGCACGCAAACCCCCAAAATCCTAAACCTTAAAGGCTCAGGGTGTAGGGCTTAGGGCACAGGGTTTAGGTTTAGGCTTGTTGTGGCTTTGCAGGATGTGCGGCAGTCGTGGGTTGCCTGGGATGCTTCGAGGTCCATGCTAACCTCTAGATGTCGCCAGGCTCAAATGCCAAAACGGCTCAATCATGCTCAAGCCCCATGCCTACTGTAGTTGCAAGCTCCAGTGTCCCTGATCCAGCGGTTCTTTTGGCCCTTGGCCATCACACATAACACGCCCTATTGACAACTGGCTCTAGCCGAAGCCTTAGCTCCTACCGCAGAGTAAGGTAAGGTTTCAGCCTTTAGCATGTGCCCAGCACATCGCCAGTTAAGCCCACGCCAAAACACACAGAAAAGCCCTTCAGACATCACGTGATAACGGTATACCACCGCAAGAAGTAGTTTGGACCGGTTGGTTAGGATTGAACATTGCGCTTCTCATCCAAGGTGCTTCACTTCGGCCTGAAGGCGACGCTGAGCGGCCCTCGACAAGATTCATGTGCGACTGGGGTCTTGGAGTCTTCAGGCTTGTAATATGCTGTCTTTAGGAGTTTAGGGGTTTAAGGGTTCTTAGATTTTCCGGCGGCTTCGCTTCGAGGCACTAAGGCTTTTGTCCGCTGGGGCGGGCTTCACCCCTGCTTGTAACCGATCGGTCATATCCCGGAGACTCGGATTCCTGTTCCTACTTGTCGGGTATCATGGGGAACTGAAGGTTAACCTTCTTGGTTATATAGGGATTATGTAGGGGCTATGCTACCCAAAAAAGGTTACGGTTAAAGGTAACCACTCGACTACTAGGGTCTCATGTCCCGGAGACTCGGATTCCTTGTGCAATTTCTGCTCCAAAGCGGACTAGGCTTCTTGCACCCTTGTCCTTTTAGAAATAATCGACGGAGCCCTATACCTATATCCCTTAGTAGGAATTATTTAAGAAGGTCTACCAGCCGGTCTGTTTATTCTTTTGGGGGAACCATGCAAAAGGACAAGGCCGTCTTGCAGAGGTGCAGCCTAGCAGGGTACGGGCTAGAAGGGGCCCCCACCCTGCAATAGTGACTATAAGGATTATATAGGATTATATTAGGGCCCTATTATATTCCTATTATACCACTATTACAGGGTGGGGGCAGCTTCAAGGTACGGGCTTGAGAGCCTGAGACGGAGCACGATGTGTGCTTGCAAAGCGAGGCCGGAACGAAGCATCAAGAAGCATACAGAGCCTCGATCTGTTGAAGGGCCAGACGATCCTAAACCCTAAACCCCTGAAGCCTAAACCCTATTTACAACAAAGGCAGTACAGAATAAGAACGGAGGCGACAGCGACGACGATTGCGACAAATATGAAGATGCTTTGGAGCAGCACGGATGTCATGCAGCTGCCGATGGTATCGACGGTGGTACTGGTCTTCATGATCACAGCACAACTCCGAAGGTTCTTAGGTCACTCTTGTCACTTCTTCTGTGGTTCTTGTCTACACCCCAAACCCTAAACCCTGTTCTGAAAGAGTAGCACAGGCCTCTGCTCCACCGACTGGTAAAGCTTGCGCTGGCTGGAAACGTCGGATTGCACCTTCATCTAAAAGAAGCGAACACAGAAAGATGAGGTATAGTATGTATATCTATATATATATATAATGCAGGTTTATGCTCTATAATATATGATATAAGATATGATACATAAGTGGTGGGCTTGGTGCAAACCGTCCCGAGGCTTACTGTGAAAGGCTTCAATGGTGTGTCCTCGCCTGGCAAGCACTCGCCCCGACCTGCTGTGCCTTCGCAAGCCCTGAACTTTCAAGAACGCAAACCCTAAAATCCCAAATCCTGAGCCTTGAACCCTCTATATTCTAAGCCCTAAATCCTAAGCCTTAAACTTTGCGCCTGAGCTTCTCTGGGTCTTGCCCTTTCCCTCTGCTGGGAGCTCAACACCGGGCGCTTGGGCAAGAAAGCTCCTCACCACAACGCGGGGCCCTCAAACTCAACTCGTCACCCATAGAGCTTGGGGCTCAATCTTGGAGATTTCTGGAAAGCCTTTCCGCTTAAGAAATTGAGGTTCTTCGCCCCTTTCAGTGCCGATCGCCATAAGGCTCAGGCCCAGACCCTGTAAATCTATATTGCCTTAACCCGAAGCCGAAAACCACCAACCCCCTTTGACGTCATTGAACCCTTTTAGGAGCCGTAGTACATCTTACAAAACCTGATATAGCCCTTGCGAAAACCCCTATGACACTCTGACGGAACTCTGTCAAATCCTAAACCTCTTAGAGAACTTTGTGACATCCACTGAAACTCATATCAACCTCAACAACCTACCGCTGTAAGGAATTTCATAAGGAAATCTCGATATGGGGCCCCAAATGAGTAGGTTCTCCAGGATCCAGGTAGACACTAAGCTCTACCTACAACTACCATAACCTATAGCTGTAAGTTCTTATTGTAAGCCCTAACATGGAGTTTATAGGGACCCTACCAAAAAAGTAGGTTTTGGTAGGTTTAGGTACCCATAAAAAAGCAACCTTTCGCTCTGGTGCCTTGGCCAGCCTGCCTTGCAGCTCAGTCAGTGCGTTCGCCAAAGCAGGGGCGTTGCCCTTGCCTTGTGTTCCGTGATTTCTTAGCAGGGTTGTGGTCATACGGCTGTAACAGGCTTTATGCGGTAGACTAGAACTCTGGAAGTCTAGCAAGAACATCTCTTGATAGTCCTTGTAGCATACCACAGAGCCCTGCAGTTATTAAGAACCATGAGGCTCGGTATAAAGGGTCTGTGTTTAAGGCTCCTGGTTTAGGGTGCTGGTTTGCAGTAAGCCCCATAAAGTTGGAAACCGGATTAAGGCCAAATGCTGCTGGGATTCCCTATACATTACTCTTAAGGATTGAGGCCATTGGGTTTCCAACTTATGGGCTTCTACTATAAGCCCTAAACCCTAAACCCGCAAACCCATAATCATCCCTAAACCCCTACACCCCTAAACCCTCAGGATTGAGGCTATTGGGTTTCCAACTTATGGGCTTCTACTGTACTTGGAGGGTCGGGGGACTTAGTAGCTGGTTATTTTAGGGACTTATAAATACCATAACCCCAATTAGGGTCCCTTTTAGGGTACATATAAGTCTACTTACTAACTGCTTACTAAGTCCCCGACCCCCCAAGTAGGGTTTCAGGATTTTAGGGTTTGGGCGTCTTGGGTTGCGGGAAACTTCTGGGCCTTGGGCCTTGAAGTGCTTTGTTGGATAGACTCCGGCCCGAAGATGAAGAGAACCCAATACCCCTCAATTAGGGAATAGACCTTACTTTATAGAGGCCTTAGTATCATGATTTAAGGTATATTCCGCAATTAAGGGGTATTGGGATCTCTGCAAATTTCGACTGATTAGGGTTTAACTAGATGAGCCAGCGTACCTTTTATGTCAAAGGTATATGATCCCCCCGACCCCTCAAACTGTCATACCTACAAGTTTTAGCTACCGTAATTACCCTACTTGGTTTAGGGCCCCAGGGTTCGGGTTTATAGGGTTTAGGGTCTAGGGTTCGGGGTTTAGGGTTTAGGGTCTAGGGTTTAAGGCCTAGGGTTCGGTTTAGGGCTTAGGGTTTAGGATCCTAGGGGTTTAGTATCAGAGCCTGAGTACAGAAAGCCTGGGTCTCTATCAGGGCTCTTTTATATGGGAATTTCCGAAAATAGGGTACCCTAATATAGTACCCTAAATACTAGGATCCTTATTATAAGGACCCCAAAATAAGGTGCCCCTAATTTTCGGAAACTACCATATATGACCCTACTACTTTGAGGTTAGAGGGGCCTCCACTAGACAAAGCTTATGCTGCGGTTGGAAGAAGCTGCTACTAGAGAGTCTAGAGGGTACCTCCAAGGTGCCTAGGGTTTTAGGGGTTAGGGCCTAGGGTTCAGGGAGACTTTGAAGCAAGGTGCTGCGGGCATCGATCTGGCGACACGCAAGCAGCTTGCGTGCCTGTGGGTTATCTTCAAGGCGCCTAATGTTTGTTGAGGTAGAACCAACGTACCTTTCAAAAAGCAATATGACCCTAAGAAAACCGCTTTGCAGCCACCTGGGTTACTCTAGGTAAAAAAGCTTAGGTACATGAGCTCAAGCCTGTACTGACCCTCTGCTGCAAGACGCTCGTCGAGTCAAACATCGAGAATTCCCTGGGGCTTGAGTCCTTGAGCCCGAAAGGTCCCAACACCTGAATCCTGAAATCTGACGCCCTAATCCCCAAACTCGAAGATGGCTTTAACAGTGGGAGTCATTCGACCATCTAGTCAACAGAAAATCTAGTAAACTTAGTAAGCAGTAGATCATAGATAACGCGACGCGACGCATGTTCGTGTCCGGCGTGAACAGGGTTGCTCTGGTTCACTGTCCTCTTTCTATATGGTCTTCAGGGCTTCAGCATGTAGAGGATTTCCGGGGGCTGGGTTTTAGGGCTGTCGGACCAATCCTTACAGGGTAAGGGGGTTCACGGCTACTTGGCATTCAGCTTATGAAAACTTATCATTGGGCAGGTCGCAACATTAAGCAACTCACCCCCCAATGTAGACCTCCGCAACGTTCAACATGAAATTGCAGGGCTCCGAACTTTCGGGCTTTGGGTGGGAGACTTTTGTGTGGAACGGGCGTAGCTACCACCACTACCTACTACCCGAAAACCGACATCGACAACTCGACCCTTTGCAACAAGAGAAGGCGCAACGAAGCTAAAGTCCGAAGCCTCAACTCTGGGCAGGCCTCTGCTAAGGCTTTGTTGACGGCCTTCTCGAGGGACATGGTGTGAGATGTCGCCTTTTGAAAGGAAGGTTCCTGAACTTCTACTTCCCAATAGCAATATTATAAGGGCCTAAATATTTACCAATACTATTTTGGGGGTTCCTTAAACAAGTCCCTTATATTACCCCCTTCCAAAAATTCCGCTGTGAACCCTAAACCCTAAACCCCTAAACCCTAAACCCAGCCTTTTGGGATTGACGGCTTGGAGGGTTTGGTCCCGCAGGGCTTCGGGGCCGAAGGGTCGCAAAATGTACCATCCAGGGGAGCTGCTGTAGTTTGAAGACCCAAAGGGTCCTACGGTTGATGATATAAATCCTGCATGACCCATAATAAGGAATACACAATAATTCCCATATATTCCTTATTATGGATAATGCAGGATTTATATCATCAACCGTATGTACTGTTATGGGGGATACTTCCCAAAATCATAATAGTAATTCCTAATATAGAAACCCCACATTCTTCTATATCGGTACTTTGGACGCTTTGGGAGACGGTTGTGGGATCGATTATCGTCTGGAGTCTATAGCAGAAACATGCGCGGGCTACGCACTCTGCAAGGGGTACTGTTACTGAATATTCCGCACTCTACGCCAGGGGTGCTGGATTTTTGGATATGGGATGTGAGGGGCACCGAGTTATCAGGCTTCTGCTTGCCTTAACGGCCAGATGAACCCTCGAACAGCTTGTCGATTGCGTTGGTGCCGCCATCTACGGGGCTGAATTCTTCAAACAGTGTGGTAACACTGTGGAGCTCTTGCGTTGGGTGTAAAGACAGGTCGTGCTGTCACCATGCAACGCACGCACCAAAATGGCTGCAAGCTCCATGGGATTCCGGCCGAGGTCGCCTGCAAAGATCAACGACTGAGAAGAAAGGCCCTCCCTATTCTATGTACTAACGTGCTTGACGGCTCGAAAAACCTGAACCCCAAATCTTAAAGAGCCTGAGACGAGAAGACCTCACCCCGAAACCCTAAACCCAAAACTCCCTGGACCCTGAAGAACCTACCTTTTCAGGGTTCCCTAATATGACTTCTTTATCTAAGTCCTTAAAAAGGTAGGTTCCATAAGCTCTGAAGCCCGACCCTCGTCCACGCCTGACTGAGCTCGGTAGGAGACAGTGTGCAGTCATCTTTGGCCCACTGCTCACCTCCGCCGGGTCTCGGGGCACTCAGGGGGCTTTCTTGGGCTTAGGGTTTAGGGGTTTAGGGTTTAGAGCTTAGGGTTTGCTGGAGGGCTTGTGGCGTTCACAACTTAAGCTCTATGGCTTTGGGTTTCGGGTGAAGTTGCTGTTATGATTCGCTCGAGGTGCAGAACCCTAATTTCAACCCGAAAGCCCTAAACCCAAACTCCAAACTAAAGGGCTCAGAGGACCCAGTGTCCTTGCCGCACACTGCCAGAACCTAATTTACGTATGCCGCCGTAAGGTAAAAGGTTTGACGATTTGAGACTCGGTATTCGGTAACCGCAGAATCTATGGTGCCCTTTTTCTGGAGACATCAAGTCGCAAGATCCGTTTTGCGAAGACCCCGACGAAGGGATCCTAATCTTCTCAACCATGCTGTCCGGTTTTTGCGGCTTTAGGAAACGTCAAAGACGCCAATACCTCCGAACCAAATCATAAATCGCTAAACCCGGAACCTTAGACCCCATACCCAAATTCTAGAGCCCCCAACATGATAGACACTTAGATACCCTAAGGCGCTAAGGACTCACAATTTAAGGCTTTTGGGCCTAAAGGCCGTATTATACTAGGCTTTTGGGCCATTTTGAGCCTTAGGGATAAGAAGCCGTGGTCTTGGGGTCCGTTCCTTCATGGGGAACTGTTCCTGAAATCACGATAAGGAACCCTACACTTTACGGTATTTATTACACTCCTTACATTACGTAAGGGGTTTGGAGGTTCTACAGGTGAGAATGGGGGCCTCTACATTTAGAGTAGAGCTTTGGGAGTCGATTTTGTAGTATGCTTACATTAGGTACGGCCCCTATACAGTAAGAGTCTATAATAGGGCTACTATTAAGGTCCTACTATATCTATATTATGAATATTATTCAACTATTATTGAGTGGGGGCCGTACCCAATGCTTACACAAGGACGACAAAGCGGATACTCTCGTTAATCACTCGGACCAAGAATGTACGTTCGGCAGAAGCCCAATTATTGCTAAACCATGTCCTCATAGAACTCTTCTGGTAAAGCACTTTGGGAACTCTCGTAGCCTTAACCCAAAGCCCCTGAACCCAAAACCTTATAGGGTCCCCTTCGAGTGGCGCGAAGCAGCCATGTCGGCTGCCGCAGATTCCACGAACTCCACTTGCCGGACAGCCTCTCTCCTGAAATGCACGATTTAGGGTTTACCCAGAGGCTCCACAGTAGTTCCTTTTTGGGGTTCATATTTAGAATCCTGTAAGGTAACCCCAAAAAGGAACTACTATGGAGCCTATGAGTAGGGCTTCGGTGCTGTTGGGGCTCTGAACCCCTACATGAAACATCCCTAAGCCCCTGAACCCGTGCATACCCCCTACCGAAAAGCCCGAAATCCGAAACCCGGAAGGACGAACGCGCATGTCCCCTTGTCAACCTCAATATAACCAGAGTATAGACTATAGAGTATAATGAAACCACAATAAGCCCTATTCAGCCCTATTCTAATTCACAAGGCCCATGCTCTTCATTTAGGTTTAGGGTTCCTCAACCCCTATAGTAGTCTAGTTAATAAAGCGCATGATCTGCATATCGATCAGAGCAGCAAGAGCATGTTTGCACGTCGTTGCGCCGTCTTGGAAGACCTGAGACCCAAGCACTGCAGTGGTCAGGGTTGAGGGTTCAGGAGTTTAGGGTTTTGGCGCTCCTTAGCAGTAAAAGGGGTCCTTTACGTAAGGGTTTCGGGTTAAGGGTGTAGGGTGCCCAGAGATCCCAATAGCCCTTAATTAAGGAATAGACCTTAAATCACAGAAGTGAGGCCTCTACAGTTTAAGGTATATTCCTTAATTAAGGGGTATTGGGTTCTCTGGGTAGGGCTCAGGATTCAAGCCTTCATGTGTTTAGATGGTCAGAGCTTGGGGCGCAGGGTTTGTTGATTCTGGGACTGGGCGGAGGGTTTTAAGGCTAAGGGGTTGTAGGGAAGCAGCTATGAGGGTTCATGTTGGTTTCAGCACGCTTCTGAGCGCAGTCGCTAGACTCTACATCTGCTCACCCAGTACTTGAGCCCCAAACTCAACCTCCAAACCCGCAAACTCCCAAAACGAAAATAGATGGAAGCCGTATGATTATCACGACCTCTCCCACCCCAGCCGACGGCCCCAGCCAGACCAGCACGAATTTTGTCGCCTTTATTCGAAAAACACTCAGTCACAGCTTTTCGATCAAGACGCTTCGGTCAAAACTCAGGCACCCAAAACCCTTATATACTATCGTATCAAGTGTGACGAAGTTGATGCGGAACGCATGCGCAATTACCTCAAGACTCGATCTCCGAACCCCGCAGATCGAAAGGTAAACGCCGCTCCGTGGCGCGATTCTTTCTTGGGGTTGGTCAATACCTAGACCCCCCCAAAAGTAGGTAAAATAATGGCCCAAAACCTACAAAGGGCTATTATTCTACATACTTTTGGGGTCCAGGTACTCACCTTACTTTACCTTGAAGCTGTGCCACGAAACATTCTAATCCCCGTGCAATGAACTCCCAAAGCTGCAAGGATTGCGGTGATTCCGGCGTGAGACAGCCCAACACTTTTTGGGGTCTGTCAAGGGTTCCGGGTTTAAGAGGAGGAAGTGCGTGTATGAAGTTCGTGCTATTCAGAGTCCAAGCCCTAACGCCCACACCCTGGCTTCACGGGTTCAAGTACATCTGTGAGATCCCGAAGTCGGGAGAATCGAATGGTAGAAGCGAGATCCCTACCTCCTACCGAGGGAGCCATCGACCCTAAAACGGACTTCTGGGACCTCCAAATCCTAGTGACAAGGTGTAGGTTGTCGGCTGTAGGGGCTGCTGTCCCAAATTGTAAGCCGGGAGACAACTCTGAGCGCTGCTCCTTCAACTTCGACAGATTTTGCTGGAGGTCCTCCGTGGCTTCTTTCCGATGGAAATACAGGGAGAACATCTCAAGGACAGGCAACCGACACCTATTCCCTAAACCTTCAACTCCGGAGGAACTTCGATCCAGGCTCAATCCCCAGCTGCCCCTGCGAACATACTGAGATATTGAGCAACCGAGACATGTAGATGCCACTAGATCAAAAGGACAGACAGTCCAGCACCTAGACTAAACCCTAAACCCTAAACCCTAAACCCTAAACCCTCAGAGAGACACAAACGCATGGACAGACGACCAAACAGCTGGGAAGGAACCGAGGCAGGAGCGCCGGCCAGCAGGAAAGTGAAGAGGCAAGCTAGCACCTTATGGGAGACACTAAGCCCTAAACTCTGAGCCGCTAAACCCTAACCCCTAAACCCCTAAACCCCTAACCCACTCAACCCCAAACCCCTAAACCCTAAGCCTTAATGCCAGCCCTCGAGCCTGGAACGACTTTGCCGCAGCCTCTCCAGCCTCTGTCGTGAGTCCTTGGCACACCCCTAAACCCTAAACCCGAAGGTTTAGGGTTTAGGCTTGCGACATGGGTTCGGTAAAGACATGAGACAACTAGGGTCCCGTTTTCAGGTCCCCAAGATAAGTGTGTTCAGGTCCCCAAAGTAGAACGGCACTCTTAAAAAAGGACCCTAAATTAGAAAACTATCCATGAAGAGGCTTGCTTGCGACTGGACAGCTCTGTGATTACAGCACCACCACCACCACCACTACTACGACAGCGACGACTACAAAGACCACGTCTATCTCTACGACAAGGACTCCCATGACTACTGACAGTTTTACGCGTGCCGAGGCTCGTTTCACCTCGAGAAGCTTCATCTGCAAGAAAACAGCCACCACTGAAAGGTCCTGTGATCTCAAGGCAACTCTTGTGAATTTGTGAGCAAAGGTTTGGGTCAACCCTGCACCTAAACATTAGGCCCGAAGCTCTAAACCCTAAACTATGGAGAGGACTTGGGGATCAGGTTTTCGGGTTCAAAATTTCCTTATGGAATATTGAGAAGTCTGAAAACTCAGCTTGAGGCTACGGGACTCGAAGATCTGTGGAGTGGGTTCCGGGTCACGCTGGCCTTCCAAGAGGAGCAGTCCTTCGTACAGTAAACCGGAACTGCATGGATCCCTAGCCCTCAACCCAAACCCGGCCCAAATCCTAACGCCCTACCCAAAACCCCTAAACCCCTATATCACTAAACCCTAACACCCCGCACCCTAAACCGTATGACATCTAGCACAGTGTCATGACATCTCGAAACCCGAACCACAAACCCTGCACCACGTAACACCCTCTGAGGAGACATCTGTGATCATCTGTGCCTGGATGCCCGGGGCTTTTTTTGGAAATTTCGACAATTAAGGTCTCAAGACTCCTGGTACATGGGAGTTTCCGAAAATAGGGGACCCTGGTATAGTACCTTAAATAGTAGGATCCTTATTCTAAGAACCCCAAACTAAGGTACCCCTATTTTCGGAAATTCCCATACGATTCCGCTCTAAGTTCTCATGCGAAGCCTGAGACTGCATGAAACGCGCCCCATTGTGATTTCGACAGGGTCATTAAAGAGTCGCCCCGAGTCCGAAGAAATCGCCTACCCTCCTGAACCTGAAGGTTCACGGTGCAAGGAGTATATTCAACCCTGAAACCTATAGTCCAAAACCTTAAAGACATCCTAAACCCTAAATCCTGTAGGCAAGAAATACCCACGGACCACAAGGGACGGACCTGCTGCACTTTCGCAGCAAGCGTTTCCGACGCCTTCGGTGCGACAGAATTCTTTGCGGTTGGTTGTTTCGCATTTCACGGACCTTTTCTCTTCGGCCTCTCGCCCAAAGCAATCTTTGCAGGGTCTAGTATGAGGCTCTGACAAGGCGTCTGTAGAGTTTCATGAGGATGTTCAGTGCTGTTGGGTTGAGAGCTCTGGGGCTTTTGGATGCTTTCGGCCTCTGGCCTTTACAGTATGTTTCGCGATGACATGTTGTCGGATGCAAGCAGCCCGACCTAACCCAAGCACCATGCTGGCACAAGGATGAACTACCTACTTGTCGGGTATCATGGGGAACTAAAGGTTAACCTTTTTGGTTATATAGGGGTTAAATATAGGGACTATACTACCCAAAAAAGGTTAGAGGTTACCTACTCGACCACTAGGATTAGGTCTGCATTGACTTTGGCTTTCGTTTCTCACCTGCAAGCGCGACAGACGAGCAACCAACCCACAATCACCAACATATCGCTTGCAGGGTGACGGACGGCGATCAAACCGAAATGCTAACGACTCATGGGCTCATGAACACAGTAACATTGAATGCCTTTAAAAAGAACCCTCCAGCCCTCGACCACAGAGCGCCAAAGACTGCAGCCCAATAGCCATGTTGCACCGTCCTTAAACCTTGACACTAAAGCCACAAACTCGTAAAGCTCAACATGGCCCCATGGGCTCAATATATCTTTCAATCAAGGATTAATTATGCTGCACCATACTATATAAAGCTTCTTGTTCTCATGTAAGTAGTATTGCTGAGGTTAGTTCCCGTAGATCAGGAGATGTATGAGGTACTGCACCCTCATAAAACGCTGGTAGATCCGCATAGTCGGAATGAAAAACATGTACGGAGCCCGTAAGAGCCCCGTCGAACCATTCAAGAACCCTGCGAGGACCTTGTCTGCTCATCATAAGTTGCTGTGGCCCTAAACCCTAATCCACCCTAACTTCCTAACCCCTAAACTCACTCCTAAACATCCCTAAATCCTACACTCCAAACATCTCTAAACCCTTAACATCTCCAAGCCCTAAACATCCCTGAATCCTAATCCCCGAACATATCTAAATCCTAAAACCATAAACCCTAAACTCCTGCCATCTGTAAACCCTAAGCACCTACACCCTATACCCCTAAACCCCTAAACCCCTAAACCCCAAACCCCAAACCCCAAACCCCTAAACCCTAAACCCCGAAACCCCTGTCATCTCTAAACCCTAAGCCCTTAAACCCTGATTCCCTAAACCCTAAACCCCCCAAACCCTAAACCCATGTCATCTCTAAACCCTAAGCCCTTAAACCCTCATTCCCTGAACCCTAAACCCCAAACCCTAAACCCCTAAACCTTTGCTCCAGTCAGGGCAGGGCGACTTGGAGGACTTTCTGACCCTCCTCCTGGTCATCCTCGGTTTTAAAGGGGATCTATAGGGGCTTATAGGGTTCCTCTAAAGGGATCTATAGGGGCTTATCGGGTTCCTTTAGAGGGATCTATAGGGTTTAAGGGGTTCCTTTAAAGGGATCTATAGGGGCTTATAGGGTTCCTTTAAAGGGGTCTATAGGGTTTAAGGGTCATCCTCGGCGCCGAGGCTTTTTTGAGAAGCTTAACATGGGGTTTCAGGGCTTTTAGGGGTTTAGGGTTGAAGCTTTAGGGTTTAAGGGGTTTAGGGCTTCAGGGGTTAAGGGTTTAGGGCTTCAGGGGTTTAGGGGTTTAGGGTTGAAGGTTTAGGGCTTTGCTTTAGGGGTTGAAAGTTTAGGGTTAAAAGGGGCTTAGGGTTAAAATAGGGTTCAGGGTTTAGGCTTAGGGGTTTAGGATTGATTACTATTGTTATGGGATGCTTTACAGTGCTGAGTTTAGCTTAACATGGGGTTCAGAGATTCAGAGGTTTAGGCTTAGCATAGTTTATGTAGGGTGCTTTAAGGTTTTCGGTTCTCAGATTTCCTGAGCAAGTAGGTGTAAGCCTAACTTTGCGAGCGTGCCTAGAAACGTGAAGCCCTGATCCAAATCCTTCTTGACATTCTCGCCGGCACCGCTTGGGTGGTTTTCAAAATTAGGGTCCCTTTTTGGGCACCCTTAATATTAGGTGCCGTAGTATAATAAGGACCCAAAGCGGGACCCTAATCTTGACAACTACCCACTTGAAGCAGGCACCGAGAGTTCGCCTCTCTCCTGGAAGAGCCTGACTTTTTGTTGCAGCTGGAAGCTGGGATATCTGCACAGAGAACCCAATACCGCTGAATTAAGGAATATACCTTAATTTGTCGAGGCCTTAATATTGTGATTTAAGGTACATTCCTTAATTAAGGGTTCTTGGGATCTCTGGGTGACTTCGGGAGGTTACCAACTATTACATCGCTCCAAAGCCAGTACTATCACCACCACCAACATCCAGATCAGCGAGACCATCGCCGGCATCATCTTTCCCAGCGCCATCATCATCAGTATCGTTGCTAGCAGCAGCATCATCAACGTCATGGTCATGCTCGTGGTGATCATGGTGACCATTGGGGCAAAGCCTGGGTTAATCCCCGGATACGAAGGTCCCCTAAGATTGCCTCTGAGAGATCCTTTTTGCCACTGAGGGTTCATCATCTTCATCATCATCGCCATGATCATCCAAACCACGAACAATCGGCAAGATGAGCAAATCTACGTCTCTACCTAGTCGGTCCGGTCCTCATCCAAGGATGCCTCCGTGGCCTTGTGCGAAGATGCAGGCAGCACAACTAGGGTGCTGAACACGATGATTCTGGTGCCGGTATCAATATCTTGAAGCTCGCAGTTTCACATGTGATTAGACGTGGGGGTTCAAGTGTGGTAAGTAAACATGACATGGGAATTTACCCACTTGTAACCTAGATTGAGCCTTCATAGTAGTCAACGGTAAAGCTGTTTAACAATTGAAATACCGGGAACAGCTGTAGAAATCCAAGTAATTCCAAGAAAGGATTGTCAGTAACACACAGTAGCTAGTTGTGAAGGTACAGTTTAGTTTGGCGTCTCTACCCGAGCTATCGGTCCTAAAACGTGCATTTTAATGTTTAAGGAGCATCACACCACTAGGAGGAATCGCCGGCAGGACTACTAAACGCAAAACCTCTAAACCCCTAAATCCTGAACCCTACCCTCTTTGAGGCCAAGTCTGGCTGTTGGTCATTCTGAAAGGGCCCCTAAACCCTAAACGCCTTAGGGGGCCCCTAAACCCCCAGGAGGAGCCGAAGCCAGACCTACCCAGCGAGCCTCCAACCTCGCCAGAGCTTCCGTGAGGGCCTTTGCTGGGCTTTCGGAGGCTCGAAGTTCGAGGACAAGGTAGCAGAGCCACCTTTTAGGACTTTAGGTCTGGGAATCGGAATTAGGGTTCAGGGTTTAGGGTATAAGACTTAGGAACTAAGGGTTTTAGGGTTCTGGTTCTTAGTAGGGAATGGGGGAATGGGTTATAGGGACTACTATAAGGGACCCTTAAGGGACTATCATAGGGATCTATTCCCCCATTCCCTACTAAGAACCAGAACCCTAAAGCCCGCAATACCTAAGTCCTAAATCCTAAACCCTAATTCCTAAACCCTAAAGTCCCTTCCCAAAATCCCTACTAAGGAACCAGACAGTGAAGTTTGAAGACTGGCAAAGAGCTCCTTTTCGGGTTTAGGAATTAGGGTTTAGGGTTTCGGAGCTATGAATTAGGGTTTAGGGTTCAGGAGTTAGGAAGTAGGGTTTAAGCATTAGGGTTTAGGGTTTAGGAATTAGGGTTTAGGGTTTGGGACGTAGCAGAGAGCCCCTTTAGGGTTTATGAACTGGCTTTCGGGTCTGTGCTAACTAAAGCCCTGATACCGAGGCCTTCATAATGGGAATGGGGCTTTGAAGCATACATATGCTATCGACATAGTCTGACAAATAGTGTGAGGGTTGTTCGAGCACGAACTATTGGGTCCTGCATATTATGTCAATTCCTGCACCTTTGGGGCGAAACAAGTTCCCCAATGAACACACGGGTTTAAGGTTCAGGGCAACCTTCGCAGGAATTCCGCCAAAAAACCATACGCCACGTATCCTTACTGCACGTTTCCCGCCCAAAATGCTCCTTCGAGGCCCTAAAGGGTTTAGGGATTAGGGTTAAACCCCTAAGGGTCCAAAGGATCCAATACTCAGGTACTCGGTTTTAGGATGGTAGTTATGTAGGTTACTATTTTGGAGAGTATGTGGTAATTAGGTACTTGGACGCTTAGGGCTAGACCCTAAACCCAAGAACCCTAACCCTAAATTACTGAGCCCAAGAACCCTATGCTATGCTATGCAAACACATGCGCCACAGGCCGGTAGCCATCCTAGCTTTGTAGAGACGCTTAGGAGGGTAAGGGAGAGAGGGGTATACGGGGCCATAATACCCCTGATAAGCGTCTACTGTATGACAATTTCAGGCCCAAAAGCCCGGTTGAGGCTTTAGGATATCGCAACAACCAGCTGGGAGTTCTATGTTTCTTGCTCACCAGCTCTGAAGCCGTATTGCCCATCGCAGATAAGGTGCTTCCAGCTTGGCGTTCGCCTGAAAAGGCAGGTTTAGGGTTTGGGGTTTAACGTTTCATCAAAAATCCTACACAAACTCGTCTGAACAAAGCCGAAACTACAGTGATGTTTGCAGCATATGGCATGGCTTCCCGGCATCCCTAAACACTAAACCCTGAACCCGAAACCCTAAACCGTCCTTCAATCCTGCAGATCTCAGAACCCACAGGTCCAGAAGTTCGGGGATTCATAGGGTTTAGGGAGTTTAGGGTTTAGGGGTTTGGGGCCTGGGGATTAAGGCGATTAACGTTCAGGGAACTTAGAGTTTAGGGATTTTGGAGCTTAGGGATTAAGGCGATTCAGGTTCAGGGAACTTAGAGTTTAGGGATTTCGGGGCCTAGGGATTGAGGCGATTAAGGTTCAGGGAACTTAGAGTTTAGGGGTTTGGGGCTTAGGGATTAAGGTTTAGGGAACTTAGAGTATAGGGAGTTTGGGGCTTAGGGATTAGGGCGATTAAGGTTCAGGGAACTTAGAGTTTAGGAGTTCGGGGCTTAGGGATTAAGGCGATTCAGGTTCAGGGAACTTAGAGTTTAGGGATTTCGGGGCCTGGGGATTGAGGCGATTAAGGTTCAGGGAACTTAGAGTTTAGGGGTTTGGGGCTTAGGGATTAAGGCGATTAAGGTTCAGGGAACTTAGAGTTTAGGGAGTTTGGGGCTTAGGGATTAAGGCGATTAAGGTTCAGGGAACTTAGAGTTTAGGCGTTTGGGGCTTAGGGATTAAGGCGATTCAGGTTCAGGGAACTTAGAGTTTAGGGATTTCGGGGCCTAGGGATTGAGGCGATTAAGGTTCAGGGAGCTTAGAGTTTAGGGGTTTGGGGCTTAAGGATTAAGGCGATTAAGGTTCAGGGAACTTAGAGTTTAGGGGTTTGGGGCTTAGGGATTAAGGCGATTAAGGTTCAGGGAACTTAGAGTTTAGGCGTTTGGGGCTTAGGGATTAAGGCGATTCAGGTTCAGGGAACTTAGAGTTTAGGGATTTCGGGGCCTAGGGATTGAGGCGATTAAGGTTCAGGGAACTTAGAGTTTAGGGGTTTGGGGCTTAGGGATTAAGGCGATTAAGGTTCAGGGAACTTAGAGTTTAGGGGTTTGGGGCTTAGGGATTAAGGCGATTAAGGTTCAGGGAACTTAGAGTTTAGGCGTTTGGGGCTTAGGGATTAAGGCGATTAAGGTTCAGGAAATCTTAGAGTTTAGGGATTTCGGGGCCTAGGGATTGAGGCGATTAAGGTTCAGGGAACTTAGAGTTTAGGGATTTGGGAGCTTAGGGATTAAGGCGATTAAGGTTCAGGGAACTTAGACTTTAGGTTTTTGGAGCTCTGGGATTAGGGTTTGGGGGTCATAGTCCAGGGGTTTCAGCTGTTTGCATCGGGATTCGGGCCTCTGCCAGATATCCCCCGGTGAGGAACTTGTCCTGCGCCGCACAGTACTTACAGTCCAAATACATGTGCCTCGCATTGATGGTTCCTGATTCTGCGTTCCATATAGTTATCTTACCTGCCAATACTGGGGACTTTCGTATGGGTAATCGGAAAAGAGTAGTGCATCCATACTTCCAGACCATGTATATGAACTTCCCACATCAAGTTTCCGGCATGAACCACAGTTCTGCTGCAAAGCACGATGCAAAGAAGGCTGCTCAAAACGCATGGTCTGCCAAGAGTTGTGTGCAGAACGTACAAGCGATGTCCCGAACGTGCACACACACACACAGACACATATACGCAAGCACACTCCTTCTACAGACCGTTCGAACCGTGTAAACTTCTTGGGCCACGCTGGGACGGGATGATGCTTGCTAGTTCCACTTTGCAAACGCATCAGAACTTTCTGACATGTCCAGAGAAGTGTTACACCATACTGATGTACCCAGCCAGCCACCACAAACTTTTCGAGGCGTGCTGCAAGGCCAGCATGCGCATCGAAGTTGAAGTCGGGTCGGTACGGCCTGTAAAGACCACCTGCCGAGCTACTAACACAAAACTGGTACGTGCAAGAGCAGCGCAGGAAGCGTGAAAACAGGATGCACAGAGGGAGCAACAACAGGCACCAGGAAGAAAAGAACGGAGAAAGGGAGAGGGGAGAGGGAAGGGAGAAAGGAGGGGGAGAGGGGGACGAACCACGAAAAGAGAAGCAAGGGAAACCGACGAAAAACAAGAGCCCAAAAGGAGGCAAGCAGAGCCAAGCGACAAACGACCACAGGGACACCAAAGAAGGCAAACTGCGGCAGCACCGACGATGAACGTGCCTCAGCCCTCAATCAGCGGCAGTGAAAACTCTGAAGAAAACAGATGAAACCCGCGCAGAATCCGTCGAAAACATGCGTCTAACCTGCCTTACGACGACCACCACGACAAACGGGCATTGAGAAATGCAGTAGCTCCAAGCAACAGCCGACAGAAAATACATAAAGAAGACGGGCAAGGCAGCAACACAGCAGAGGATCCGTCGAAAACATGTGTCTAACCTGCCTTACAACGACCACCACGACAAACGGGCTTTGAGAAAGCAATAGCTCCAAGCAAAATCCGACAGAAAAAGCATGTGAGAAGACGGGCTAGGCAGCAACGCAGCAGAGAATCCGTCGAAAACATGTGTCTAACCTGCCTTACAACGACCACCACGACAAACGGGCTTTGAGAAAAGCTATAGCTCCAAGCAACAGCCGACAGAAAATGCATTTTAAGAAGACGGGCTCGGCAGCAACGCAGCAGAGAATCCGTCGAAGTCATGTGTCTAACCTGCCTGACAACGACCACCACGACAAACTGGCTTTGAGAAAAGCTATAGCTCCAAGCAACAGCCGACAGGAAATACATTTAAGAAGACGGGCAAGGCAGCAAAACAGCAGAGAATCCGTCGAAAACATGTGTCTAACCTGAAAAAAGACAGCGACTCGCGACTGAACCATGTACGAGAACAGGCAAGCACGAAGCACTGGCACAAGAGCTACCAGAAAGCTTTTAAAAGCCCCGCGCGCGGGTGAGTCCAGCCAGCCTGATACTCTGAACGCAAAACGAGCATCTGGACTTACGGGGGGAAAAGCTAGCGCGACCTGCCCCTGCGGTCACCACGGCGGGATTCTCGCTTCGGAGAAACCCTAGAGCCACGTCCACCTTTCCCTTTGCCGCGGCCTTTTGCCTGGCTTATGCCGGATTCTTCCATCCGTTTACGCTTCTTGGCCATATCGGCCTGGGATAAGGGGATCCATACACTCATCGTTGGGCGGTCTTTGAGGAGCGGCTGCAAGCCACGCTTGATGAGCTGCGAAAACCTCAAAGCCTGTAAGGAAGGCTTAAACCGAACATCAAGTGCAGTGTGTTTTCCCCAAGGCCCTCCGACAGGGAACATGCGCATCCAGAGCCCGAGGCCCGCTTGAAGGAGAGAGTTATCCCGGGCTACCGGTGTTTCCAATCCTGTTCCATGTCTTGTTATCAACATCATTCAAGTCGCCGGGCTGGCCCTCAACATAACTTCCAAAGCCTGTTAGGACACATGAATGTACATCTACAGTGGCGCAAGTTGCTTTGTTCTTCCGTTGTGCTGATGTACTGAATTCGCAGGTTTTTACACAGGAAGCTTTCCTGCCACAAAGCATAACATGGCAAAAACAATGGTGAATTGTCGCACCCCGTTGACGGCATCGCTGTTGTCGTGCTCTGCTGCGGAGATCTTTGACAACGGCCCTTCTGACGGCAGAACACCAAAAGCCCACTGACCCAAGACCCAAAGAAACAAAAGTTGAAACTTCCAGAATCGACTACCTGATAAGATCCCCCAAAGTTGAAAAGTTGAGTCTACAGCCAGTAAGAAAACTTCCCTTTGGTTAGTAGGGAATGGAAGAATGGTAGCAATAGCAGTTATAATTGTACCCCATCCCTCCAATCCCTACTAACCAACCCTAAACCCTAAACCCTAAACCCTTACACCCCTAAACCCTAAACCCCTAAACCCCAAACCCCTGAGCCCCTAAACCCTAAACCCCTAAGTCCCTGAACCCCTAAAATCCAAGGCAAGAGTAAGAAAAAAACCCAAAAAGCGCCCAGTCCTCCAAGTTTCTGAGCTGCTCTTCGAGGGTGCACTGCCTGCCCGGGCGACCAGACCGGGCTCTGAAGAAAAGTTTGAACTTCTAGACCCAAGAGTAACCTAGTAATAAAACGGGTGCCCTTTTTGGTTTAAAGGGGCTTAATAAGGGAACCAGAACCCTAAAAAAGGGAATAAGGGCCTACTCCGGGTCCTAGACTTCATTTGGGTTTAGGGTCTAGGGTTTAGGGTTAAAAACATATTTATATTATGGGGTCCAAGGGTGGTATAGCCCCGGCCCCACACCCCTATACTGTACCCTACCCATAGGCCTCATAGTAGTTCTTTTTTCGGGACTACTTTATAGGAATCTAAATATGAACCCCAAAAAGGAACTTTTTTTGGGCCTTAGGGTAGGCTATACCTCCCTTAGAACCATAATATAAATACTATGTTAAATATTCTCTTGGGATTTATATGAACAGAAATTTAAGAAATAGCTCCTGAGGAGACTTTGGTAGGGTGGGGTTTAGGGTTTAGGGGGCTTAGGGGGTTTAGGGGTTTTCGGCTTAGGGTTACCCCAAGGCCTAAAGCACAGTAGAATCTACTCCAAACCTTATGGCATGATTTACCCGACACCCGATAAAGGCCCCAGCAGCGCTAATATTTCTGCAAGCTCTCTCCAAGTTTCCCCCAGAGCCGGCAACCCCAAACTCTGCAACAACCTAGCAATTCCTACAAGGTTCTTGCTTCTCGAAAGGTTCCGTAATGTTTGCTAATGATTCTTGAGCACGTTAAGGGGCTTTAGGATTTTTAAAGCTTGGGGCATTGGAATTATATAAGCACTCCCCACCCCCTGCAAATGATTGAGCCCCCTGAGCATTCTATAAGGTGCCGGTAGTAAGAACAGCTCATCCTAAGCTTTATGGGGCACTTAGTGAACAGACGTGACTAGAGCTTCGGGGACTGGTTGCCTTTTACTATGCAGGGGCTTTAAAGGAAGAGTATTACATACTAACATACTGCAGTGAACCCCAGATAGTTGGAACATGGGTTTGGGAGGAGTGGTTCGAGGATCTCCGTAATACTTTCTTTACCCATAGGCCCCATAGCAAGTTCCTTTCTGGGATTGCCTTATAGGATTCTAAATATGAACCCCCGATAAGGAACTACTTTGGGGCCTTTGGGTACCTTGATGGCATGAGGATATCGATGTCCCAACTTTCTGGATTCTACTATAATACTGCTGATGGACAAAATCCTGCATGACCCTCAGGACTCTAAACTATGGGAACTATGGTATATTTCTTATAATGGGTAATACAGGATTTTGTTCATCAGCAGTATCACCTCCTTCCTGGGACTTGTGCATGCAGAGTCTTGATTCCGACCTCTGAATACAGCGCACCCATAAAGTTCGGGCAGGTTGCTGGGACTGCACCGCTTCAAGGCGCGGCTGGAGCACTTCGAGCTCCTTCCTGGGAGTCTTCGGTTCGAGGTTTCGAGTTTTGGGGTTTAAGGTTTAGGGTTCCTTTAAATTCTCTTGCGTTAAAACTAATTCCTGAGGAGACTAGTGGTATTGTGGGCTCCATTGCTTATCGGCATGACGTGGCGACGTCTGTGTAGGCTTCTGCAGCTGTGACGGGCTTTAATCTAGAAGGTATTTTGCTAAGTGCAGTGGCCATTTCGCTCGCACGACACTGTCCATGTCTGTAGAGATGCGCACTATCGGTAGCTCCCTTACGAGACACCAAAACTCAGACCTCAGTTCTCAGTCGTAGAGAGGTTTAGGGCCCAGAGATCCCAACACCCCTTGATCAAGGAATACACTTTAAATCATAATATTAAGGCCTCATGAAATTAAGGTATGTTCCTTAATTAAGGGGGTATTGGGTTCTCTGGCGGCTCGGGCTTATAGGGTCCAGCTCTGCGCATGTTGCACTTTGAAGACAAAGACTGAGAAAACACTTTTTCTCCTTCACAACCCCCCTTGACACTTATGTAGAGAGAAATCCTCCGAGTCAGAGCTGTCGTCGTCATCATCATCACCGCTCGGCATCTGGTCTTCGTCGTCACGGTCATGCGAAAGCTTCTTCTTCTTCTTCTTCTTCTTTTGCGCGCTTCTTCTTCATCGCTTGCGACTCTTCCGATCAGGAAACCGCAGCAACACTTTCCAAAATGTCTCCCAGAGAACCCAATACCCCTTAATTAAGGAACATATTCCAATTTATAGAGGCCTTAATATTATGATCTAAGGTATATTCCTTAGTTAAGGGGTATCAGAATTCCCTAAACTCTAAACCCTATAGATCCCCCTTGAAGGATCCCTTTAAGGAACCCTAGGTATATTCCTTAGTTAAGGGGTGTGGGCATCTCCGGGCTCGTCGAAGAACCCGCCGCAGTGGCAGAAGCTCTGGGGCCCGAGGCTGACGGTTGAGAAGCGCCCAAACCCAGAGATCCCAATACCTAGGGTTCCTTAAAGGGATCCCTTAAGGGATGTATAGGGTTCAGGGTTTAGGGGATCCCAATATCCCTTCAAAAAAAGGAATATACCTTAGGGCGCCTTGAAGGGATCTATAGGGTTCCTTTAAGGGATCTATAGGGTTTAGGCGATTCTGATATCCCTTAGTTAAGGAATATACCTTAAATCATACTAGGGATGCTACTATAATTTAAGGTATATCCCTTAAGTAAGGGATATTAGAGTCTCTAGGCCAAACCCAGAGATCCCAATGCCCCTTAACTAAGGAATATACCTAGGGTTTCTTAAAAGGGATCTATATGGGATCTATAGGGTTCCCTTAAGGGATCTATAGGGCTAGGGGGGCTCCAATATCCCTGAATTAAGGATATACCTTGAATCATAAGGGCCTCTGTAGTTTAGGGTCTATTCCTTAATTAAGGGGTATTGCGTTCTCTGGGAGAAGCGCCCACACTCGAAGCCTGGGTGCCAATGAGCGCGGAGACGCAGGTTTAGGGCTTAGGGAATCGTCCAAGTTGAAATCCATGATTGCACTGATTGGGCAGCACAATGCAACACGGCTCAAACCCAAACTGTGCGAAACTACATTGCAGCACGAGCGATGGCGCTTTCGCATGCGACGACAAATACATGCCACACACATTTTCGAAACATGACGAATCCCGAAAAGAAACCCTTTAGTACCCCTGCCCCTGAAAGGAACCCCTCAAAGACACCCTTAAAGGAAATGCTAAGCAGGTAGAAACAAAATGCTAGTAATCAGAGGTCTAGCACCACAAGGGCCCTAGGAAGCTATCGGTCGGCACTCAGCACTAAGCCCCCACACCCCCTGTTTAGGGGTTCAGGGTTAGGGCTTCGAGTTTCGAGCACTTTAACCCCAACCCCAAAACCCCTTCAGCCTGAACCCTTCCCCCCGCAATCTCCTTGTTGAGTGCATAATGCTAGACGTAAGCCCCGAAACAGCAAGTCCTGAAGCCCCATCCCAGCAGGTCCTCTGCTTCTTACTTAGAGGCCCAGGGGACTTAGTAAGTAGGTTATAAGTAGGGTTATAAGTACCCTAAATAGACTTGCTCCAATTATAACCCTACTTACTAAGTCCCCTGGGCCTCTAAGTATGTGATAACACTCAAGATCCTAAAAACTTTCAGGAGCTAAACCGAGCGGCTGTCCCAGGGGCGTGTTCCTCAGAGCAGCACATGTACGCGTTTGCGGTGTAGGTCGTTGAGCTTTACCTAGACCCGCGAAAGTAGGTGAAATCCTGGCCCCAAACCTATAAAAGGCTATGATTCTACATACTTTTCGGGTCCAGGAAGGGGTTTGCTGTTCGGGGGTTGAGGGATTAGTGACCAGTGTTTGGGGTTTAGGGATGAGGGGTTTGGGGTGAAGGGATTGGGAATGGTTAGGGTTTAGGTTTAAGGGTGCTTTGGGGTCCAGGTAGAGTTTCGGAGAGTTTAGGGCTCCGGGTTTCAAGGGCTCGAAGCCAAACGACCGCGTCGGCCCCTTCTCTACAAGTGCCTCTTCACTGGACAAGTGGGTGGTGGTCAAAAATATGGTCCCTTTTTGGGTACCCTAAATAATAGCTGCCGTACTATAATAAGGACCCGAAAAGGGACCCTAATTTTGACAACCACCCAAGTCTTCAAGCCCGTTTTGGGCTTAGGGTTTGGGCAGCAGCGTCCTCTTCTCCATGGATTCTAAGGTTTGGGGGGAGTAACCAAGGTGCTTGGAGGGTCGGGGGACTTAGTAACTCCTTATTTTAGGGACTTATAAGTACCATAACCCCAATTAGGGTCCCTTTTTGGGCTACTTATAAGTCTACTTACTAACTACTTACTAAGTCCCCTGACCCCCCAAGTACCGAGACAGAAATAAATTGCGCTGCCCGTCCGTGCTCATTATCTGCTCATCTTGCCAGTGCAAACTCTTCTGTAGGGCAAAAGTGCCGAGTTGAGTTGGTTTAGGGTTTGGGGTATAGCAGGCTGGAGGGTTTGAGAATTAGGGTCGACGGTGTGGTTTGGGCTGAACCAGCAGCCACTAAAGCAACAAAAGCCCTAATCCTAAGTTGGACACCTAGACCTCTGGAACCTAAAGCCCAATGCAAACCAGCGTGGGCAAAGGCAATGAAAGTGCACTTCCTACCGAACTGCTTTTGAAACACGAGGGCGTAAAGACTCTTGCCTTGCAAGAGTTTAAGCTTTAGCTTCAGGGTGAATGATAATTAAGGGCCTTCATGTACTCCTGGGTTTGTAACTGCTAGGCATCCGAGACGACGTAGCCGACCTAGCCAAACCAAAATCCCAGAACCAAGGCCCTAAACCCTGAAATGCGCAGCCTATACCCAGAGATCCCAATACCCCTCATTTAAGGAATATACCGTAAGTCATAATATTAAGGCCTCTTTTAACTAAGGTATATTCCTTAGTTAAGGGGTATTGGATTCTCTGGGTACGGCAGCCCGTAGATTCAATTGCGAAGCCCCCGGCCCAGAACCCAACCAGTAAAGCCGAAACCCCAAATGCTGCCACGGCTCTGCAAAAGAGCACGGCGTGAGTTTAAGTGGCCTCAGCGTCACACATGTTCTTCGCATTTGGTTCACCCTTTGGTCATCTGCAGCCCCAGCAGCTTTTGAGGGCTTATGGCTTTATGAACCTTGGCAGGCAATCAGTATGCACATCTGCTCAATATACGAGCCTCAAGAATTTGCGGTGGCATTCCTTCGTTGTAGAGATAGGCTGCTGCTGTTTCGGCCAAATAAACTCTTGTACTCCAGGGCCCTTTTTAGGATACCTAGTTTTATGGCTAGGATCTTTTGTCTTAAAAAGGAGGCGCCCTAAAAAAGGGGTGGGGTATGAGCCTCTAGGTCGAGTGTAAGCTTTTGGGTCTACGGTTCGGAGTGGCCTTGCGCAGCTGAACAGCACGGTTTATGGCTTCGGGTCGACACTGTCCCAAAGTGCGTCTGTCGGAGCACGAGTTTGCCACTTCGACCGCATTAATGGAATATTATGTAATTCATATATAATTGAATAGGAATAATCAATACTGTAAGCCAGATACTCCACTGGAGCAAAATTAGGCCCCAAACGCTGAATCCCGAAACACAAAGCCCTGAACCCTGCATTCCTAAAGAAGAGGCCAGCTGAGACACTGGAGGCGGCAGTCGAGGTACGCTCAACGGAACGGACCTGGGACGGTCGTGAAGGAGAATGGAAAAAACTGCAGTTGAACTTTTACCGTACCAAGACAACAACAATAAGCCCAAACCCTAGGAATTTACTGTACGAGGACAAATACAAGTCTCCAAGATGAGCCCAGCAGGGACTTGAGCTGTTAATCTTGCGAAAGAATGCTTCAAACATACTGTACCAATGCACTGTACCCTATACCTTAAGCCATAAACCCTAAATCCTAAACCCTACCAAAGGTCGAAACTGTTTTCCCAGGCACTGTACCCTAAACCTTATACCCTAAATCCTAAACCCTACCAAAGGTCGGAACTTTTCTCCCAGATGTGCCGAGGGACGGCCTTCTTGGCATCTCCGAGAAGCCTTGGCTGCGCTGGGAGCTTTGGGCTCGGGTCGAAACTCAAGAGTTGAGGCCCTCAGGGCTTGACTATCTATCTGCATATTATATATATATATATATATATGATATATATATATATATATAGTATATATATATATATATATATATATATATATTTTGCATCTACCTATCTACCTTTCTAGTTGCCTACACACCTGTCTGTCTGTCTGTCCGTCTGTCTGTCTGTCCGTCTGTCTGTCTGTCCGTCTGTCTGTCTGTCTGTCCGTCCGTCTGTCTGTCTGTCTCTCTCCGTCTCTCTGTCTCTCCGTCTCTCTGTCTCTCTGTCTCTCCGTCCGTCCGTCCGTCTGTCTGGCTACCCATCAAAGTATCTACCTACCTACCTATCTATCTATATCTCTCGACCAATCTCTCTCTCTCTCTCTCTCTCTCTCTCTCTCTCTCTCTCTCTCTCTCTCTCTCTCTCTCTCTCTCCCCCCACCTAAACTAGTCTGATAAACCTGTCTATCTGAGTCTGCATACCTATCTGCCCAGCCACCTAGCTACCGAGCTATCTAGCACACCGCTCTCCTGGCACTCATGTCACTGACATATCGAAGGTCCCGATCGGACATGCTCCCAACCTCCTCTGGTGTGGGTGCCTATCTACCGATCTACACATCTACCTCTGTATCTAACTCTACCTCTCTATCTATCCATCTATTTATTTATCTCTCTATCTACCTATCTAGCTATCTATCTGTTCGACTGTCTGTCTGCCTGCCTGCCTGGCTGGCTGTCCGTCTGTCTGTTCATGCGGCAGCTTGTCATTCTCCCTCTCTCTCTCTCTCTTCTATAAAGCGTGCTTTCCATGGTGCTGGGAGATGATGGATTCTTTGTGTTGCTTTATGTCCCATTTTGGAGGCGGAGAAGGGGGGAGGGGCACCTTGTGTGTATGTTTTGTGTACTGTTGGGCTGGGGTTTCGGACTTCGGGGCTGAGGGCTTGCACGGCACTCCATTTTGGTTCAGGGTTTAGGGTTTAGGGTTTAGGGAATAGGGCTCAGAGGGTTTAGGGTTTAGGGGTTTAGGGTTTAGGGTTGGCGCAGTCTGGATTTCTCTGGGGCTTGCACACCGAAGCAGGCACCAACAAAAACCCGAGAGAGCACGACGCTAGGTTCTGAAAGTGCTCAGATGTACAAGGCATAAATACGGAACGTCCATTGTAGAATAGAGCCCGAACTCCGAACTCAGATATGATTTGTGGATTCGGTGAATTTAGTTCCACTGTGCCAATGTAGCAGTAGCTATCGCCGGCCGAGCTGCTCCTGACTGATGACCTCCGTCGCGTTGATGTCCTGTAACTTGTAACTTGGTTCGTGCTAAGAAGTTCAAACTTCTTTAAGATACCACTGCAGGAATTTCAGGCACACCGAATATCACATGTCTTTCTCATTGTCGTATCGTAAACGTAGCTGCCTTCTTCCGTATATTAGTCCTGAACATGATGAGGTTGTTTGAGATTCAGGCTGATACCCCAGCCTTGCAAACGATATTTCGGGGCTCCTGGGTGCGGTCTCGAACTCACGCCCTGAGTTGACAATCGTGCTCCGGGCCACCTTGCGGCGAATGTCTTGGGGTGTGTGCGTCGCCCGGTTGCCGCAGAAGCCGGTCTTCGTCTGGTGGTACCAATCGGCCATAGCAAAGCGGTTCAAGTGCACCGACGCTTCCTGCCAGATGCCGCAGGTGTCCAAAACTCGTAGAGCTCTGTCGCTCTTTGGGGTCGGCGCTGGTAGGAGAAGGTGTTGTCCGTGCAGCCTAAGATGAAGAGGCTAGCTTTTAAACCCGCAGCAGAAAGAACGAAACCGAAACCTCAAGGCTCAATTCTGAAGGCCTATACACGACACCCTCAATCCGAAGGCGAATCCCAAACGCGAAACCCTGAGTCGTGTACAACTTAGACTAACACTCTATAATATCCTAAACCCTACACCCTAAACTCTAAGCCCCAAACCCTGAAGCCTAAGCCCTTTATCCTAAAGCCTACAGCCAAAGCCCTAAACCCTAAAGCCTACAGCCTAAGCCCTAAACCCTACAGCCCTACCAGCCTAAGCCCTAAACCCTAAAGCCTAAACCTTCTAAGACCGAAAAATCTCTGCCCTCACTAACCTTAACCCTGCTCGGGCCCTGAGACGAAGCTCAAGCCATTCTTCAAGGTTTTGGGGTAATGTAGGAACCTTAGGGTTCTGTAAGGGTTCCTTTAAAGGGACTATAACCTTAGGGTTCTATAAGGGCTCGTTTAAAGGGACTATAACCTTAAGGTTCTGCAAGGGTTCGTTTAAAGGGACTATACCTTAGTTTAAGGGGACTATAACCTTAGGGTTCTGTACGGGTTCCTTTAAAGGGACTATAATCTTAGTTTTAAGGGGACTATAACCTTAGGGTTCTGTAAGGGTTCCTTTAAAGGGACTATAACCTTAGTTTAAAGGGACTATAATCTTAGGGTTCTGTAAGGGCTCGTTTAAAGGGACTATAAGGGTGCTATATAAGGGTTTTGAAGGGTTTGATATAGGAACCTGATTAAGAAACCTTGGGCCTTTATCAGGGTTCCTTATATGAATCCTACTACTTTTGGGGGTTATGGACCCAGGGTTCCTTGATCAGGTTCCTACGTTGTAGGGTATAGGGCTTAGGGAAAAGGGCGAGGAAAAGGACGGGCTGAGAGTTCATGACGGGACCGAGGCCCCTTGCAACATCCTAACATTACCCTGGGCCCCCTTTCAAGACTATAGTCAGTCATAGCATACATATTGTACACACAAAACGAAGGCATTCGTTGTAAGCCTCATAGACCCTTCTTGGCCCGTCCTTGAGCATCACCGTGGTCTGCTCCGCCTCTACCTGGACGCCCGCATGAGTTGAATGACACCGGATTTCAAGCTTTAAAACTTTAAGCGCTTGAAAGGTCTAGGGTACAGGGAGTGCTTACGGTATATGGGAGTTTCCGAAAATAGGACCCTAATCTAGAACTCTAAGTAGTAGGATCCTTATTATAAGGACCCCCGAGAATAAGGTACCCTCCCACCTAATTTTCAGAAACTCCCATATAGAGTTGCTAGGGCTCGGGGGTTCAGGCTGGGGTTTTGGAGGTATGACTCTTGGGTTTTGGCTTTTGGGTCTGCGGTTTTGCGTTTGAGGTTCCGGGTTTTGGGGGGCCTTTGGCTTGTTTGTGCTTTAGGATATCTTGGGTCCAGTGCTTCGGGGCTTTGGGCGTGGGTGGCTTTTGAGAGATGTGGGAGAGTTTAGGGGTTTGGATTTGGGGTTTTGGGACTGCAGAGCCGGGCCGGAGGGGAATTCTACTTAAAGGCTCATGGGACTTAGTAAGTAAGGTTATATAAGTAGGTTATAATTAGGATAACCCCACTTAGGGGACTTATAACCCCAATTATAACCTACTTACTAAGTCCCATGATCCTTCAAGTAGGGTTCCAGATCCAAACCCACAGTCCCTATGCAGATCCAGTGTAATGTCGAAACCTTGGGCCTTTATTGGGGTTCCTTGTATGAATCCTACTGTTTGGGGAGTTATAGGCCCAGGGTTTCTTAATCAGGTTCCTACATTAAACCACTCTCTGGCTGCAAACCCCAACTCTCTCGCAGCCCAAATCCTGCATCTTCAACCCCTTCGGCTTAAACGGAGACTTGCTAATCAAATCCCAAACCCAAACAAGTAAATCCCTGACTCCGTGAACCACCGCGGGTCTTTCCCAACCCACCTCTGCAAGCACGAGCTTTTGCTCCACCTGCGCGATGACCTTTTGGCTCGTTCGCCTGTCGGCTTGACCGCTGGCTGGCCCAAAGGGTCCAGAGTACTGATATAGTGGAATGTAGGGTTTCTATATTAGGAACTACTATTATGATTTGGGGGAGTATTCCCCATAACAGTACATAGGACCCTTTGGTTGGAAGTTGGAACAGAGTTTATGCTCAGGATTTAATATCAGGGTAACAGAATGACAGAAACGGAAAGGAGCCCAACAATTATGCCGCAGAGGGTCTTGCATGAGTTAACAAAAGGTTTTATGTATAATCAGGGCTTCAGATGGCAAAGAGCCAGCGCTGTACAGGGGTTTAAACTACCACTCAGGCAAAGCATCAGCTTTCATCACAACAATACGCCCCCCTAAACCCTATAAATCCTATACCCGAGTTTAAGGTCAATTCCGTGATGAAAGGTGGCTCGACTCTGTGGGGGCTCCTGTCAGGGTCTAGGCTTAGAAAGAACTCCTGATTGTTGCTTTTGAACCTACTTGTCGGGTATCATGGGGAACTAAAGGTTAACCTTTTTGATGAGATAGGGGCTACATCGGGATTATACTACCCCAAAAAGGTTAAGGGTTACCTACTCTACTACTACATAGGTGAAGGAATAGGGGCCATGTGTAAACAGAACACTTGGCATTCGGGATATTGCACTGGACATACACCGGAAGTTCGAATCGTCACTATTGCTAGTTCCTGCGGCGTATGTTTGCTCAAACCAGGGATTCGTGAAGTCTCTCCTGACCTTCGACCGTGCCACTTCACCCAACCTGTAGGCGAACACCGAAAGTCTGTACCTAGGTCCCACAACATCAACACCGAACCTGAAGCCCTGCACGACACAACCCCGCACCCCAACATCCGAAAGCTTGAGTTTCTAGGCATCATGTTTTGCCGGAATCGGAGCCCCAACAGCCCTCAGCCCGTAAACAACCCAAAGACTAATCAGGCTCCAAAGCTACAAACCACAAACACTGACCATGCGTGTGTTTCACTCTCCGATGAAGAAAGAGCTCAAAACTCTCCCTCGGAGGCAGAAGCTGTATTATCAATCAAATGGGTTACCTGAAGCATTGGGTCTCTTGCCTGCCACCAACCCATCCAAACAAACTACTAAACCCCTCAGGAAAAGCATCCCAATTCCCATTCTGCGCGCGCCGTCGTTCCCAGTCTTGGCGAGTGGTCTTGAGCGGCTGCAGCGTGACCTTGCACTTCTTGGAGGTTCATGGGACTTAGTAAGTACAGTTATAGGCACCTTAACTGGGGATATAACCAACCATAAGTATTCTAAGTATAGCTACCTTATTTATAACCCTAGGTACTAAGTACCATGAACCCCTAACATGAGATCACCCGTAGCGCATTCAATCAAAGCCTTGAAGCTGCAGAGCTATCGACTCAACCCTGTTCCACATTCAGCAAGGAGTTTCTTTAACAAAAGGGGGCTGGGGCTTCAGGCCTTCAGGGGCTTAGGGGTTTAAGGGTTTAGAGGTTTAGGGGTTTAGGGTTTGGAGGTTTTGGGATCTATACATTGTCTAACTAAAACACGTATTCGTTGAACAAGGGGTATCGAACTGTCCAGCTTCGCTTGGCATAAATATCAAACGGTTCACTGCTTCGAGAGTGCAAGGGGCAATGTCGCGGTAAGTTGGCAGAAAGGTTGCTTCTTTTTGGTGTGGTTGCCACAGTACTAGTGATGCTTGGGAAAATCAGCACCCGAATCACAACCGCCTGCCAGTCCTGTGTGCAGACTCAGAAAGGCAGATTCCGCAATGCGTGAATGATAGCATGTATGATCAACCCATGCTATACCAACTCGCTGTGCGTGGTTTGCAGTTGTCACCATTTGTCATCACTAGTCACTATAACTGGTGGCTGATGATGCGATGTGATAGTGACAATCGTTCTCCTCCTTGTAGATTCGGTCAGCATTTATACAATTATGACATCGGGTGGGCGTTTCGAGTCTCGAAATGTACCCAGAATCCTGAAACCCCATCACAAACCCATGAATACCAACCCTCAACCATAAACCCAGAATAACACAGACTCGTGCCTGGGCCTGTTGAATCTGTTGCCTGAGCCTTGGCAGTCCAGGACGTCGCATGGGCTCACTGAGTTTTACGACAGGGCATTTTAGGGTGTTTGAAAGTGATTTCTAAGCTCGTTGTTTTAAGGCGTTAAGAGGGTTTACAAGAATCGTCTCGTGCCTTACAGAATGTTTAGGATTATACAGTGTGATCATGCGTCTTTCAAAGTTTGGTTCGATTTGTGGAGGTGGACTGGCTTCGTTTGCCGTCACGGGAGGGGGCGCGGGAGCGTGCGATCATCCAGCCCCAGGAAAGCCTGTCTGCATGACTGTTCTTGTTATTATGCTCTTACTGTTCTCATGGCTACTGGAATAGAAACGAAGGTGTCATAATGATACATACATTCCCTATATATGTATGCATGTACATGCACACGTATGTGCGTACATGTAGGTGCCAAGGTCTATGTATGTGCGTATAACATACACAGAACGACATACCACACCTAGTCAGGCCGGTAACTTGCGGTCGTCGTTGTCACTGTCAACTTCATGTAACAGTTGGTGAAAGCATACTGCTGGCTTTCAGGGTCACCAACCTTAAATCCTAATTAGTTTAGAGGGGGTGGTTGGGGCCGGACTTCATGCTGACACAAACACATGTCGAGCCAGATGTTCCCAAACCAAGCCGCAAGCCCGAAGGCATTAAGTTGCAAACCCCCTTGTGAAACCCTTAGGCCTGCGTCAGACTTTTTTCAATGTTACAGAGCTTAACCGCCTTAGCTCCGCAATCGCTACAACCCCCCGAAACCCTTTCTGCTTTCAAGATGAACAGACAAATCAAAGCTCTAAATCCGCAGCCTTGAATTCCACAGAACCCTGAAAGCAACCCATATAATTCTACAGTAACCCTAAACCCTAAACACTAAACCCTAAACCCTAAACACTAAACCCTAAACCCTAAACCCTAAACCCTAAACACTAAACCCTAAACCCTTTATTATATAGAGGAGAACCTTCAGGGAACCTCGGCCTTGAACCCCATAACCCTTATGGAAACCCTTCTAGTTCTACCCTAAGGCCCCAAAGTAGTTCCTTGTTGTGGTGCACATTTAGAACCCTATGAGGTAATCCCAAAAAGGAACTACTATGGGGCCTTAGGGTATAGTGTATGATCCTGAGTAGAGCAGCCCCCAAACCTAGCGTGGCCGCAAGATCCGACGTTTAGGGCTTAGGGTTTAGGGTCTAGGGATCCCAAACCCTAAAGCCCTAAACCCAAAACCCCTAAACCCTAAAGCCCTAAACCCTAAATCCTAAATCTAAGGCCATGAGATCCCCGGCCTCAGCAGCTCCTCGCGGGCGCCCTCGTGCGCAAAAGGAGGCAGATTCTCGATTTCCGCCTCTTTCGCCTTCCAAAACGCGACGGGCGTTTATGTGGATCTCTTGGGTGCTGTTGGGCTTGGTTTGTTCGGGGTTTTGGGCTTTAGAGTTGAGGGCTTGCGGTTTTGAAGGTGTCTACTTGAAAGTCGTGGAACTCCTAGCCATCCTGCTACCTTGCCATCTCTGCAGCCCCTAGCCTGAAACCCATAGGCCTAAAGATGCTTCGGTGGGTTCGGGCTTCCGATGGTTTCAGCTGGCAAGGGGTCAAATCAAGACTTTATTCTAATAAGGCCTCATAAACCCTAAACCCTAAACCCTAAACCCTTCTAATAAGGCCTCATAAACACTCTAGGGCCTCTTTTTGTTTGGGGGTTCAGCTCTTTTGGCCCAGCAGGCCGTAAGTAGAGCCGGGTAGCCTCAGTACTGATAGGGCTTAGAGCTTGCAGGGTTGAAGGTTGAGAGCGCACGGACTACCCTTTTCGTATCCCTGTGTATAAGGATCCCGTTAAAGGGAACCCTAGGCAATTATTAAGGCCCCCTATATTATTCCAACATCTCTGGGTATTTCAGGTACAAACCGGTACAGACTTCCAAAAGACCACTTAAGAACCACCTTGTAACGCTCTCACGGAAACGCTACCTGCAGCGATGTCTTCGCCGAATCCAGGCCGAACTGCGCTGCAGAGACCGCCGTTTGAAGCTGACTTGGAAGGCAGGTGCCGAGGTTTGGAGGTTCATGTGGGGGCTAAAGGCTTACGGCTTAGGGGTTTAGGATCTAGAGCCTAGAGCTTTGCAGAGCTAGGGATTCCCGACCTAAGGGGTTAAGGGATGTTCAGGGTGTAAAGGCTTGGAGGTTTGAGAGTTCCCGGGGCGACAGGTATAGGGGGCAGGGTGTAGGTGTTTCATCATTCGACGCACCTGAACGAGAAGCACATCAAGATGCTTAACAAAGAGCTTTGGAAGATCTCTTCTTTCGGCAAAACACTCGAGGATCAACGCCGTTTGCTCATGAGGAAGGCATGCACACGGTATCGAATCCGTTAGTCATGAAGTAGGACCCCTAAACTCTAAACCAAGCATTGTGCCGTTTGTCAGGCGTGGAGGAGTAAAGCGGGGCTCTCCGGTCCGCTCGGTGTAGCAACGACTGTAGAATGTGCACTTTGTTAGCCTTGTGGTCGACAGCCATGGCTAACTGTTTAGTGTTTAGGGCTTGGGCTTATAAGTTTTTTTTTAGGCACGAGTTGATTCTGCTGACTTCAGTGGGACACATCACATACGATCGTCCGACTTGCTGTTCGGCTCTTTGTTCTTTACGCTTGAGGGTTTTGAAGATCAAGGGCTTTACGATTCGGGGCTTGGTGTTTCGAGATTTAGTAGCTTCGGAAAGTCTCCTGCCGACAAGCTCCAGATTGAAGCCCTGCCCAGTGCATTGTAACCTGCACCCAACCTACTACCACCACAACCGCTACTACTGTAGTACTACGACGACCACTACGACTACGACTACGACGACGACTACTACTACTACTACTACTACTACTACTACTACTACTACTACTACTACTACTACTACTACTACTACTACTACTACTCCGTTTTTCTACTATGTACTGCTACTACTACTACCACCACCACTACCACTAGCACTACCACTACCAGCACCACTGCTACGGTCTTTCGGGTGTTGGCCACCACATCCAGTCTTCTGCCGTGTTGCTCAAGCGCTTGCGTAGCCGACTCGTGATCCTCCTGCAGAACAAACTTTAGCTAATAGTTCGAGCCCCTATCTTCTCGCAAAGCCTTGACAGGTTAGCCCTCCATGTCCTAAGGACTCAAGTGTCTGAAGGTTGAGGGTTTTCTGCTACTGTGCTTTCTTTCCAGAATTTGCTGTGGGCCTCAAACTTTTGCTTCTTATGAAGTCTGCGACGTACTGGAGAGTGGAAGTTGGTCTGCACATTCAAAGCTACAGTATACCGCAAGGCTAGCCGGGCCCCTGTGTTGAAGACCGTAGTTACCGCATGATCGATATCTAAGTTAACTAGAGACAACTCAACATGGACTTATGCTTGTAGTGTTGGAGGATACGGCGCTGCATATCCGGAGGTATGGTGCAACAACCCACCGAAGCTCATAAACATATGCCGCAGAATCGCGACAGGTGGCTTGGGGCTTCGTGGTACACGTGCATCTGTCTAGATAGAAACACAGATAGATACATGGACACATAGATCGATAGATGGTTAGATAGATGGACAGACTTGTCTATCTATCTGTCCATTTATATTTCCATGACCCCGTCTATCAAACCACCTACCTATCTATCCATCTATCCACCTGCTCAACGATCTGTCGACCTATCGATTTACCGCTGTATTGATCTGTCGATCTGTTTATCTATCTCTCATAAATGTGCACAGATAGATAAATTGATCTTGCTTCGATGTCCTCACAGCTTGCGACCATGGTCTTTGTGATCTGAGCTTTCCTTGTAGGGTTTAGGGTCTCGGGTTCAGGGTTTAGGGAACAGGAGCTTTTCTTGCTGTGTCGTTTACAACAGGCGCATCAATACTTAATAGTTTCAAAAGGATTCCGTTTGAGTGTTCCTCTCAAAGGGTTCTATAAGTTGACTATTGAGGTTTAGCATGGGGCCCTAATCAGTAGCACCGGGTTTCGGGGTCTAGAAGAGTGATGAGAGGACTATGAGGCAATATTCTTACTAATTCTTCTGCTTTGGGGGATTATACTTATATTATAGTCTACGTAGTCATCGTATAACTACCATAAGGACCCCTGAGGAATGCTTTCCGGTCATACTCTCGGCTCCGCTGCTGCCTGTGAGCTGTGGTGCTGAAGAGTCTAAACTTCAAGGCTTATTTTTAAAGTGTGTTGGTGCCTTTTCCTGCAGAAGTCCCACCCAATGTTTGGGTTCACACTACTCACAAAACAGCCCGGCCCTTGAAGTTTAGGGGCTCAGGTGCTTCTTTTTAGGGCTTCAGGAGTTCATGGCTGAAGCTTCGGGGCTTCGGGAATTTGGGGGGTTCAATCTCTGAAACCCTACTTGAAGGATCATGGGACTTAGTAAGTAGGTTATAATTGGGGTTATAAGTCCCCTAAGTGGGGTTATCCTAATTATAACCTACTTATAACCTTACTTACTAAGTCCCATGAGCCTTTAAGTATTCCCGAAGTTCCAAATTCGCAGTTGCAGCCTGCACTGAACTCTGAAACTTCAGTCCTGGCGCTCGGAGTAGGAGCTGATGGTGCTAATTCGCGGCTTACTAGGGTTGTAGGGTTCAGAAGTTAGACGTTAAAAGGGTTATCATATGTGCTGCCAGATCTTCGGGCTACTGCGTCAGTCCTGGTCTGATGGCAGGCTTGGATGCAGAACGATCAGTTTCAGGATTTGGACTTGAGGGTCAAGTTATGCCGGGAGGGCTTAGGGGTTTTAGGGTTTAGGGCACAACCCAAACACATTCGCCGAGCCGGCGTTGACAACCACGGAAACTAAAATCTCTGAACCCAACTTCGTCTGGATCCGAGATGCTCAACCAGATCCTCTGCCTCGTTTGCAAGCCTTGGTGGGCATGTGAGAGTTAAAGTGTATGCCGAAATACTCCCGGAGGTTCCGCATGACCGCGACCCTGAAACCCCTAGACCCTAAACCCATCCCTAAACCCTTAAACCCGTAAACCCTAAACCCTTAAACCCCAAAGGCCATAAATCCTTGAACCCTAAAACCCTTAAACCCCTTAAACCCTAACACCCTCAACCCCTAAACCCTTAAACCCTTAAAACCCTTAAACCCGCAAACCTCTAAACCCTAAAACCCTAAACCCTTAAACCCTAAACCCTTAAGCCCGAAACCCTTAAACCCTTAACCCTTAAACCCTAAAGCCCATAAACCCCTAAACCCTAAACCCTTAAACCCCTAAACCCATAAACCACTAAACCCCCGAAACCCTTAAACCCTTAAACCCTATAGATCCCTTTAAAGGAACCCTATAAGCCCCTATAGATCCCCTTCTGAAAGCCCTCATTCGTACAGGGGGATCAGGGTTGAAGCTTCGGGGTCTGCGGGCTTGCAAGGCTCCCAGAGAACCCAAAGGCCCCTTGACTAGGGGTTTAGGGGTTTAGGGGTTTAGGGGTTTAGGGTTTTGGGGGTTTAGGGTTTAGGGTTTAGGGGTTTAGGGTTTAGGGTTGGGTTCCTTAAAGGGTTTAGGGTTTAGGGTTTAGGGGTTTAGGGTTTAGGGTTGGGTTCCTTAAAGGGTTTAGGGTTTAGGGTTTAGGGGTTTAGGGGTTTAGGGTTGGGTTCCTTAAAGGGTTCCTTAGGGATCCATAAGGGTTGCATGAGGGAATTAAGGAACTAAGGCATCTACCTTAGGGTTCCCCAAGGGGGTCCTTAGGGAACTATAAGGGTTCTATCAGGGAATCAAGGAATATACCTGAAATCATAGAGGCCCTCATAGTATGATTTGAGGTAAATTCCTCAACTAAGGAGGTATTGGGATCTCTGTTGAATTCCAGGCTGAGGCCCTGTGCAAGCGTGTTCTACGGGCCCGGCCCGGGGTACATTTTCAGGATTCCTCAAGGGTTCCTACTAAGGGTTCCTAAAGAGGGTTTAAGGTTTCGGGGTTTAGGGGCTCAAGGGGCGCCTGAGTTTCGGAACGACAAAGACTACCAAAAAACACTCGAAGCGAGAAACCTAAGATAGCGGCCTGAATAATTAGAATAGGGTTTTGGGGTATCTTATACTATAACTGTAATAAGGAACCCAAAATAGCATAGGAAATTCTTTAGGCCCCCACATTAAACCAGAAACCTAACATTTTTGCAACACTCTGGAGCCTGAGTCTTCAAACAGTGCCCAGGGGCATGAGGGTAGTGGAGATGAAGTCCGGCAAGAGCATCTGCGTCTCCTGGCACATATTCAGGGTCCAGTCCTCCAGCTCAATTAACTTCCCTAAACCGTAAACCCTGTAAATGTTTTTCATTTTTTACATTTTATTATTCTTCTTACTCAACGAGAGGGGGGTTCTCCAGAACGAAGATCCCTCTTGGAGATCTCGGTGAAACGGGCTTGTAACGACGACCCCCTGAATGATTAGTAACTTGATTCCTTCGCGTTGTTCAACATGCACTTAAAGTAGAAATGTGACACAAAACCCTGTTATATAAAACAAATTGAGGCACTGCTGCAACTATGTGAATTTGTGTTCCGCTGTGCTTTCTGAGACCTACAATCGCAGCGTCGATTTGTGACTTCTGTTTGGCGTGGTCGGGTTTGGGCTTTAGACCAGTTTAAGAGCGACCTGAGTGGAAGACTTCCCAGATTGGGATCTCTGGGTTCCAAACCAGCAACCCTGATGCCCTACACCGCTGCCCTTGTACCCTTAGTGCTAACTGCAGCCCGAACGCCGTCAGTCAAGCCTCTGAAACCCATTTAACTCTGGGCAAATTGGCAACATGACGCTGGTTTGTCGGCTGATCTCAGTCCGTCTGCAGCCCGACTTCGGCTTCCACTACAATCCCGGCTTTTCGTTTAGGGTTTAGGGTTTATCATAGGGACCCCCAGGGGGATAAGGGGGACGGGGCGTAGGGGACTATGCTTACCCAAATAGGCCTTGATTATTAAGTCCAAAAATTATTGATATTAAGACCCCCTCCCCCCCTACCCCCCGAAGCGTCCTCATGCGTTTAGGGTTCCCAAAGGCTCCATGTACCCATACAGTAGGTACTTAGGCCTTAAAGTACCCATATAGGGACCCCTTTAAGGCCCAAGTACGTGCTATATGGGAGTTTCCGAAAATAGGGGTACCTTATTTTGGGGTCCTTAAAATAAGAATCCTACTATTTAGGGTACTATATTAGGGTCCCCTATTTTCGGAAACTCCCATATGGGTACATGGAGCCCTTTGGGGTTTACAAGTCTGCACGCCGGCCTGCGCCTCTTCCTGCCGCAGGGCTGCATCTTCGATCTCCTGTCCGGCTTGGCGTCTTTTTTTTTTAACCTAAGACTCCAAGTGACCCAAAGTAGGTAGCATTTATAGACTTTAGACCCCAAAGTAGGTACTGTTTGTATACTTGGAGTCTTAGGGTAAGTGTTGAAGAAGTCCCACCCAGTATTTGGGCTCACACTAAAGTTAAAGTTAAGAAAGAGGCCCATTCAGTAGTCGCCCTTCATGGTGTAGGGTTTAGGGTTTCTTTCCTTCAGTTTTCAAGGGGACTGTTGTTTTCTGATGTTGTAGGGGGGAGAGCACGACTTTGGGGCTTAAGGTGTGTATAACGCATGAAACTAATCAGTCTTTTTTGGTACCTACCTGTCTCAAACTCTTGTTTAGGTTTGCGGGTCTTAGCACAGCTGCGGCAACTCCTGCGTGTCTGAGGCTGAGGAGTCGGGCTTTTGGGCTTTGGGTCCAGAAGGAGACTCTTCAACCAACGACAATAGGGGGTACCTTATTTGGGGGTCCTTATAAGGATCCTACTATTTAGGGTACTATATTCGGGCAGCATCAATCTTTCCCCCTTCCCTTTTCCATCGCTTCCGCCGTCATTCCGCAACTATAGGATTCCATCAGGGTGTGGCCAGTGGCGACTTGATCGCCAGCATCAGATCTCCGAGATTTTAGGAAGTTCTTGATAATGTCGTCTTGCCTACTGCTACTTTGTGCAGTCTCCTGCCACGTTGCATTCTGATCAATTCCTCGAACTATTGAACCGGATATTCGTAGACTTCCGGTCCCTCAACCATAACAAAACAAACAAACCTCAAACTCTAAACCACTAAGCCACTGAAACACAAACGAAATCAACACTTCGGGTCCACAGGCCTTCTGCTGCTTCTGCAGGTTGGCAGCCTCTGTGTCCTGCAAACTAAAGAGTCGTTGGGCTTTGCGGTTCGGGATGGTTTGTATATGTTCTATGTTGGCTTTATCTGGTTTCTACTTTCAGGGTTCATGGTTGCAGGGGTGTTCAGTAACTGGCATACGGCTTTGGGCTTCGGGACTGTGGTAAAGAGCACGATCTCCGGTTTAGGGTTTTGATTGAAGACCTAGGAACTGGAAATAAATACTGCTTGCGAGGTCAGAGTATGGGATTGAGGGGTTTGTCAGGTGTATAGAAGATCTGCCAGTGGCCCCTGCGATATCTAGGGGACCTAATTTAAGGCTTTCATTCTTCGGGGTCGGCGTCACGAGGCCCATGCCCCGCGGCGAAGACCTACAGACATGGGGACGGCCTCAGGCAGGAAACCTGGAAGCGAACCTCCCTAAGACTGAGAAAGCTGCAGAGAGGCCGCCAGCACGCAGGGAGAGCCCCTGAATCTCAAAGGTCCCCCTAAGCCCTAAAGCCTAATCAGGCCCCTACAAAATGTCCACCCCTCAAGCTAGCAATCTGCATGCACGGTGGACGAAGCATGGACCTCTTGGGAAATGCAGTGTGCATGGGCTCGGACACTCCAAAAACAAGGACGCGGAAAGCAACCCTACAGGGTCACGAGACCGTCTGCAATTGTAGGAGGCACGAAGCAATGACTGGCAAGCATAGGAACCGAGGCGTAGCTCACAAAGCTGTATAACAAATGTGTCAGAGGCTTGATAAGCTTGGATGTTTGTCCAACTTCTGCAAGTATTTTGGCTTATCAAGCGGTGCGGCTACCCCTGACGGTCCAGTCGCTGGCAGCAGTCCGCAAGACGGTTTCGAAACTCCTGCGAGCTTGGTTTTCGGTGCAACCCTAAACCCTAAACCCTAGCATTTCCGAAATTTCCAGGAGCACCGTCTACTTCAATGCTCATCAACCTGAGCCCTGCACCGAAACTCCGACAAGATCCTAGCAAACGCCCAGTCGCTACAACGACGGCGACGACGGCGACTGCCTGATGATGATACTATAGCAACTTTGGTAGTAGTCATCATCATCATCATCGTTGTCATCATTATCATCATCGTCATCAGCAACGACATCGAATAAGCAACAGACTAGTGGCAGCAATAATAGTCACAATAACACTACAATAATGGAGACGAAGTGTATTAACAATAAAACCGTTATGAGCAGAATCATAGCAGTAGCAACCGTAATAACAACAGCAACGTTGAGATAATAGTGAACAGCAAATGGTGAACCCTTCACACAAATCTCGAACCCTTCCAGAATGCGAGAAAACCCTGCATTGTTTAAGGACATATATACGGGAAATCTCAATAAGGAACCGTACAAAAGTAGGTTGTATAGTTAAAACCCACGACCCTTAAGCACCGAAACGCCGCTTCACCTCTTCACGAAAGCCACCCCGCTCGTGCCTGCAACTCCTCTAGGATGGAGATGCTATCCCTTGGAGGTCCGGTCTTCACGCAACTGGGTTCTTAGAGTTTGGGGGTTTGAAGGGTTTGCAGGTTTCGGGCCTAAGTTCAGGGCTTACCGTAGTACATCCTGAACTCGCATTTTGGGGATCTTAGGGTGGATGGCAAAACCAAGGTGCCGATTTATTTGGTTGAGGGTGTAGCGGTTATGGTGTGTGATTCAGGTTTAACGGTTTCGAGTGCACCCCTGAATGAGTGGAGTGTGTGTTTTTGAGGGGGGTGTTGAATTCTCTTCATATTAAAGAAACCGGCTTTAACTCGTCTTTGTGTCAAAGACATCCTCGTGCAAGTATGTATACATTCCCCCGATTTGATTAAGCAGTGCATCCATACTACTTGGAAAGGTCGTACGATAAGCCCACCCCCCACCCCCCCCCAACAAGTAGACTCACCCTTTGCCAGGTCGTTGCGAACACAAACAGCAGAAATACGGAACTCGTTTGACCACGGCTTGCTTGGAAGACCAGTTGGCCGTGTCACACTGACCCAATGTGGAGTGCGGTTTAGGGTGTCGGCTCAAGCGGTTCAGCATTCATGGTCACAGTGGCAAAACCCAGACCCCAAACCAAATCCAGCAATCAAAACCCGAACACCCACCCCTCACCCCCCACACCAATACCCGTTCCACTGCACCCTGAACCCAACCCTTTAGATCTCATGAGCGCTACACCCGAAAGCCCAAATCCACAAGAACCCTTCTCGAACCCTTATCGAGCATCATTCTGCATCCCCCGTTTTATGAATAAGAATAACCTACAAACACACACACACAACAAAAAGAACAACACACACTCACTCACTCGCTCACTCACTCACACACAAAAAAACACACACACACAGAGACCGAACTTTAAACCCCAAAACCCTAGGCCCAAAACAAAAGACCCAACACCCTAAACCCCAAAACTCTAAACCCCTAAACTCCCAGTACCCAAGACGAGAGGCAGCTTCTGCCGCGGCACCGGGATGGAGGCGGCCTGTCCTTTGATCTCCTGGGTTGCTTAAAGGCTCATGGGACTTAGTAAGTAAGGTTATAAGTAGGTTATAATTAGGATAACCCCACTCAGGGGACTTATAGCCCCAGTTATAACCTACTTACTATGATGATTCTTGAAGTGGAGAGGCGTTACGGTTTAGGGTTCCTTTTAAGGCTTTAAGGGCTCCTTTAAGGGATTCTTTAAGGGATCTACAAGGGTTTATGAGTTTAGAAGTTTAAAGTTTCGGGTTCAGGGTTTAGGGGTGTGTTTATGGGTTGAGGGGTGTGTTTATGTTGCATACGGTTCGGGTTTAGGGCTTTGTAGGGTTCTAGGGCTTGGATGGTGTGAATCGGGTGTCAGGGTTTAAGGCCCGTGCGGTGTATAGGGTTTTGGGTTCAGGTTTTCGGGGTGCAACATGCTATGCTCAGGGTTTCGCAGGGTGCATTATGGTGTGTCCATAGGGCTTTGCGGAATACTATAATATGTGCTACGGTTGATGATAAAAATCTGCATTACCTTAAGGACCCCAAACTGTGGGAATTATGGTTCATTCCTTATTATGGGTCATGCAGGATTTATATCATCAACCGTACAGATACTGGTGTACAGAGTTTCTTTCCAGGCGGCGGCTGAAAGGATCTAGGGCGTATATACATATACCCTAAGAACAAGCCCTTGAGTAGTATATAACCTAGTAAAGGCCAAGAAACGATCAAATGAGCCTTGAAGCATACCCAAAAGCCCTTAGAGAACCCTTTGAACAAAACCCTCTAACCCCGCGATTCTTAAACACTGAATGACTAAACCCTAGGAGCCGCCATAGAACCCTGTAACACCAGAACAAGCCCTGCACAAATCCAGACCAAGCCTAAACCCTTACCCCTGCAAGCCCTAGAAGCCCTAAACCCTTTAGACGCTAAGCCGCTAAGCCATAAATTCAACACCAAATACCCTGCGGAATAGACTTCCTCGTATAAGGAACTTAAAAGGCAGGCTTTTCAAAAACAGAGACTACAATATCCCTTGATTACAGAATATACCTTAAATCATATTCGAGATCCTACTATAGTTTAAGGTATGTTCTTTAATCAAGGGATGTTAGAACCCCTAAGCCCTATAGATCTCCTTTAAGGATCCCTTGAAGGAGCCCTTAAGGCTATATTCCTTACTTCCCAGAGAACCCGATACCCCTTAATTAAGGATTATGCCCTAAATTATAGAGGCCTTGATATTCTGATTTAAGGTATATTCCTTAATTAAGGGGTATTGGGATCTCTGGGAACCTTAACCAAGCATCCTACAGATCCCCTTAAAGGATCCCTCAAAGGCTCCCTTAAGGCTATATTCCTTAGTTCAGGGAGTTAGGAATCCCTACACCCTAAACCCTGTAGATCCCCTATAGATCCCTTAAAGGAGCCCTTAAGGCTATATTCCTTATTTAAGGGAGATAGGAATCCCTACACCCTAAACCCTGTAGATCCCTTAAAGGAGCCCTTAAGGCTATATTACTTACTTAAGGGAGATAGGAATCCCTACACCCTAAACCCTGTAGATCCCCTATAGCCCTTAAGGCTATATTCCTTACTTAAGGGAGATTCCAAAATCCCTACACCCTAAACCCTGTAGATCCCCTATAGCCCTTAAGGCAAAATTCCTTACTTAAGGGAGATAGGAATCCCTACACCCTAAACCCTGTAGATCCCCTATAGATCCCTTAAAGGAGCCCTTAAGGCTATATTCCTTACTTAAGGGAGATAGGAATCCCTACACCCTAAACCCTGTAGATCCCCTATAGATCCCTTAAAGGAGCCCTTAAAGCTATATTCCTTAAGGGAGATAGGGGTCTCTGCATTCAGGGCAACCCTGGAGTGTCCCGGGGCCTTCATTTCCTCAGCCGTCTCCTGCAGGTCTGCCCTGGGTCCGGATTTTGGTTAGGGTTTTAGGGGTTTAGGGGTTTAGGGGTTTAGGAGTTTAGGGTTCGGGGGTTTAGGGTTTAGGATTTTAGGGGTTAAGGGTTTAGGGTTAAGGGTTTAGGGCCTGGAGACTCCCATGGCCTTAAATAGGGAATATGCCTTAAATCATACTAGGGATCCTGCTGTAGCTCAAGGTATCTTCCGTACTTCAGGGATATCGGCGTCTCTATGTTCCTTCGCAAAAAGGCCAGCCAAGTGAGCTTCCTACAGGTAGCTCTCTGACTTGGGGTCCCTTTTGGTGGTCCTTTTTTATAGAAGGGGTGCCATACTGTTTTGGGGAACGTCAATATATAGGGGACCGACCTTAGAGAACTAGTCATCTGGCTCTGAGCGAAACTGTTGGTTCGGTTCGGAATAAGGTGTCCATAAGGGACCCGACAAAGGTCCATGGAGAGTTCTTTTTTGGGGGGAGTGATTGTTCAGGGTTTTAGGGGTTCATAGACCCAGAGACTGGGACTAGGGTTTGGGGATTTGGAGGATCCCAGAGAAGTACCTAAACACACGGTCTTTGTTCAGGAAGCTGCACAACGGCGCAGGCTTCACTAGTTATTGTTCTGCGTTTTTGGGATTTCGGAACCCCTACCTTCGGGAGTCAAGGCTTGAGAGCGTTTCGTGGAGTAGGTTTCCGAAGCATCTTCCGGGCTTTTTTGGGTGCTTGCCTCAACCAGACGACGCCCAACGGTTTAGGGTTTAGGGTTTAGGGCGTCGCAACGGCTCCTCCAACCATTGAACGCATACTTACAAGCCAAACCCAACGCATGGGCCTGAGTCACCGGAGCTGGATGTTTGGGGCACCTACCGCTATTGGGTGGGGTTGTTCCGAAGATCGTACAGCACAGTGCAGGATAGCGCAGGATCGCGCAGTGCGGCATAGCAGGGAGACTCTCATGCAGACCATGAGCTCAGAGGTTAGACGACGTCCCCAGAACTTTGACATACATGTTTTCATGCAGATCAAACGCCAAACCCTAAACACAGACAGCCGGATGCAACAGTCACAAAGCCCTGCTAGAAGGGTCTGTACCGCGCAACTTTCACCCCTTCGACCCTAAAGCCTTAAACCCAAACCCCTAAATGAAAGGCTTGTAAAACCGCTAACCCCTAAACCCAACCCCCGAAGGCTTAAACCCCTAAACCCTAAACCCCTTAACCTTCATAACATCCGGACCTGGGAACGTCAGCCGAGATGCAACGCCTTCTGGATCCTAAGGAGTTCTGAGTCTTGGGGTTTCGTTTTGAGGCCAAGCTGGGTTCAGGTTCTTGAGAACACCGAAACCACCCTCGCCCTAATCCCGGAACTTCACCGGCACCTCCAGGATATTTAGTGAGTGCAGGCGGTTTAGGGTTGAGGATGATTTGGGGTTGAGGCTGTTTCAGGGGACGAAGCCATCGAAACATTAAGCCCTGATGCACGGAGCAATCGAAGCCTAACCACCTAAAAAACTCCGAGGAAGTCTCCAGCCCGTGGCCTTTGGTTATACTGATCCCAGTGATGCAGCCTTTTCTACATAGGTATCTAAATTTCTATATAACAGACCCTAACCATAAAACCAGGTATCCTAAAAAAGTGGTACATAGGGTAATTATGACCCTCTAGGTATTGTCTGATGCCGACTTACTGCTGGGATTTGGGTTTTCTTGGGCTTGAGACTCTTAAGCCCTAAACTCTATAACAAACATTCTAAATCCCTATATAGTCCTAGCGCGGTCCTAAACCCCACACCCCCAAAACCACAATCTCCGGGCCCTAAGCCCCGGAAATCCTAAACCCCAAACGATAAAACCCAATGCGGTTTCCTTAACCCGAAACCCGTAAGCCTACATTTCAGCAGCAAAAGCGTCTCATCCTCTTTCCCACGGTTGCTCGCCAGTCGGGCTTTCTCCTTGCAGGATACAAAAACAACTAGTGGCCTTAATTAATATAAGTACACGGTTTAGGGTTTAGGGTTTAGACTAGGATTAAGGTTTTGGGATACCTTGTAGTACAACTCTAGAGGGACTCCATGACTAATACTTCACACTTCTAGACCTCACTGCCCCTGCGGGCCTTTGCTACCCCTGGATCCACATTATGGAGAGAAAAGCAAACATGCACATGCACATGAATATGAATGGATTCACATCGCGTGATTTATTTCTAAATCCTGGACTCTAAATCGTGAACCGAAAACTTCAAAACCCTGGGGTTTGTTTGGGGTCTCCGATACCCCTAAACTTCAATAGCTTTAAACCTAAACCCTTTAAACCCTCAACCCTTTAAGCCCTTAAGCCCTAAACCCCAAGGCCTTAAGCATCCCAACTCATCCTGGTTCTGGAAAGCCGAGCGGCAAGGAAGACAAGGGAGCTTCTTGATGTTAAGGCTCCGGTACGATATTTGGGGTTTCCGGTCTGGGGTTGGGGTTTAGGGTTGAAGGTTTAGGGCTACTTGCTGTCTTTTCGTGGCAGTGTTCTTATCACTAGTCTGCTTGCGTGTCATCACACTTTGATCTCCGACTGGAGGTTCATAAACCACCGATCCTACTGTTGGACTTTGAATCTTGAAGATCCTTACCGCTACTAGGTATTCTGAAACCCGGCCTGAAACCGACGACTGGCTTGAAAGCTCCCGACGGGAGGCTCAACAGATGGAAGTGGGTGCTTTGAATGGCTCCCGCTTTAGGGGAGACTGCTTAGCTGACACAATATCGAGGCCTTCGGGAAACCGGACCTCCAAGCTTCAGACAGGGGCTGGGGCGGCTTGGGGATATTCTACACTCCGTTTATACACGGACTGGACTATGAAGAAATGAAATCACCAACTATTCAGACACCTCCATGAACTCGAAACAGTTTGCTTGACTGGGGCGGTCTCCTGCGCTTTCTTCACCTTGAGAACAAGTGGCTTCACGTCGTTCTTCAAAGCTTCCTGAGCTTTGGAGTCTTGAAAACACCAGGGCTAGGTTGTAGGCACAAGTAGGCTCGTAAGCCGTGGTGCGAGGCTAGACATGTCTGTAAACGGCCCACTTGAAAGCGCCAGGCCGCAAAGCCCCTTAAGATCGTCACCCTCTGCGCGACAGCCTAACATCTCAGAGGCAGACCACAAGCTCTTCTCCGGGCCATAGTCAAAAAATGGTGATTGACACTTCGTGTTGGTGACTTTTGTGGCTCAGCTCCAAATCGTGAAACCATATTCATGACCTGAAACTCTAAACTCCAGACCCTACTCCATTCTTCAAAGCGCATGCAGTCCGCCAAACTAGACATAATATAGGGTGCTTAACAATTAGAATAGGGTGTGGGGGCCCATTATTATAATAAGGAACCTCCAAAACAGTATTAGAAACTATTAAGGCCCCTATATTAGACTCTGAACCGTGGAGCGGAGCTCTGGGCTGCGATAGTCCGAGAATGCTGAAGCAGGATCAAGACCAAGATTCAAGATGGAAGCCTGCCTATACTCACTAACATTATTCCGTAGGACTCCTTAGTACAAGGGTGCTATAGGATACCCACCACCCCGTTCTTGTTATCCTTCGCTCGGTATAAGTCCACATGTCATGCGCGCTTGCGCAGCTTGAGTCGGGGCAGTGCCTGGGGGGAAACGCGCCCGGGGGGGGGGGGGGGGAAGCATAAGTCGGCTGCTTCCGAAACGAGCCAGTGTTTGAAGGAAAGCACTTTCGTGCTTCTACTGACTACTACTGGGGCCGCCAGCACTTTGCGGACATCCTCCTCCCCCTTCCTCGACACACCAGGCTACCATGCTCCCCGATCAAATCAGGAAGCAGCATACTCGCTATCAACCCAAGTGTCGACTACCACCATCGATCAACGCACCATAAACTCATCATCACCACCACCACCACCGCGGTCATCATCATCATCATCATCACCATCTTTGTCATAACTCGGTATGCATCCCCTTATTCCGTTAGCTTCATGCCGAGCTTCCAGTTTTATTCTGGCGTCTGTCTCTTGCCTGCCAGGAGGACACAGATTGGCATCGGAGTGGTGCTGACCCACCATAAGATCCGGAAGACACTACATGAACATCGAATCACTAGCCTAAGCCCTGGATTTGGCTTTAGGGCAGAAGGGCTTTTCAGCTTGTCGGGCCTTGCAACCTGCATGAACCAAGAGCCTGATGCAGCTCAGCTGCTAACGGAGTGGCGATTAGACTACTGGTTTAGGATCGTTATGAGGTTGTGCACAGGCCCGCGGGGTTTCTGCATGAAAGATTCAGACAGCTAGCAGACGTACCTAAGTCTCGCAGGCAAGACAGACACGCACGGAGACGAACACCTGCAAACACACTGACGCCGCCGAGATTTTAAGACCGTGTCCCCATGGATTTACACCGGAGATGGGGTTTCGGACTTTGGTGCCTCGGACAAAGATTTTAACTATCAGCCCTGGGTCTTGAACTCTAAAGAGGCGGTGTACGGTTTATGTTCAGAGCTTAGGGGGTAGGATTTTTGGGGAACTTAGTCTTCATGTTCAGCTTGCAATCCTGAACTTGCGATGCTCTAGAATCCTAGAAATGGGAGTTTTCGAAAAAAGGGGATGCTAATCAAGTACCCTATAAGGACCGCAGAATAAGGTACCACCCAATTCTCGGAAACTCCCAAATAACCTGCCAAGCCTTCATCATCCCAAAACCCAACTCCCAAACTCTAAATCCCGTCTCCTCGAAAGCCTAAATTCCGAATCTCAACCCCAACGGATGCCCTGAAGGGAACCCTTGAGGGCACCCTCTCCCAAACACTAACCCAAAGGCTCCATGTACCTTTATAGTAGATACTTAAGCCTTAAAGGGATCTCTATATAGGTACTTTAAGGCCTAAGTATATACTGCTTGTATATGGACACACGGAGCCTTAGGGTAAATCCCGACTCCTTGGAAACCCTAATGGCGGCCTAAATAGTTAGAATAGGGTTTTCGGGGTGTATTATACTATAATTACAGAGGGAAATCCCTTAAAGGAGTCCTTTAGGGAACCATGAAAGGGCATGTGCCACAAGGCGGGGAGGCTTCTGCGATTCTGGCTGCACCCGCAGGGACTCCTCTGAGTTTATCTGCGGAGGCTTCGGGGGTCGGGTTCAGGCTTAAGGGTACGGGGTTATAGGGTTTAAGGTTCAAAAGTTTGGCTTTTAGGGCAATGGGTTTAGGGTTTAGATTTAGTGCAGGCTTGGGTGTCCAGGGATTGGGCTTGGCGTGCAGGGTGTAGAGTTCAATGTCGTAGAATGTTTACGGTCTAGGGCTTTGGATTGAAGGTTGTGGTTTTGGGGAATTTCGGGGCGTTCAAGGTTTGGGCGGGCTGGAGCTCAGAATTTCACCCCTTACCTAAACCTTGCACCCTAAACTCTAAACCCTCCCCCCCCACTTGCTCATCTTTCGCACCTTCCGTATCTTGTTTCCACCTCTGTTGCATGCATTGCCTGGCTTCAGAAGCCACAGCGTTCTTCCCACCCAAAATGTTGCTAACATAGGTGCCTCAACAGCTAGACTAGGGCTCCTTGAAGGGTTCCTTGTCAGCGGTTACCAACTGGATTTGCAGCATTTTGGCCTTCACAAGTGCAACAGTAGCAGGGTTGAGGGGTACACTCTGGTGAAATAGCATAGCGACTAGAGCGGCATACGATCAATCTTCCGACTCCTAAAGGTAGATTAAACTTCCAGGAGCTGCCAAGTTCTTCCTAGCCTCGGTTTTGCTCGAACAACCTGTGCACATAGGCAGAACAGGGGCATGGAAGTCCTGAGATGGTAGTGAAGCAGAGGATGGTAACGATAATTCCGGTTGCGGCTATGGTGCGATGATGTGTTAATAAAGCTTCTCTTCACCCTTATTGTGGTCACCATCGCTGCCAATATAGAGTCATCCTCATCGATATCATCACGGCCCTCATAATTCATCTTGCCAAACAGTTATTACGAATGGCATATCGTCCGCTAGACCTGGCAAGTCCTTGTCCTCATTACTCTCGTACTTGCTCCTTCGCTCCATGCCGTGTGTATACTACTAGCCAACCTCCTAAACCCCTAACCCTGCACCCACGGATCCGAGACTCTAAACCCCGCACCGCTAAACCCCCAAACTCCTCCACCGGTCCGTCCCAGGGAATCTTCCAGTTGTCCTCTGGCGGCGTCTGAGCGTGGGAGTTGCAGTGGGCCCAGACCTGTGCAGCTCCGTACCAGGACCCTCCTTGTACCCTCAAGTGAGGGTATTTGGTCCCAAATAATGGGTACTTAGGGTCTAATAAACGGTAGATGGAGGGTCTAAGTAATCAGCATCTTGTGCATGGTTAGGGAGGGCTTCTTTCGGATGGTGGTGAACGGTTGTACTCACGCTTCTTTGCCGCTTCTTGGGTGAAAGGGTACTGGCTTGATGGGCATGTGGTTTCCGAAACCCTCTCAGCCCAATCGCATTCTTTTTTCACCGCATGCCGGATGGTGCCGTGGCTGTGATGCTCATAAACCCTAAACCCCTAAACCCTAAACCCTAAATCATAAACCCCTAAACCCTAAACCCTATCATGTTGATGGAGTCGCTGTTCGTCTCCTTACAGGAGCCTTTATCTCGCCTCTTCCTCTCGGCACTGGACGTGAAAGACTGGCCGACTGCTGCTCAACGAACGCTTCTATCAAGCTCCTCATTACCAACTTTGGCTGCACAGTGCCTGGGGCAAAGTTATATAATTCCCATCTACGTCCAAGACAAGGGAAACCGTCACCCCCTGATCCGGGTGCCACACTCTAGCACGGTTTTGAGCAACTACCATGCTTTGTAAACTTGCCCAGTCGTAAGTATGCCCGTTCCACACCACCGGTTGGTGCATGATGGCCATTGAGATTGGGCATTTGAAATTTGCCGGCATGGGCTGCTGCAGCAGAGATTCAAAATTCTCAGGTAATTATGTCCAATGGCGGTGGCCATCGGAGTTCCAGCAATGCGGAGGAACTTGCGGTGCAACTGCGGCACTGCTGCAGTCGCCCTGCTTGCCACTGTGTCGCGAATGCGTCTGACGGGCGCGCGTTCCCGGACTTCCGCGATCTCCCAGAAGAGCACAATGACGAAGTGTACCAGCGTCTGTTGAAAGACTCCATGCCTGATGTCCCAGGGCGCATAATACCAAAGGGAGGCTTCCACTTCGGACCAGAAACCCAGAGAGCCCAATACCCCTTAATTAAGGAATATAGCTTAAATCATATTATCAATTCCCTTATAATTTAAGGTATATTCCTGAATTAAGGAGTATTGGGCTCTCTGAGAAGCTCTCTCCCAGAAAGCGCCTTCCTTGGCGCAAAAAGCCGTCGGAGCGGTTCTTCTGAAAGTTCTTCGGCTGAATTTGCAGACAAATTGCGCCTGGCATCTTCCCAAAGCTGCAGCTCACGCATGGCTTACAGGATTACAAGCACCAACAACAGAATGTCCTCATACTGCAGGACACCATTGTGCAAGTGCAAATCGCACAGGCACAGCACACATACAGTGCAAGCGGGCGCAATGCGAATCAGACAACAGGTGGACAAGAGCGATGTGCATTTTCTAGTGACTGTCGTTGCGATCGGCATGGATCCACAAATCTTTCGGAAATTGGAATAGACCGCTGGACGGGTGCGAGAGCAGGTGCGCAAGCCACCAATGCTTACAGAGCCTCTCGTGCTGGCTGCAACACTGGAAGAATGAGCCAAAATGAGAAGTCTCCGCCAGTGGTGCATTTAACCTTAGCAGTCCTACTAACATGATGGCAAGCACATATGTGAACAACGTCCGCCAAAGGACTGGCCGAGAGGTCGACATGGCAATGAATCCTTCAGCTATCTTCCTTAGAAGCTAAGCTGACTCAAGCCGCAGTGCCAAGCATCATGACATACTATACACCAAACTCCCTCCGACTCTTAGCCATGTCCTGACCCCCAAGGAAGCCGCGAGGAAAATCCTCCACCTCGGGCAGCCGTCAATGAGCCCCTGAAAACTTACTGCCCCATCTGGCCTTGATTGGAAACCCTCGAATGGTACTAAAGTAAACGATAGCTCCTGATTTTACCCAGCCTCCAAGTGCCCATGTTCTTGGATTCTACATTACACTAAACCTTAACCCTGAATTCTACGACGTGCCCCTGGAGCGACAAAAGCATCAAACACCCTTAACTCAAAAGCCCTCAAAGCCCAAACTCTGAAACCTTGCAGGCCTACGCGAACCTTGTTGTGAGAGCTGTACATATATCGATAGATAGGTTGAGAGGTGGATGGATAGACAGGTACGTAAGTAGTCACGTAGGTAGGTAGGTCAGGCAGGTAAGGAGAAAGTGACTGGGTAGATAGGTAGATACAGTAGAAGCCGAAAAGTTGGAAACCCAATAGCCTCAATCCTTAAAAGTACTGTACAGGGAATCCCAGCACTATTTGGCCCTACTCCGGTTTCCAACTTTCTGGGGTTTACTGTAGATTAGAAGCCCTACGAGCCGGCCTGCTGTCCTCCCAGCTGCCGTCCGAACCACCAGCCGCTGTAATCCTGACCTCCAGTGCAGGGGTGTCCGTGATAAGGGTTTCTTTCATAGATTATTCCCAGAGAGAGGTTATGGCTGTAATAAGGGCTGTTATCAAGGTTACATCAAGGTTTACTCAAGGGATTGCTGTTCGGGGCTAGTAGGCTTATGGCCAATCACTTCCGGGGTTTAGACGGCTGAGGGTTTCGGATCTAGAAATTTGAGAGTAGCTACTTTAGGGGCACTAGGCTTTAGAGGCTAGGGCATTATCGGGTTAGAAGGGGTTGTCAGGGTTGAAAGGGCTTACAGCTTTGACAGTAGTTGGGGTCTACAGAAAAATGCTCGAACAAGTTGTCTTCGCCTCATTACGGATGGAGGTGCCGATTCTTAGCACAACATACGAAGACCCCTTGAAAGGTCTGAAGCGACCTTACATCACAAGCCCAAACCCGAAACCCACAACCGCAACATTCCCCAACCCTAAACCCAACGAAAGCGCTACGCCCCAAACGCGCCTTAGCCATCCCAACCCCCAAACACTCTAAACCCTTGAACTCAGTCGCCCTCAACCCTAAGAATCCCTGAGGCGTCAACTCCAAATGGTCCCTAAAAACCAAGAAACCGGGCTGCAAGCTTAACTTAAACCACTATAACCTACTGTTTGCAACGGCTAGGGTTTAGGGTGTAGGGTATTATAAAAAGCCCGAATATTGAAATTCATAGGGACCCTACCCAAAAGTACGTTATGGTGGGCGAAGGTGGGCTGTGTTGGACCTGTCTAGACGGATAATGCAGGGGCCTTCCGGCTTTAGAATAAGGTTTTCGGGTACATTAATATGCTAAGTACCATTTTGCGGAACCCTACAGAATAATACTCATCATTAAACCGACCACTACATTACAGCCACAGCATCTACGGATGGAAGTTCCTTCCTCTGGAGCTTCTAGAATTTAAGGCCTAAAGTTTAAGCTTTGACAGGGTGTATTGTTTTTAGGTTTAGGGTTTAGGGCGTTAGGTTTTGAATGTAGGGTCTAAGAGTCTAAGGGTTTAGGGCTTGTGGTTTCAAGGTTTAGGGCTTCTGGGTTTTTCGGGTTTCAGGGTTTTACGGCCTCAGGGTGATGTAGGGCTGAGGGTCCTTGGGGCTTAGGGATCTGTTTCTATTCTTATGCTTGTGAAGACTATTGCGTATCATCATACCTCTCTTGTCTATGTTCCAAGTTTGCGGCGCTCAACTCACGGCATGAATCTGACACAGATCCTCAACCCTACGAACCCCAAACCCTTAACAAAAACACAGATCCCGAACCCTAAAAGCCAGTGCCAAAAACTTCAACCGTCTTAGCTCAAGAACCCTAAACCCTAAACCCTAAAACCCTAAACCCTAAAACCCTAAACCCTAAACCCTAAATACGACACGGGCCCCTGAACGACCCGATAAACCCTAAAGTCCAAATCCTACGCCCCGAAAGATCAAGCCCGGAGCCCGAAACGCTTTCGAAGTGAAACTCCACCCCCCAAAGTAAGCAAACCCTAACAGAAAGTAGGCCTTGTAGGTCGTAGAAATCCTGAGAGTAGCCTCCATATGCCTCCATGATGCCCCGCAAGCAGATTAGCCCGAAATGACGTACTCCATAATGTTTCGTTTTAGGAGCAGATACCGTCACCAGTGATTCTCCAAGCTGAGTTGTCCTTTAAGCTCTTTGAAAATTATTTACAATTATTGTTCTCTACGAAATAGTGGGGGAAATTTAAAAAATCCCCAAGGACAACCCAGTCAGGCATGGTACTCCAGAGCCCAGCAAGCGCTCGGACCCGGGCCATCCCGGTCGTCCCAGTAGTACAGGAGAATGTCCACCTCCCATGTGCATGTGGCTGGATACTAGGAGTTGCGGTTAGGGTTTAGGGATAGGGTTTGAGGGCTATATACTGCGGAGGGGTATCGGTTAGGATTTTCTATTATGGGCTTGGGGCTTGGGGTTTAGGGTTTCAGCAGGCATTGCTCGTCGACTTACGTAAATCCCCACTATTGCTCAGGCTTCCTCGGTCTTCAGCTTTTGGAGTAAAATGGAAAAAGCACGCGACACACGATAAGGCTCCAAACACCAACACAAAGGCCTTGCTTTGACTGGAACACCACCGTGCATGCATACATAGACAGAAATAGCACATACACGCAGACATGTACTGACATGATTACACATATACATACACGTGTAGAATGTGGTTACAACCAGAAAATGTACAGATATAAAGAACATGTATGTGACTGTTACTATATGTACACATCCTCAGCGACTTTCCTGCTTGGGGCATTAGAAACGTATAGATACAAATAGAACACTGTGTGTATATATATATATATACACACACACATGCATATACATAATAAACACGCGCAAGCATACACAGATGGATGTGTATGTATCCGCAAAAAAAACGTATGTACAAGAGTATATATGCATATGGATAATTGCACCTGCATAGATAGACAAACACATATGCCGCCGATCCCACATGTACGTATATATGTCCATCAATATTTGTACATATATATGTATATATATATGCATTCATCTCTCACTCTCTCGCCCTCTGTCTGTCTCTCCCTGCATCCCCCTCTCTCTCTATCTCTATCTCTATCTCTCTCTCTCTCTCTCTCTGGAATGGAGGCGGGTTAGCGCTCCCGGGCTTCATAGCCCACCCGTTCGCGTTTGGAACGGTTGAGGGGGTGAGAAACGAGCGTAACTCGCTAAAGCTATAAGGTATGCAATATCGGAAGGATGACGAGTGTACGCTCTCATGTTGCAGTAATCACGATGTGTGTGAAGGAGGGCTGATCATAATAGAAAGCGAATACTGAAGCGGCACAGATCCTGCGCGGAGGTTGGGTCGCGTATTGGGCTCACTTTTTCTACTTCGCTTGTGCCTCAAGGGGCTGCGGTTGTAAAGTTTAAGCACAGTTGGCTCAAACCCCTTAACTCTCTACAAGCTACAGCTACATGCTAGCCTAAGGCTACTGTAGACTACAAAAATCTCGCACCCCCCTTAGAGGTTGGGGTTTGAGAAGGCCTCCCGCGGGGCATCCCGCAGTCAGAGGGTGAGACGCCCCTAGTAGGGCGGAGCGTCCCGCGCACAGGGCTGGCAGCCGAAAGGCTCGCCCTGCGGTGCTACCCGCTAGGGGCCCCTTAGGGTGGAGGCACCCACTGGCGGGAGTTGTTCACCGCACTGCCGGGCTTGGTGCTCTGGTGCGCAGTGGAGACACACCCTGTGTCTGATTGTTGCCCCTTCCATGAATGGGCAACCTCGCTGTTGGCCGTGATACCGGCGCACAACGCGGCCGGTGGCCACTTGAAAGGCGAACCCGGTCCAGAGGAACTCGGAGTTCTGAGGATCTGCTGCACAGTGGCAGCGAAAGCCGATCAGGACTTGATCCGGCGGGACGGAGCTCAGCCCATTGCAGTTGGTGAAAAGATGGATCTTGTCACCGCGGGCTGTCTCGTAGAGATGCTCGTCGTCCCCGGACAGGGGTTCCGGTCCCCTACGCCTGCGCCGCACCCTTGGTGCAGCGGGCGGCGGTGGTGGTGGAGGAGCTGCCGCAGGGGGCGGACCTGGAGTTCGCTCACCCTCAGGTTCTGGCTCCTGAGCCCCCCTAGGCTGTTGCTCCCTCCTTTCCTCTCGCGCCTCTTGCGGCGCTTCTGGCCCTAGCCAGACCTCCGTGGCCCTTTGGGCTGCACGCGGCGGCTCTTCGGCACGCTCGGCGTGGTGCTCGATTTCTTCCTCGGGCTCCGGCTCCTGCCTGTCACGCCTGCATCTGCAGAGCCAGGAGACTAAACCCCAAAGCATCCACAGGAAGGCCAGGAAGCCTAGGGCCGCAAAGCCGAGCACCAGCTCTGCGAAGTCGTGCCCTTGGGCCTTAGCAGGTCGAACCTGCAGCGCCACGATTGTGGCCATGAGCGCCGAGCTTGCAAGCTTGGTCGGCGGTCTCATCTTCCAGGGGCTGGCCTGGATCGACTTGATCGTGCCCTTTTGGGCCAGAGCCTCGGTGGCGCCTGCGACCGCATCGAGGTCCACCATGCCCATGCAGGGCAGGGATTGCCGCACCTCCGGTCCAGTCTTCGCGTGCTTGGTAGCGAAGTTTGCCGGGTTTTCGGTTCCCTTAACTTTTCTTAGTTCGAGAAGTTTGGCTCTGAGCGCGCCTTGGACAAAGAATTCCGCGACTTCCAGGTGTCTCAGCTTGGACCCTGGGCCTATTCGCTTGGCGGCTCCGATCGAAGCTGCGGAGTCTGCCCAGAGCCGCGGCACGCCGCAGGCTAGGGCAAAGTCCTTCTCCGCAAGCTCTCGTAGGAAGACAGCCTCCCTTGCTGCTCTTGACACTCCCCGGATCTCCGCGTCTCCGCTGGAGGTGGCTGGGAGGCCAGGCTGTGTCTGGCAGCTTGTCTGGATGACTGCTCCCCCGAGACAGGCAACTATGTTGTCTGTGCTCCTTCTCGTTTCTGGGCACCCTGCCCAGTCGGAGTCGGAGTAGACCTCCAAGTTCAGAAGGGCTGTGCTCTTGGACGCGGGGTCCAGCACAACCACCCTTCCAAACCGCGGGGTTGCCCGCAGGTATCGCGCGAGGGTTTCCGCAGCGAGCCAGTCGCAGACCCTGGGGTTCTGCATCCTTCGTGCCAGCTCTTTCACGGCGAACTGTATGTCTCGCCTGTCCGCCGACAGGTAGATAGCACTACCCACGGCGCTGCGGAACCTCGCGGCGTCACCCGCAGAGAGCTCCTCGACCTTGGTCAGGTCTAGAGGTCTGCTAGGCACGGTCCCCTTGTCTTTTGGACCGATGCCCAGCTGCTCGCACACATTTTCTGCGTGCTTGCTGTCGGGCAGCGTGAGGATAGAGTCCTCTGTGCGCACCTTGGTCCTTCCCAGGACCTCCACCGCTGTGCCCGGCTCTTCCAGTTCTCCCACCGTTATCTCACAGTGCGTCGGGAGGTCCACCTCCGTGAACTTGAGCACTGCGGCCTTGGGGCCTGCGACACGGATGTCGTCGATATGGTGGAGAAGGATCAGGCCGGACCGGCGGTCTAGGTACACGCACGGGTCCTTCACGCCACGCTGGAAGTCGTAGTCCTTGGCCAGCTTGCCGGTGAGGACTTCTTCCAGCTCGTCCCTGTAGACGGAACCAGCCGTTCTTCGGCCGTAGAGGTTGCCGTCCACTCGGAACACAAAGTCCCGGAAGTGGTCTCGGTACCACTGCTGGTCCTTTGCAGGCTGCTCCAAGACCCATTGGTCAAAGAGCTCGCGCCACTCCACAGGCGCATGCATGTAGACCGGGCGGCCTTCCGCCGCACCGCGGTCCCTCCCTATGAGGAAGGCGGCCACAATATCCAGAGACCTTGTGACCCACCCCTCGTTGTGTAGCGCTGCTACCTCAAGTAGGGAGTGACTCTCGGGCGTTGGCGTTGGGACGAAAACGTCCAAGCCAGCTTCCTGTTCTGGGCTGTAGCGGGCCTTGACGTCGGCACAGGTACACCTTGACTTGTACCGCCCTTTGTCGCACTTGTCGACCCACTTTGCCCTGAACAGTTGCGCCCCGCGCGGTATTTCAGACCGCAGCACAGGCGTGAAAGCGCCTCGGTCCCACAGCTTTCTTAGCTGCTCCTTGCGTGCCTGCTCGACCTGCTTGGGGTCGAGCATCCGGTCTAGCAGGTCTGTCACCTGCCCAACCCACGCGTCCCGCTCGCCCTTGTGGTTGGTGAGCGGCGGGTCGGCTAAGGCAGCGATGTGCTGCCACACCTCGCGCTCTGTGAGCGCTCCTAGCCGCGGTGCCTTCTTGGGCTCCACCCGGCTCTTTGCTGCAGGCGGCTGCTGTGCTGCCGCTGCGCTCGCGGAGGAACCCGCAGAGTCGCGCTTCTGCCCCCCTTCGCCTGAGCCGTCGTTGGCGGCTGGGGCGGGGCTTGCCGCTTGTTGCGGCAGCGCGCTTGCTGCGGAAGGTCCTGCCTCCACGTCGGACGGCTCGTAGTCCGGTATTTCTGCGTTGGCCAGCTCCTCGGTAGGGCTGGCGTCCGGGAGCCTGCTAGCCTGCTCGGCCCCTTCGACTAAGAGGGCCTCGTCGTCGGGCCGCGGCCCGTCGCTGAAGAGCCAGGGCTCACGGGCGGTTCTAGCCGCTCCGTTTCTTCGGCCGGCGTGGCCAGAGGGATTGGAACCATCATCGGCTCGCTGCGCTCTGCCGGCGCTGAGCGGCCAAATCTAGGGTTCCAAGGCAGGCCGCACGCTTTAAGAACGGCTGCCGTTTGGTGTCGGGTCTCCGGCGGGAGTCGCCTGACGCTCCTCACGTTGAGTGCGCCCGCTTCGGTTAGCACCACGTGGGAGTCGTCGCGCTCCAGCTTGCCGGCCCAGACCCCTTTGACCCAGCGCACCTGCGCTTTGTTCCCGGGCCTCGGGAGCTTAGCTAGAACGGTTTCTCCAAAGGAGCAAAGTGCTCCACCATAGTCGGTGCCAGTGGCTGCCCGATATGGTGTCACCCCGTCCGTCGACTTGGTCCCGAACCGGGCTTGCAGCCAGGCCACGTGCCTGACCAGCCACGGGAACAGGTTGGACGAAGTGTCCCACTCTAAGGCGGGGTAGTCCGCTCTTAGCTGCGAAAGCCAAGTGCGAACCTCGCCTGCTAGGTGTGCGTTCCTTCCCTCCACGGATCCTTGGCTTTGGTGTGACCCGCGAGGGGCGTCCCGAAGACGCACCCTAGCAGCTCCAAGCCGGCGGTGGACCGCACGGGCCACAGAGGCTATAGCATTCTCTTGGTCAGCCTGCAGGGTGAACTTGTCGTACCCCAGGCGATCCACGAACTGCTCCACAAGCCCTGCGGCGTAGGCCGCGTGTCTGTGCCCTTTGTGCGCCACGGGAACCGACAGAGTCCAGCCAGTGGCCCTGTCTGTGAGGTTCAGCACCGTGGCAAGCGACGCTTCTTCCTCAACTTCTTTCCCGTCCCGGCTGTAGAACTGATAATCCATGGTGACAAGCGGCGTCACCGGATCATCCGAGGGCTCACGGCGGCGGTGAGGGTCCTCGCGTGCCTTTCCCTCCACGCACTTCTCGCACCACGCCTGGTAGGGCGTGTGAGTGAGCTCGTGCTCGGCGCGTTCCTGCGCCGTGGGGTTGCGCGGTGCCCTTAGGCCGCGTGGCCTGGAGTCAGGCTGCTCGGCCTGCTCCTCTAGAGGGGCGGGGTTTCCCGCAGCCTCCTCCTCTTCAGCAGCTGCGGCCTCTTCGTCGGCTGCTGCTTCCATCGCCGCGTCCTCTACCTCTCGAGCTTCGAGGTCGTGCTCCGGGATGTACTCATAGTGTCCCAGGTCCTTGCCTGGGCTTGGTGGCTCTGCCGCCACCGGTGCCACCCGGTTTGTTGACCCCGGCGGGAGCTCCCGCTCGTAGGGTAGGAGGAACTGTGACCCTCTCTTGAGGATCGAGGCTCGGACACCGTCGGGCCACAAAATGTGGCTGTCCTCTCGGTGGAGCCAAATGCCCGCATCAACAGCACGGCTGATGCTGAGGATTTCGTCCTCTATGTCCTCGGTCACCTCAAAGTTGACCTTGCAGGACTGACGCTCCTCCCCTAAGAGGAGGCTCGGCTGGACACGGCCCTTGGTCTTCAGGCGGCTGTTGTCCACCGAGTAAAGGCTCTTTGGTGGGCCCGCGGGCTGCAGGTCGGGAAACGCCTCGGGCCTGCAGACGGACACACACGCCCCGGAGTCCACAAGAAGACTCCCCGACACCTTGAGGATTTTGTCCTCCTCTGGCTCGGTGTCGTGAGGCGGGGCAAACCGCACACCTAAGATGCGGTCGTCGCGCACCTGGCGTACCTGGCCTTTGCCGCCAGAGCCGCCAGTGCTTCCCCCAACTTGGGACGCGGAGGGACCCGCAGTCGCCAAGGAAGCTGTTGACACCGTCGTGGCCGCGTCGTCGGCCACTTGGGCCACCTGGCCCTTGGTGCCTTTGCCTTTTCCTTTGGCGTTAAACCAGCACTCTTTTACGGTGTGCCCCGTTTTCCAGCAGATGGGGCATCTCTCTTTGCCGTCTCTGCCTCCTTGCTGGTTCCCCTTTTTGTCCCCTTTCTTGCCTTTGTCGTTGTGGTCGCCCTTGCCCTTCTTGTGGTCTTTGTCCCCCTTTTTGCCTTTGTCGCCTTTGCCTTTTCCATCCTTCCCGTCTCGGTCCCCTATTCTGCCAATGTCCATGGCGTTAGGATCCCTTCGGGAGGAGGCGGCGTAGCCCGCACTCGGGGTCCAGACCCTTTTGGCTTGCAAGTAGCTCACCACCACTTCCCTCACCTCGGCATAAGTCGAAAGACTCGCCGCGTGCATAGCGAGGTGTTGCCGAAGAGCGGTGGGGCTCTCGGTCACCAGCACTGCCCGCAGATCTTCATCTGCTAGGGCGCGCCCTGCGCCATACTCGGAGGCGTAGCGGTCCACATCTGCCTCCCATTCCTGCAGAGCCAAGGAGAAGTCACTCTCCTTTGGCGGGAACTTCGGCATCAGCAGGGTCCGCCTCCAGGTGAGGTTCTTGGACTCGTTCTCTGGGTTGTGCTCCTGCCACAGGAGACGCCAGAGCTCGAACCCATTTTGGCCCTTCACTCCGCGCGCCAGCTTTACAGCTGTGGCGGAGTCCTGGGTCCAGCTGCCCAGCATGCCGAAGAGGCGGACGCTGAGGGTCCGCACTTCCTCGGTCATGGCTGCCACTTGGAGTGGCACCTTGCACTTTCGAGCTATTTCCAGCTCTGCTGGATACCTGGTGTCCACGACCGCCAGGTAAGACTCTGCCTGAAAGGCAAAGCGCTCCCAGTCGTCTCTCCCCTTAAGGGAAGTTGGGAGCCGCATGCTCTTGAGCAAGTGCCCTCCACCGCTCGCCTGCTGCGCAGGGGCGGGTGCCGCCGTGGCGGCTGCCGCCGTAGCGGCTGCTGCAGCTAGGCCCTGTTGTCTCTGGGCCGACAACTCGCCAATCGCAGCCTGCAGCTGCTGCGCTTGGCTCTCCAGCAACCCCCTAAGGGTTGCGACTTCCCCGCGCAGAGCCTCGACCACGGGGTCGCCCTGCGGGGGCGGATAAGCCGGCTGCTGGCTCATCTCTTGAGGCGTCGAAGATAGCCTGGCTGATCTCGTCTAGCAAGACCAGGGCTTCTCCGTACTGCTCTGCCAGCCTTGGGTTGCCTTCCCAAGGGGTCTCTGGCCTGTTGCGAGCCGCGTGCCTGAGTCCGTTCAGGAACTGGCACGGTCCTTGGCCCTCGGAGCTCTCCTCTTCGGACTCCTCTTCCCCACCTTCGTCGGCCGGCGAGGTGGGCTCTTGCTCCTGCTCCGGAGCTTCCTCCCGAGGCGCGGGAGGTACCGCAGCCTCGGGCTCTGCTGGCCCTGGCTGTGCGGCCTTGGGTTCCTCCTTCAGTGGAGGCGGTGGTCCCAAGTGAGGTGGCGGCGCCTTCACCGTCGGTGCTTTGGCTGCCGGAGCACCTCTCGGTAGGGCCTTCGGCTCTGCCTCCGGGGTGGCCTCCGTGGGTCCACTCGCCGGGGCTGCTTGCTCCTGCCCAGCTTCGGAGCTGGGGCTTCCAGAGCTCTCTTCTTTTGCCTCGGCCGCCTTGGGCGCGGCCTTCGGTGAGGCTTCTGGTTTTGCCTCCTCGGCTGGCTCTGCGGCCGCCTCTGCGGAGGCAGGCGGGGCAACCCGCTCTGCCGGCTCTTCCTTCTTGGCAGGGGTGACCCCGCTAGAGGAAGAAGCTGCAGCAGCAGCGGGCGGGGCTTCCCGCTCTCCTTCGGAGTTGCTTCCCCCGAAGTCTGGAGTGTCCTCGCCAGGCACAGGGCCTGTGAAGACTGGCGCCTTGGGCACCGGCGCGGTGTCCAAGGAGGATTCCGAGCTCGGGCTCGGAATCTTCTGGCCGGCACCTGCAGGAGCTTCCTCCGGAGTGCGCGGCTCTGGGATATCAGTCCCCGGGCCCTCTACGAGGACGACCGGGTCTGTACCCTCTCTTTCGCGCCTTTCGGCGCCGCGGGCCTCGCGGTTGGCGCGGGCCGCTTGGGAACGACCACCTCGGTGGTTCTTCTTTTTCCCAGAACCTTGCTCAGGCTCTTGGGTTGCAGGCTTGCCCTTGACGGACTTGCCTGTTGGGGCTGGCTTGCCCTTTGCGGGCTGCTCTGCTCCCTTTGCTTGGGCTGCCTTGCCCTTTGCGGGCTGCGCAGCTTCCTTGGCAGGCTTGCCCTTGGTGGGCTTCCCTGCTCCCTTTTCCCCGCGACGGGGGGTTCGGCTCCCCGACTCCGAGGCGGGGCGGCCCGCACTCGGGCCGGTTTTGCCTTTGCCCTTTTCGGGCTCGGCTGTTCTGCCCCGGTTTTGGTTCGGGGCTTCGGTGCGCTCGCCTATGAGAGGGCGGCGCGGTCGAGCTGGAGCTTCAGCGGCTCCGCTCCCCTTGGCACCTCCTGGTGCCTGACTGGAAGAGGCCTCCTCCTGCTGGGAGGTCCTCCAGTCCCACTGGGAACTCCAGTCGGAGTCCCAGTCCCACCAGCCCCACCACTCGGACGTGGCGGCTGATGGGTGGCGGTTCGGCCCGCGCACCCTAGGAGCGTCGGGGCCTACCGAACCAGCTCCGCTACCATGCGCGGAGGTTGGGTCGCGTATTGGGCTCACTTTTTCTATTTCGCTTGTGCCTCAAGGGGCTGCGGTTGTAAAGTTTAAGCACAGTTGGCTCAAACCCCTTAACTCTCTACAAGCTACAGCTACATGCTAGCCTAAGGCTACTGTAGACTACAAAAATCTCGCAGATCCCCCTCCTTCATTCCACAAAACTTCAGGGGAGGTCAGCACAAGTATAGTCGGTCGAATTTAGCTTCCCCCACGCACGCATTGTGCGAAGTTAAGCGATGACGACTCGGTTGCCTACAGTAACAGGCGCTGGCTGTCTGTCCGTTTGTCTGTCTGTCTGTCTGTCTCTGTCTCTGTCTCTGTCTCTGTCTCTGTCTCTGTCTCTGTCTCTGTCTCTGTCTCTGTCTCTCTCTCTCTCTCTCTCTCTCTCTCTCTCTTTTCCAAAAAGCTTCTCATGTGATACAACGGGAGAATTCAGAGTTCAAGAGGCTTTGAGACTGCAACACAGTACCAAGGCCAAGTCTGCATGCAATGACTGCACGAACGAAAGACTTCTCAATAGAAAAACTGGAGGAACCGAGGGTGAAGTACATGGGCAACAGGGCTATTGCAAGCCTCACGGAACAGCCAATTAGAGTGATAACTGAAAGCGATGAGGTACTCCGTTACTGTCTGAAACTCACCGAACGCATGCTTCATATGTTGTAGTATCATGTAACATGGTAACACACACAAATATGTGTACATACATACTTACGTCAATACATACATACTAACATACGATGTGCATGTATACATGTTGGTATATATTTATATTCGTAAAATCCATACGGGAGTTTCCGAAACTTAGACATACGGTATTTTGGGGGGTCCTTATAACAAGAATCGTACTATTCAGGCTACAATTTTTGGGGGTCCCCTATTTTGGGAAGCTTGCAAACGGCACTACCAACTTGGCAGTTGGGGCCCCCAAAAGGCACATAACCAAAAACAAGGGTAGGGATATCCCCATACGCCTCTAGCGGCTCGGCTCCGTCTGGCTGTTTTCGGTAGACTTTCCGCCCGCAGCACGTGTCCTGGGCCAGTGCTTCTCTACTCCAGCACTTGCAAAGCCCCTAAGGCTCCATGTACCCATATAGATAGTATATACTTAGGCCTCAAAGTACCTATATACAGGGACCCCTTTAAGGCTTAAGTATCTACTATAAAGGTACATGGAGCCTTTAGGATGTTTAAACTATGGCAGAACATGTTCGAACGTATCCTGATCTACCTTAAACTCGCCAGAGTATACCCGAAGATACTGCGAAAATCTGAAACATGGCATAACCAACATACAATAATCTTGTACCATCATGTGCCGTCATATACCATTATACAATATGATATACTAGAATATGATAGACAATGCTCGGGATTCCGACGTCCTAAACTGCTGGAGATACCTTAGTGTACCACGGGTGCCAGAAGTCACCCTTCACGACATTTCGGGTTTAGGGTTCGGTTGCATCAATATCAAGATTGGGGGCATCCTACTTCAGGGCTCTTAGACTTGCAAGGTTGCATTAGGTAGAGTCCCCCACCTTCTGAAACTGAAGATTTGCGCCAAAGTGGTCTAGTTGTACCAGGGTGCCGCAGCTATGTAGGTGCCGCAAACGCTTTTCAGCGCAAGCGCGTTCTTCATCTGGCCGCCTGCCGCAAAGAGAGGGGATTTGCCAGGTTTTCCCCACAACTCAAAGCAGCCGCCCGAAAGCCGGGCTAACGTCATGGACTAATCCCAAGATCTCAGACAACATAAGGGTACCCTTGTCCTACTATTCGGGTAAAATAAGGGGACCCTAAACTAAGAACGGCAAAGGGGTACTACTCAGGAACCTAGAAATGAGGGGAGACGTGGGGAACATCAAAGCACACCCTACCTGCTTACCAGTGTAACTTCGAGCAGTTTCCGGCAAGAAGGTCATGAGTTGCAGTGTCTCGCTGGCAAGCAAGCGCATTTGGGGATTCAGGGCTTGGACAGAGGGTTCCGAGTTCTACGTCTCCTTCAGAGCCTCGTATGGGTCTACTCTACTGCTCACGCAAGCCTTTCCAAAGCCCTGAACTCTGAACCCTCTGGTTGCAGCCTTCTGCTGTTGCGACGAAGCGCTCCTGCGGAGGGTGAAATGAAACGGCACAACCAAGGGGCGCAAAAGCTTGCCATTCCTTGTTTGGCAGGGACTGTGCGTAAAAGCCTTCGCACGATAGTTCTTCTGGGTTGAACAGCTTGTTTTTTTTACAGAAAAGACGCAACAAGAGTCCCCTCTCTTTCGTTACTGTTGCCTATGTAGAACAAGCGCACGTGTAGATTCGGGTGCATAATGTGGGCGGGTGTGTTTTTGTATGCGCACACACACACACATATATATAATATATATATATATATATAGGTGTATCTACATATCGTTATAATACACATATGTATGAAAACGCTAGTGTTGAATATATACGTAGATACATAAATACGTACATACATACATGCCTACATACATATACACATACATACATACATACATACATACATACATACGTACATACAGACACGCATAAGTACAAACATACATAGATGTACATGCATACACACACACACATATATATATATATATATACGTACATACCCACATCAATGCATACGTACATACATACATGACATCTAAGTACTTTACATTGCATTACATTTCATTGCATTACATTACGTACATACAGACATACTGCGACACATACAGATCGACAGGCAGGCAGGCAGGCAGGCAGGCAGGCAGGCAGGGAGGCAGGGAGGCAGACAGACAGACATCAGACATGTGTCGATCAGACGGGCAGTGCATGTGTGCATATATGTACATATATACATATCTATTTATTTATTGCTTTATCTATGCATTTCTATATGGATTTGTTCATGTGCTTTCGTACATGCGTACAAGTAGTCTGCAGATGTGTGTGTGACCGGGTGCCCCACTGATCGTTAGGACAGCAGCGGAGTTTGGCGGTGCTGCTAGTACTACTTGCTGTCGTCGTCGGTTCGATACTGTGCTGCAGCAAAATCTCTAAAACATTACTTCCTTGCCAGTCTACATACCAGTCCCGTTCATTCAATTCTGGAGCCATGACACTACAGCAGTCAACATGTGACCACACCTTCACCAGATTTGTGTACATATACGTATATATACACACATATGTATGTGTATATATATATATATGTGTGTGTGTGTACATATATACATTTACATACGCATCGATAACAAGATGTGTAGATAAGAATATTTATATATCATACACATACACATGTACATATACATAAATACATGACATACATAGGCCTCTCCCATAAACCCCGAACAAAGATACCACGCCGCGGCCAGTTTCTTCGGTCTTGTTGGCTTTGGCCTGTGCATTTTAGGACCCATCAACCCCAAAGTCTTCCATTTTCGCCGGGTCGCGACAGGCCCTTTCGCCTTCGAGGCAGGCCGGCTTGGAGCCTAAGCGCGAGATGCGGTACGCTCGTGAGTGTAGAGAAGGCTATCCAGGCAACGTGAGATATCCTCTGAGGACTGGATGCCGGAGCCAAGGGCGACAGCACAACAAAGCACCGATGCTGTTTAGGACTTAGAGTTAAGGGGTTTGTCTCGTATTTCGTGTACAAGACAAGAACTAGCAAGTCCACAAAGATAAATGTGAGACACCATGATGCGACGCCATCTACAAGACATTTTGCCTGGATCCCAACAGCCCCGCAGATCTGTAGCGACTATGTATGTATGTATATATATTATGTATGTATGTGAAAAACATGCTACAGAACGTACAGGTATGCATATGCTTAACACTTACACAGCTATCTACACACTTCCACATTCACAAACATACATGATCTTGTACATATGTGCATACATGAACAAGCAAACAGGTGAGCACAAGCATAAACTTTTAGGTATACATACACGTTCAAACTTCCATATACACCTTATACAAACGCGGATACATTTGCAGACTTGCATTGCAGGTGCATACACACGACTACATAGTTGGGGAAACACATATGTCACTTTGATAGACACATACACGTACACGTACATCCATGCCTCATCATGCCCCCATGCATCTGTGCATCCATGCATCCATCTGTCCAACCATCTATCCATCCGCATGTCCACCCATATATCCATCCATATATCCAACCACATATCCATCCCTATATCCATGTATCCATATGTCCATACACCCATATATCCATATACCCATCCCTCCATCCTTCCATCCGTCCATTCATCCGCATCCATCCCTCCATCCATCGGTCCATCCATCCATCCATCCTTCCGTCCGTCCATCCATCCATCCCTCCGTCCGTCCATCCATCCATTGATCCGCGCATGCATACACACGCCCACAGACATGTCGGCCTATGTGTGCAGGTAGACTACATGTACAATTCCACGTGATGTAGTCATTCCGCAAACCATAGGTATTGGGCAATCTTCGTTTCTAAATCGGGGTTTCTCCAGCTACCCATCGTCTAAGCTTGCCTTGCCAAGAAGCCGAGGGCTCGCTGGGCTGCGATTGGCTGGGCTGCCAGTGCGCATGCTGCTGCGGGGCCTTCAACCCCAAGCCCAGTTGAATGGGCAGTTCAACGACTAGGCCTAGTGGTAATCATAACAGAACTTCGGGACAAGCTCAATTGCATAGACTTACAGGTCAAGCCATGATTCCCGGGAGATCCATTCATAGCAACATCCTTTCTCGAAAGGCTTGTTTTTTAGGGTTTAGGGTTGTGCTGCCCAGAACGTGACAATCGCCTGTTTCGAACATGACCAGCAGCAGTAGTTTACATCTTTTGTTGCGTGTATCGGTTGCCGCCAAGGCTTCTGTTGCATACCGCTCCTGTCATTTGTACTGTACGAAACAACATTGGGCAGATCACTACCAAGACTAGTGCTACGACTGATAACCTGGCGACTGACAGTCAACTTCACGTCTGATACTCATTTAGCATTGCAAGCCACATCTGTTGTTGCGTGCGAAATCCTCCTTGTCATTTAGAAATAGTAATCAGAATACTACCAGTAGCAACAGCATTAGCAAACACATTAGTACAATCTTCATAGAAATAAGAAGCCATGCTGCTGCGGGCACATACGCCTTCGAGGCCGGGCGGCTTGCAGCCTGCGGGCTTACACAGCGGTTCAGAGGCGTGTTGCGCTCGGAGAAGTAATGCGTTCTTGTACACTTGATAGGACTAGCGGTACTGTTGGTTCAGCAGTGTTGCGGAAGCTCTAATAGAGTTGCGATGGGGAGCAGAGAAGCCGATTTGATTTCTTTCTGTAGTCCGAGATCCCACACGCGCTCTTGGGTTGAGCATTAGAGCTCCGTGATAGTTGAGCAGGGCATTTTCAAAAAGATGCGGATCTTCATGCTCTTGGTGCTGGCAGTAGAGCGACAACGATACACTGCTAGGCAGCAGTGATGCTGACGGCTTGCATCTTGATTCTGATGATGATGATGGTGATGGAGATGAATCAGATGAAAGTGATGATGAATAAGCAAATGATGATCATGTTGTATCCGATGAATAATCGATGAATATGTTCGTGATGATGACGGTGAAGATGACGACTATATGCTGTCCGTGATAATGACTGCGTTCGTCAGGTATGCTGGCAGGAAACAGATGGCTGACTGGGCTGCGATTGTCTCGGCTGCCAGGGCGTATGCTGTTGCGGGACCTCGGAGCAAGCACAGCAGATGCATTCCTTTCTTCGACGGTGACCCAGTGGAGCTGCCTTTCCAGCAAACCTCCAGAAACTTTCCAGGGGTCACTGTCGACCGCGTGCAGAACGAGGTGGAGAAACCAATTGGTAGGTCGAGAAACTCTTCGTGAAGATTAGCAGCTACAAAAGAATGGGTATCGGCAATGGCGACCATGCCAAGTGCAGCGAACGCATGATAAGCTACTACTACTACTACTACTATACGACAAATGCTGCAGGAACAACAGCAGCGAAACAACTATAACTACAGCTACAACGGCAAGTACTAACTACTACGACAACGACTATACTACGACTACGTCTGCGTCTACGGCTGCGGCCAAGCCTGCGACCACTGCTACAGCGAATTGCTGCTACTGCTACATCTGCTGCTGCTGCTACTAATTACTGTTGCTGCTGCTCCGTACTGCTACCAGTACTACCACCATGAATCCTAAACCCTCAACCCCAAACCATGAATCCTGAATACAGAATGCTGCAAGGAGACAGCTGCCTGACCAGCGTGCGACCGGCTGGGCTGCCAGCCTGAACGCTGTTGGCAGGCCTCGAATTTCAACCCCTTAGGGTTTAGGGTTTAGGGTTCCCCAACAGATGTTGGCTGCTCTGATTTCGGGAACGCCCTCGCAATCTGAGTAAAGTCTGCTCATGACGGAATATCTGAGCGGGAAGGGCAACTCAAAGCACCTGTATGGTAACACACACCCCCTGAACTGACGGTCTGTTGCGGATTTGGTACTACAACTCTTGCTCCCAGTTCTTACCGCTCCATCTGCTGACGTCTGTGGTTCCTTCCATCACCAGAAAACACCACGTACAAGTAGTGGTAGCTGTAGTAGGTCGTCCTCGTCGCGGTAGTGGCAGTAGCAGTGGCAGTAGCAGTAGCAGCGGCGGAAGCAGTGGCAGTAGAAGTGGCAGTGGCAGTCGAAGCAGTAGAAGCAGTAGTAGTAGTCGTAGAAGTAGTAATAGTAGTAGTAGTAGTAGTAGTAGTAGTAGTAGTAGTAGTAGTAGTAGTAGTAGCAGTAGCAGTAGCAGTAGCAGTAGCAGTAGCAGTAGCAGTAGCAGGAGCAGCAGCAGCAGCAGCAGCAGCAGCAGCAGTAGTAGTAGTAGTAGTAGTAGTAGTAGTAGTAGTAGTAGTAGTAGTAGTAGCAGGAGTAGTAGTAGTAGTAGTAGTAGTAGTAGTAGTAGTAGTAGTAGTAGTAGTAGTAGTAGTAGTAGTAGTATATAGTTGTAGTAGAAGCAGCAGCAGTAGTACCAGTTGAAACAGTAGCAGCAGTAGCAGCAGCAGTAGCAACACTAGTACCGGTCGCAGTAGCAGTAGCAGCAACAGCAGCAGTAGCGCTAGCAGCAGAGCAGTAAGGGCAGTAGTAGTAGTAGTAGTAGGAGGAGGAGGAGGAGGAGGAGAAATTGTAGTGGTAGTAGTAGTAGTAGTAGTAGTAGCAGTAGTAGTAGTAGTAGTAGCAGTAGCAGTAGCAGTAGCAGTAGCAGTAGCAGTAGCAGTAGTAGTAGTAGTAGTAGTAGTAGTAGTAGTAGTAGTAGTAGTAGTAGTAGTAGTAGTAGTAGTAGTAGTCGTGGTAGTAGTCGTGGTGGTGGTAGCAGTAGTAGCGGCAGTCGTCGTCTTTGTCAGACTCTTCTAGTTATGTTTTTTTCTGTATCAAGGGCAATAAACCCCAAACCCACCACCGCACATCAGCCGTGCTGCAGCAGGCACATTCGGCTTCGATGCCGGCCGGCTTGGAGCCTGTCAACTTCGTCGGACTCGTCCCTTTTTGGGTACCCTAAATATTAGGCGCCGTGATATAATAGGGCCTAGTAGGGACCAAAAAAGACCATAATTTTGACAACCACCCATATGGCATCATAAGATTGTATATAGTGTATAGCATATAGTAGACTCTAGACTACCCAAGGTCGGTCGCGCTTGTGATCGCAGTTTAGCTTTCAAAGAAGTCAAGCAGGGCCTGCCAAGGCTCCTGGAATTGTGGCTTCCCAGAGGCTCCAAGATCCCTTAATTCAGGAATATACCTTAAATCTTTCATTAAGGATCCTACTATAATTTAAGGTATATTCCTTAATTAAAGGACATTGGAATGTCTGGGTACAAGGCGGTCATAGAGTTCGCAGAAGGGAAGCAGCACCTTGAACTACAGCTCTCTTTACAAAGGGGCAAGGAGAAAGAACACGTGCGGGAGAGAAAGGTCACATCCGATGCCAATTTGGAGTTTGCAGACATCACGTGGGCTGGGAATGAGAGTTGTGGGGCACTGGATGTCGCTGTTCCGAAAGAGCTCACCGCAAAGCTCTCTGCTTACGAACCCGACTGGGAGGCAGGGATGCGCTGACGAGTGCGAGGGCGGCCAGCATCCCAAACCCTGGAATGCCAGGGTTTAGGTTTAGGGTTTAGGGACTCGGTATGACGGGTTACCACCGCCATGCAGGCGGTATCGTCGATTTCTTTTGTCTCCAAAGCCACTTTGCTTAGCAACGGCAGCCCTGAACTACGGCTGCAAAGCCCTAAACACCAAAAACCTTAGGAGCTCAAACCCTAAAACCCTAAAACCCCCTAAACTGACCTAAAACGTAAAAAGCCCTGAAGCCTCGATCTCTAAGACCGACTTCGAGGCTCATGAGTAGTCCTAAGTAGGGTTATAAGTAGGGTAACTATACTTATAAACCCGACTTATAACTTACCCATGAATTAAGAAGGCCGCCGAGAGGCAGATGGCTGACTGGGCTGGGAATGGCTGGGCTGCCAGCCATGCCAGTGCTGAGATTCCTTCAGCCCAGGGCTACAGGGAGGGTTTAAGGTTTAGGATTTATAGGGTTCAGGGTTTAGGGTTCAGGACATTAGAGGTCGTTGCATGAATCTTGTTCTTGCTGATTTAGTTTTGGGGATCAGAATGTGTGTTGCTGTCTGGTCGATGAACAACCTGCTATTCTACAGTTTAGGGTTCAGGGTACTCAGGGTCTGTATTGAGGTGCCCTTCTGTGTAGTGGCTCTCTCTCCCTCCCTCTCCTTTTATCTATCTTTCCGTCGATCTGTACGTGTATATGTATATATATATACACACCTACATAGATGTAGATATAGATATACTTAGAGATTTATACACACATCCCAACTCAGTCCTTATTCCGGAAGGCCCCAACAGAAATTCTCGAGGCTTCTACTGGAGCCACCGCCCGAAACCTTATCATAACATATGCATATTATAATATACATATATATATATATATACATACACGGAAGGCGAGACACGCCACTCTCTGGCCACGTGCTCCCTTCCCATGTCTGCTCCGGCTGCGCCTCAGACTCATATGAACAGTTCAAGCTTTTGTAGTCTGTGAATTACGATGATCTACAGAGATCAGGCATGGGATTTGGGATTTGGGATTTCAATCAAGTATTTGACCAGGTTTCTCTCTCGGATTGCTCATTCACTGGGGTCAGTATTGGAGCCAAAGAAAGCTGAGCATCGTGGCTCTGTATGCCCTTACACAACTCAATGTTGCCATTCCTTCCCAAGACTAACCTGAGAGGTAAAACGCACCGGTTCGGTCTTCGCGGGTGTCTATAGGGTTTCATGGGGTGCAACAGAATGATCTGACCAATCGGTTGGAGACATATTCACTTACGAGCTCTACAAAAACGGCTCTTCCTACACCTGCAGCTTAAGGCAAGGAGCCGTATTCTTAGACCATGTGCCGTCATCCCAGGTCTGCTCTGGCTGAGCCTCAGGCGATGGATCGTTTAGGGATTAGGGTTTCCGTTTAGGGCTCTAGGGTTCAGGCATTTCGGGTTTTTAGGGCTTTAGGGTTTCGTGTTTTGGGGCTTAGGCTTTACGATGAGGTCGGCGAAGAAATCGCTGGGCCTGCCCTTTGCTTCTACAACAACCCACCCGCCCACCTGCATACGTGCCCACCGGCACGCGCCCACCAGCACGCGCCCACCACAAACCCACCCACCCCACCCCCCCACCCCCCCACCCCCCCACCCCCCACCCATCCACCCACCCACCCACGGAGAATCCCGTAACATTAAGAACATGCAAGGTCTTCATACTCATCCAACTGTGAGCGTGCAGCAACATGAACATTAACTTTTCTTCTACGTCTTGTCAGTCCGGCCCCGCCCTTTTCCGCCTTGTTCAATCCCGGACCCCCTCTGTACCCCGAGCTCCAGACCCTAAGCCCTCAATCCTGCAGTCCTAGATCCTAAAACCTCCCCGAAAACCCTAAACCCTCCTTAATCAAGCTCAGTAAACCCTAAAGGTCCTTATGGATCTTGCTAAACCCTAAAGGTCCTTATGGATCTTGCATGAAGGCAAGGAGCCGTATTCTCAGACCACGTGCCTTCTTGCCATGTCTGCTCTGCCTGCACCGCCGGCTCATCAGATGGATCCTTAGGGCTTATGATATAGGGTTTAGGGTTTATGGTTATGTTTAGGGTTTAGGGTTTAGGGTTTATGGTTATGTTTAGGGTTTAGGGTTTAGGGTTTATGGTTATGTTTAGGGTTTGGGGTTTAGGGTTCAGGGTTTAGGGTTTTGGGTTTAGGGTACGGTTCAAGATATAGGTGCCGATTGGACTTATTGCAACCTGTGATGTCGGATATGGACGTCAATATAGTTTAATGCCTTTTGTGTGCTATAGATTCCAGCGTAAGCGCCTTGATTCGACAAGGGTCTCGGATAGTGTTGAGCTTAATCTTACATATGGACTGTGACTGCGACGGGGTGCGTGTACTACATATTCAAAGCTTGCGGTGGAAGTGCCACCGGATCTTAACCCTAGACCCAAGAGTAACCCAGGCATAAAAAGGATGCCCTTTTTGGTTAAAAGGGGCTTATAAGGGAACCTGAACCCTCAAAAAGGGAATAAGGGCCTACTCTGGGTCCTAGTAACCTGTCTGGCGTGGAAAACCAAACTCTCAGGAGGGGCACAACATGCATCACAGTCACAACAAAAAAACATAACCGGTCCTGAACCCTCAAGGACTGAAGGGCCGACTTTCAGCATTATAGGGGCCTTAATAATTAGAATAGGGTTTTGGGGCCCATAAACTATAATTATCATAAGGAACCCCCAAAATAGTATAGGTATTTATAAAGGCCCCCCCATGTTACTAGAGAGATCTCAAAACCCAAGCATATCCAAAGCAAGGCACGCCATTCGCATGCCAGGCGCCCTCGTCCCACGTCTGCTCCCGGCGCGCCTCGAGCTCAACTGATGCATCCGTCCGGTAACTGCAAGCGGTAGAGTCAGGTGATATGAAGGCTGGCAGGAAGCGCGTTACGATGAATGAAGTGGTCGGCCATCTCGTGTAAAAGGGTGTAGTTGATCACTCCTAAAAACTTTAAATGATGCAGCAGCACCAACCAGCAGCGGCAGTGGCAGCGGCACCGCAGCGGCAGCAACAACACCAGCAGCAGCAGCAGCAGCAGCAGCAGCAGCAGGGAAGCAGCCAATATAACACAGTTGTTGCAGCTGCTACTGCGGCTGCATCTGCTCCTGCTCCTGCTCTTGCTCCTGCTGCTCCTCCTGCTGTTGCTGCTGTTGCTGCTGCTGCTGTTGCTCCTGCTACCACCAGCACCAGCACCAGCACCAGCAGCAGCAGCAGCAGCCCCAGTGCCAGCACCAGCACTAGCACCAGCACCACGACCACGACCACTACACCACCACTACCACTACCCCTACCACTACCCCACCACTACCACTACCCCTACGACTACGACGACGACGACGACGACGACTACTACTACTACTACTACTCCTACTCCTACTTCTCCTTCTCCTTCTACTTCTCCTTCTACTTCTACTTCTACGTCTACTTCTACTTCTACTTCTACTTCTACTTCTACTACTACTACTACTACTACTACTACTACTACTACTAAACCAGCATCACCAACAACCCACTCCCTACCACTACTACTACCACTACGACGAATACTACGAGTATGTCTAATTAGGCGACTGGTGCAACTGCTGCTGCTGCTGCTGCCGCCTCCGACGACTCCGGTGTCGACAGGAGCAGTATGAGCACGAGCGAGAGCACGAACAGCGTAGCAGCGGTACCCGCAGTGGCAGTGGTGGTGGTAGTACAGGTGACGGTGGTGGGAAGCCCCATTGCTCCAATCTGCGAAGGCAAGGTACACCATCTGTGTGCCAAGCGCCCTCTTCCCATGTCTGCTCTGGCTGCACCTCACATCTGTCAGATAGGTAAGCCAAGGTATAAAGGTGCTGAGAAACATGTGGATTGGAGCCTGCGATGTGGGGAGTCATAGCCTGAAGCTCTAAGCAAAATTCGCCATACCGGATGAATCAATGAAGACAACGAAAAACAACTGCGCTTGCTGCTAAAGACCGTTCTTTCTACTGTCCCCACTACTTCTAGATCACTGCCGGTGCACCCACAACTACGGCGACACTCGCTAGCCAAATCAAGTTAACACCCGGCCTCTACAAGCCGCCAGTACTGAGGATAGCAAGACGTCAGGTCTGAATGGTCCGGCTTATAGGCTTTAGGGAAGTTTAGGGTTCAGGGAAGTTTAGGGTTTAGGGAAGTTTAGGGTTTAGGGCAATGGTAGCCTGAAGCTGGAGATCTGATAGCAGATAGCAATGCAGCAAGAATCCTCCTGGTCTGCTCCTGGGCTAGTATCAGCAACAAGGCTCCACTCACGCGGAGTCTGCAAGAAAGCCCATGCCTGAGATTGGCACTCTACCCTACTTTAGACCCATAATAATCAATGAACTAGTTTTGATATACGTGAACCAAGGAGACTTTTGGGCAAGCACGTCATAGCCTACACGATTCACCAAGTAGGACAGCCACGATTGGAGTACCAGTAACCCATGGACAAAGCCAAATCAACCTCCAAGTCCAAGGTCAATCCTGCTCCTAAACCCCTTGATCCTTTCCCCTAATCATAAACCCTAAACCCTAAACCCTAAACCCTAAACCCCCAACCATCCCTTGATCGCGTATTCCCCTATGAGAACTGCGAAGGCCCCCCGCTCACGAAGACCCTTGACCTCTAAGTAAAGCACCAACTCATCTAAGAGCGTAGCTTGCACCAGCAAAAGCACAGGGTGTGTTAGGCTTTGTGGTCTAAGGGCTTAAGGCTCGAGTTTGAGAAATCAGGACTGCCGGACTCACAGTTGGATATAAAAATTAGGACCGGCAAACCGCCTACACCTTCGACGACGAAAGCAAGGCACACCATTCGCATGCCCGGATGTCTCTTCCCATGGCTGCTCGGCTGCCGCCTCGGTTTCAGCTGGAACTGCCCGGTGGTTCCGCAGGAGATCGCTGGAAAAGATGGGACTCAGGGTTCAGATGAACATATGATTTCGCTTTTAAGCGAGGGTTTCGGGTGTGTGAGTGGTCTAGCTGAGTCTAGCTATCTTCGCTGTTTAGAAGCCTTCTGCACACCGACAACACCGACAACGAGGTAAACAACCTCCCCCCCGAAGACGGTTCCACGCATACGGGTTCAAGCCGAAAACCCGGCAACACAGGTCCTGTTGCCTCTGCTGCTGCTAAAGCCGTAGAACGCTCTGAACTCAAGAGCCGTAAAGACCTGAAAACCACAAGACTGGAAGCCCTGAACTCCAAGACTCTGAAATAACTCAAGTAGCTTTAGTTCTAAACCCAAAGCTCGAAACGCCCGACACCCTACATTCCTAACATCTGCAACCCTAACTAAAATCCCTAAACCCTCAACCTCTGAAGCACTAAGCACCGGTGGGGTGCCTCCTGGTCAGGCACAGTACTCTCTTCAGCCGTCTCCTCCGGCTCGACCTTGTTCTCTTGGGTGCTTGATAGCTTTTCGTAACTTGCGTGTTTTCCGAGGGGGTTTCATGAATAACAGATGTGAACTGGCACCTTAAAGGATTATGCTCATGATCTGGGTCACTCAAACGGTTGATAATCATGATAATATCAAGCTGCCGGTCTGTATGCCTGTCTCTCCGCCCGATTGCCTGCCTGCCTTGCCTGCCTTGCCTGCGTTTGCTTCGATGCATATTTGCTCGCTTGGTTGCTTTTGTTTGAGCAGCGAACCCGGCAGACTTCAATGTTTTGTGTTTAGGTTGACTAGAAGCGGCTGGAAAGGAACTCACGGACCACCTCCACAATTGCTCCAATCGACACAGAAAGCACACCAACCAAAACAAGTTCAAACAGAAAGCGCTGGACCACAACTCGATATGCCGACCCTCCTTAATTTGATCACATAGCCGTAGATGCGTCAGTTTTACTTCTTTACACCTCAACGCTTGAATCGGAATCGTACCACGTCAACTCACAGCCACATGGGAGTTTCCGAAAATCAGGGGACCCTAATATAGTACCCTACATAGTAGGATCCTTATAATAGTCACCCCCAAAATAAGGTACCCTTAGTTTTCGGAAACTCTCACATAAAGGGCCGGGACACCTTCGGCTTCATCCGCATCGCATCCTCACGGCCAGAAGACAAGTGTCGACAAATCCATCCATGGTTTTTCTGGGGCTCCAAGTGAACCCCAAAGTCCTAACCCCAAAACTAAACAAAATCATGGCCCTGCACGCCTAAACAGCTCTTTTTCATGCTTTGGGGCCAGGTTAACTCCACACCCTACAAGTCCTAAACCCCGCATTGCAAGTAAGTAAGATCATCGTCCAGCACCTCTGATTAACAAGCTCTTGTTCTACATACTTTTGGGCTCCAGGTCAATCCCGAAATCCCAAAGTCCTAAACCGTAAACCCAAAATCCTAAACCCTCCAACCCCCAATCCCAAAATCCTAAACCCTGAACCCAAATCCTGGGAGTCCTGGCGTTCCGGGCTGGGGCGTCTGAATCGTACGTAGACGTGTTTTCTTTGGAGAGGGGGTAGATTCTACTGTCTTTAAAGTGACGGGAAGTGGATCTTATACAATACGCCTTCTTCCTGTTATGAAATTTTGCTGCTGAGGAGCTGCGCGCTGATAGATTCCTCGTGTCGAAGGAACTTGGGCAGCCTTGCCAGGGACCAGGGGCCGGGGATTGTTTGGGGTGTGGGGTTGAGGGATAATTCGGGTTTAGGGAGGGGCTATGGGTTGTTTGTGCATGCTCGTGGCGGGACTCCTGGCCCCATGAACGCACAGTGGAGAACAGAACATGACAGGGCTTGTGCCGTTGGTTTGGTTGGGAGAAGCAGAACATTCAGAAACCACACAATTCGTGGAGCACCCAAACCAACCCTGATTTTTTGTTGACTTGTCTCAAGTCTCTGCAGCCCGCAGCAAGCTTGACAAGCAAGGCCCGATGTTGAGGTGGGAAGGGAAGCCTCTCTGTCTCTCTTTCTCCCGCTCTCCCTCTCTCTCTCTCTCTCTCTCTCTCGCTCTGTCTCTCCCTCTCTCTCTCTCTCTGTCTCTCTCTCTCTCTCTCTCTCTGTCTCTCTCTCTCTCTCTCTGTCTCTCTCTCTCTCTCTCTCTCTGTCTTTCTTGATTTCTCTTTCCTTTCCGTCTCATGTTTGACTCTCTGTCTCTCTCTCTCTCTTCCCTCCCTCCGCCTCTCGTTTATCTGTTACATGTTTGGGATTCCTGGGTTCCTTACTACGATTTCCATGCTGCTGTATGCTGCCTTAACGGGGGTCAAAATAAGCCCTAAACCCTAAACCCTAAACCCTAAAATAAGCCCCGACCCGCACGGCCTTAGCCGCCTGGGTCGGCTGCAAATTCAGTGACCGTGGCGTCCATATCCTTGGGCATTGCAAGGCGAAGTCTTTAGGAGTCAGGGCCTGGTTCTTTGGGCTTAGGGTTTAAGGAGTCTTAGGTATAATGCACTATTCTCATGCAGCAATACGTAAATAATTGTATACAGAATACAGAACTTACTACCAGATACAGTCAGACATTAAAGTACTTGGAGTTTAATCTAGGGTTGTGCGTCAACTGGGGTTAAGGGTGATGATAGGTACAAAGGGTTCAAGGTTGATAGTTTGGAGTTCAGGGCCAACCCAACACCTTTGCCGCTTTCCTAAGGAAGCAGCAGTTTACGGCTTAAGACTAAGAGGTCGCACAAAGATGAGCTGAATTGTATACTTGGGGTTCGGGGCATTCAGGGTTTCTAGGAAACCCCCAACCCTAAACGCCCAGGCATTCCTATCCTAAACCGTACACAACAAGTAAAGCTTGGGTGCTGCCCCCATACAATAACAGTCTATAATACGGCTACTATTAAGGGCCATATTACAAAGAGTGGGGGCAGTGCCCAAATTAAAGCTCATAAATTGACTAAAGCCCAAAGCCTCCCCCGAGTCCGAGTTGCACAGGTCGCGTTACACGGGGCACCTTGGATGGGGGAGGACCATCCTCCTGCCCAGGCACACCAGGGATTTAGGGCTTCTTGGCTTTACAGTCTTTTGCTTGATTCAGCGTTTAGGGCAGGGGGAGAGACGAGATGCTGGAGTTCAGACACGTAGCACGCGAAGGTGCTGTGGGGTTGGGTGCTAGGTCGATACGGAACCCTGATCTTGTGTATACATTCGGGGCGAGAGTTTCAGTACTCGAGCTGCGCGGCTTCGTCGCACTGACAGAGTAGATGCACAATCTAACTGGAGATTCAAGTGACCAGGGAGACAAAAGAGAAGCTTTGATTTCATGTAACGGTTCCTTCAAGGAACAGGTCCTAAAACAAGTCCTGGCCGCTCAAATCCTCTGCGTTTTCATCGAAGCCATGACGGAAGCAACCCTTCAGAGTATAAAGGGATGTTGGGGTTTAGGGGTTCAATTAGGGGTTTAGGGGCTTGGGTCTAGGTTATACAAAAACGGTTCCAAACGAAGTGTCACAGGCCGTGAGAAACAGGATATTGCAGCAGCTAGAGTTCGATGTATGCTCTGGAGCGAGAAATTGCGCTTGTATGCCGGGACATGCTAGGAGTGTGATGGTGAGCGAGAGACTCCGTAACAGGTGAGAAACCCTAAGCCTCAACGTACCCATTTAGTACATACTTAGGCCTTACAGGGGTACCTATATAGGTACTTAAAGGCCTAAGTTTATTCCATATAGGAACATGGAGCCTTAGGGAAAGAATCTTCAGCATCACCATCCCCTCAGTCCTGTTGTGCTTGCACATCTTCCGCATTGCCGGGGGCCGGATGAAACTGGGCAGGGCCATGAAAGAGTGGCAGAAGTCCGAATACCAAACCTGAAAAAAACAGGATCCCTGCACCGGGTCTACCTGGACCCCAAAAGTATGTAGAATCATAACCTTTTCTAGGTCTTGGACCATTATTTTGCAAACTTTTTTGGTGGGTTAGGTAGGATTTATAAGGATGTGCTAGGCAGGGTTTATATAGGGTTTCAAGGCTGAAGGCACAAGGGACCCTAACTAGGTGAACTAGCATGACCTAGCCGCATGACAAAGAACCTACGGTTGATGATAGAAATCCTGCATTACCCATATTACGGAGTATACCATAATTCCCATAGAGGTAATGCAGGGTTTATATCATCCACAGTACGAATTCGACGGAAGGTTGGGTTCCTTGCTTGTCAAGGAAGCTTGGTTGACTCCAGGTGAACCTTCGGGATCATAGTACCCCAAACAGGTTAAAGGCTACCTACTCTACGCTCTCAAGTTGGCCGCATAAGCCCAAACTCCTAAACCCTAAAAAAGGAACCCAAAACCCTAAACCCTTAAAGGCCGAAATCTTAAATCCCTAAAAGAACCCTAATTACAGGAACCCAATACCACAAACCCTTAAAGGACCCATAAACCCTAAACTTTTAAAGGAATGCAAAACCCTAAACCCTTAAGGGAACCCCAAACCCTAAGCCCGTAAAGGAACCCTAAACCAGGTCCTTCCGATTATACTAGCTGCTACCAGTTCTATGTTCTATGAGAGTTCTAGGGGGTTTCTGAAACAATTTAGAGAAGTCGCTTCACACCAAGATCCGTTCCAAGTAATAAAGCGGGCAATTAGACATAGCGGGCAGGTCTAGACTATTCTACCCATAGGCCCCAGAGTAGTTCCTTTTTGGGATTACCTTTTTGAATTCTACATATGAACCCCAAAAAGGAACTACTTTGGAGCCTTTGGGTAGACTCTCCTCCTCCGCCTCTTGCAGGGCCCTTTCAACCCTTTCCATGTCCTCCTGCCGCTGCTGTTCCCGACGTTCTTCTCCGTGCGCCATGCCTTGTCCTCGTCCTCCTCCGACCATGGCGGATCCATTTTTTCCACATCCAAGGAAAACTGCACCTGCTTCTCCTCCGACCCTGGCTGCTTCGGACCCTCTGCTTCCTCCGCTTGCTGCCGGGCCTTGTGCTCCTCTACTGCCCTCTGACGCTCCTTTGCTGCCTGCTCCTTGCGCAAGCGACGCTCCTCCTCCTTAGCCTCTATAGAGGCAACACGTGTTTACTATACGGCTGGGTTTTGAGATTTGGGATTGCCGGGGTATGAACTTTGGTGGAAGAGCGCTTGTTCGTTCCAGATATCCAGAATGTAGCGGCCTTGAAGTGAGCTTACATCAGATCCTCAATGCTCGAAACGGCAGCGCAAGCCCTAAGCTCTGAAGTTATGAGCCCTGAACTCTCAATCCAAGTCCTACACCACACTACCTCCTAAACCCTAAATCGTATGCCCAATACCCACAGGGTCCAAGTATCATTATGGGTTGTACTTATGGGGTATTCTGGTGGTCTAAGTATATACCATAATGATACTTGGACCCATTGGGATAGCCGCAATGCCTAACACCAGCCATCCATAAAACATAACCCGATTGCCCGAACAACCAAAGTGCCAAAGTACCGCAGCAGGAGCTTTCGACGGTGCGGTGGAGGGACGGAAAGCCTCCGGACAACACCCCCAGGGCTTCAGACATATAGGAGTTTCCGAAACTAGGGGACCCGAATGAAGTACCCTAAATACTAGGATCCCCTTATTAGAAGGACCCCAAAATAAGGTACCCCCCCCCCCTCCCTCCCCCCCATTTCTCGGAAACTCCCATATCGGGAGCACGGACTTACAGTCAACCCGGGGGCTTCAAGTATGCACATGGGGTGGTTGTCAAAGTAAGGGCCCCGTTTTGGGTACCCTAAATATGAGGTGCCATCTTATAGTAAGGACCCATGATATGATACGGTTGTCAAAATTATGGTCCCTCTTGGGGTCCTTAATATAATACGGCACCTAATATATTTAGGGTACCCCCAAAAACGGGCCAAAATTTTGAGAACCACCCACACAGTAAGTGCTTTGGCATATTTGGAGCCCCCAGGGAAAGGATAACGGTGCAACTTGACTGGTTGCATCCATAATGCAGCAGGTTTACTATAGAATCCACATGAAGACGAGCTCTAACCCTCAGGCTCTAAGGACTCATATTCTAAGGCTTTTGGGCCCAAAGACCATACATGACCATACCATGTAAGGTTTTTGGGCCATTTTGAGCCTTAGGGTAAGGAATAGCAATACTAACTCTTCGGGTTTGTGTAACACCCTAAACCCTAAGCCCTAACCCGTGTAACAGTGGTTTTGGGGGGAGATCCGTCGTCGTCCGTCCACGGCGCTCGCTCAGGAAGCGGCGGGATAGTGCTTGTGGAGTTAGATTCTGAAGCATGTTGGGCTTAGGGGTTTAAGGTTTAGGGGTTTAGGGGTTTAGGGTTTTAAACCGCATCCCAAAGCAAAGACCTTCCCTAAACCCTGAACCCCTTGGCCAGCTGATGTAGTCACAAAAGGAAATCCTTGCACATGTGCCAGGATCCAACCTACAGGGGCTGTGGTCTTTTCTGCAGTCATAAACCATTACTAGGTGGGGCTTTTAGAGCCTTTGAAAAATATTAGTAAATATGATCCTCTTAAGCCCAATAAGGGAAAATATAGAATGTCCCAAAGCCCTACCTAGATTACTTGCTTGCTTGCGTCGAGCTCTGTCCGGTTAGGTGTGCGATTAATTCAAACATGCATCTACCCAGGGGCCCCAAAGTAGTTCCTTTTTTGGGTGGTATATTAGAGTCCCTAACCAAAAAAAGAGGACAGACCCAAAAAGGAACTACTTTGGGGCTCCTGGGTACAGCTGCAGCTCGCTATCAACCATTAAGGCTTTAACTCTGTCACATGCGAGCCACAAACATTACAGCCACAGGAATGCTGGTAACCCAAGGGCAGTCGACCAAGACTGAATCTTTAACAGGTGCTTCGAGAAGACATGATGAGACCGGGGAGGTTAGCGAGTTCGCAAATTGACATCTACATGAAGCCTTTTTGGGGTTCCTTACTATAACTATAGTATACTGGGCCTCAAAACCCTGTTCTATTTATTAAGGCCCCTATATTAAGGGATCAAGGTTTAGGGCTATACCTTCAACCCTAAACTTCATCACGAACTGGGACTTGCTGCATCTCTCTGCTGCCTTAGCGGCCGTAGCTGGATCACTTGTGGCTTCCTCGGAAGGTTCAGCGCTGCTCGAGGATTTAGAGAATACAGGTGTTCAGCATGAGAAGGGGTTCGTCAATAGGGTTTAAGGTGTTTGGGTTTAAGGTCTTAGGGATTTCGTGGTTAAGGCGTTGGGGCTTTGGGGCTCTTTTGGCTGTAGGGCTTCTTGGCCTGCCTGTATAGAGCCCACGTTTTGGAGGCAAAAGATGTGGAACCTTATCGGAACAGAGCAGGCAAAGCGTCCGGAAAGACTTCCCTCATGTTGCCATCTCCGAAACCCTAGGCCATTAAGGTCCGTCTTGCATGAATAGGTCCTTGGAAGCCTGCAAGTAAGCCTATGGAGTTTTCTCTACAGTTTTACGGGCTTCAGCTCTCGCTACTACCCTGACTGAACACCAGCCTAAACCCTAAACCAAATAGAAGTGAAGCATCTGCACTCCGCTTGAAGATGCTGGGCCGCAGCTGGACCATGGCTTGGCGGAGGATCGTTAGAGTTTAGAGTTTAAGGGTTTAGGGTCGGCTTAGCACACGAGATCAAGCCTTCCTCGGGTTCTCGGGACTTTTTGGGGGTTCGGGCTTGGGGTTTAGGGGGCTGAGCGCGAAGTATAGTAATGGCAAAAGTGCTAGTACTACCTATAGTCTCCATTGTAGTTCCTTTTTTTGGTTATCCAATTTTATGGTTAGGACCCTATAATAGAGATTTTGGTTAACCAAAAAAAGGAACTACAATGGAGACTATAGGTAGTTATAGTAATAGTAGTAATAGCACTAGCGATCGAACTAAGGATCATATCGGCTCCTGTCTCCTGACTGCTTACGTGGTCGCAGCCGCTGCGCCAGGGATCGTGTAGCACCACCCAGAGAGCCCAAAACCCCTTAATTAAGGAATAATAGCTTAAATCATAAGATAAAGCCCCTATATAATTTGAGCTATATTCCTTAATTAAGGGGTATTGGGCTCTCTGGGCAGGGCTGAAACTATCTGCATCTTCTTGGGGGTAAGGGCTGAGTGATTGGGCTTGGGATTTAGGGTTTAGGGATGTTTAGGGTGGGGTATTTAGGAGCTTTGGAGCTTGTAAGTTCCTACAAGACTTTCGGGGTTGCTTGGATGTGTTTCTGCCGTCTGGACTGGGTTCTACAGTCTAGCTGTCTGCATCATGTGCCAGCGCAGCGTCACAATCGCGAGCCGGAAAAAACATGCCGGACAAGAATTCCAAACCCTAAACCCACAGCTCCTGGAACATTGCGAAGTCAGTCTTCAAACCATCTGGCCCTTTGCGAAATCAGTCTTCGAGCCACACTGTAAAATAAACATGCCGTGACTTCCCAGCTTGAAAGGACGTTTACAGCGAAACCAGGCGAAAGCCAAGCTTCACTACACATTATGGAGTATCGGTGCCCAGTGAACATAAGACCCCATTCCTAACGATCTTGCTCAGCCGGTCGCGTTCGTGGTGGTACTACTAGCATTAAACACTGTATGAGTAGACGGCTAAATTTTTCCGAATCTGCTCCTTCTCACACCCACCACCCCACACACAAACCTCCCACAACACCACCGCCGCCGCGGCCGCGACAAAAACTACCAGCACCACCGCGACCATTCTCGTAGTAGCGTTGGTAACTGCATCGGATTCGATTGACGGTCTTTCACCTAAAGCCTTACCAAGAGACCCCAAATAGTGCCTTTTTGGGATTACCTTATAGGATTCTAAATATGAACGACAAAAAGGAACTACTTTGGGGCCTTTGGGTACAGACATGAACTCCAAACCCTAAACCCCTAAACCCTAAACCCTAAACTCTAAATCCTAAACCTGAATCCTAAACCCTAAATCCCAAACCCTAAACCCTAATGCCTTACAGACATGAAGAGCGAAGTTGGGGGGGCCGGCGGCTTAGGTTGGCTTCAACTCCGGCACCAAACATTGAACTCACAAGGCAACTGAGGCCCTTAAAAGCACACCTACCCACATGCACGTATACAATAACTACATCCATACATATGTAAGTACATGTTTTTCTAAATATATCTATATATATATATATAGAGAGAGAGAGAGAGCTAGATAGTCACAAACATAGATACATAGATACATACATGCATACATACATACATACATACAGGCATGCATACATATCTTTACAGAGACGGGACAGAAAAAGCCGAGACCCCAATCCGGAACGCTGCCATGTATCCGTTGATTTCAGACTTGGGGACTGACGGCGCTCAAGACTTTCTTCCAGCATGGATGGGAACACACTGCTCCTTTCAGAGTCACCTGGGAAACCCTAAACCCTAAACCGTTAAACCCTACACCGTTAAACCCAAAACCGTTAAACCCGAAACCCTTAGCAGAGTCACTTTGGACCCGAACCTGTGCCCCGACCTGCGTGCGTCACTCGCCGGCAGTTGCAGCCTATGGTCTGTTCAGCAAGGAGGAGCAGGCGCCAGGGCAGGAGCAGTAGTAGTAGTAGTAGTTGTTGTTGTTGTTGGCGTTGTTGTTGTACTCGTGCTTGTACTGGCACTATAGTACTACTACTAGTCGCGTGAGTCGTCATCCTAGTGCTGGTGCTACTGCTGTGGTATTGATGGTGGTAGTGGTAGCTTCGTGCTGATGCTGCTGGTCGTGGTAGTGGTGGTAGTAGTGGTCGTCGTCGTGATTGTGCAGTGGCAGTGGTAGTCACTAGGGTAGCGGTATTGCTAGTGCTAGTGCAACTTCGTGGTAGGGGGTAGGGGTAGGGGTTCGGGTAGAGGTAATGGTAGTAGCAGCATGAGAAGCAGTAGTAGTCGTCGTCGTCATAGGATTAGCAGTCGTCGTCGTAGTAGCAGTAGTAGTAAGTAGTCGTCGTCGTAGTAGAAGTAATAACTTGGTAGCCGTGACAGTAGTTTATTAGTTGTAGCAGTAGCAGTTGTAGCGGTGGCAGTAGCAGCAGCAGTAGCAGTAAAGTAGCACATCAATCAGTAGTTACATTATTACAATGGTCTTGCAATAGCAGAACCTGCTGCTGCGGCACTACCGGCCGCATAGTTCCTCTGCGGAAGCCTTGCTGTTAGCGTTTCAATTTTATTGGCTTGCAGCCCAGAAATCAGGGTTGAGGGTGTATCATCTATAACTTTTAGTTATGAAGAGGAACCTGACTAAGATAGGGGCGCTAAATAATCATTAGAATAGAGTTTTGGGACCCACTATACTATAGTTATAATAAGGAGCCCCCCCAAAAATGGTATAGCTAAGTATTCAGGCCCCTGAAGTAATCGCAAACTATCCAACGCAAAAGCACCAGATGCTTGAGCGTCCTGCCGCCAGGCTTCGCCAAATCTCCTGAATCTTTGCCTTCACCTGCAATCGTAATAGGATAGGGTCTAATATGGTCTAGTAAAGGGCATATAGGACTTAGGATATGGGGTTTAGGGTAGGGTCGAATATGCTAATTTCACCCGAAATCATGCTTTGTGGGATCCGAGCACAAGTTGTGTGTTTAACTTCATGCCTCAGCAACTCATATACTCTTCTGCCAAAAGGTCCATAAGCCCGGGATTCCATCTTTCAGCGCTGTGAGCCAGATCCTCACAGACAGAGCACGATAAAGAACAACGAGGAAACAGCCCTGAGAATCCAATATCCCTTGGTTAAGGAACAGACCTTAAATCAACTTTGGGATCCTACTATAATTTAAGGTATAGTCCTTAATTAAAGGATAATTATTGGAGTCTCTGAGAGATTGCAGCAACCGCCGTGATCGCGCCAGCACTCGCCCTCTAGAAGTTGAGTTCCTGTCCTCAGCCCGGAACCCTAAGAGACCACAATGTACCCTATGCCATGAACACTACGTACACCGCCATAACAAATATTCATGTCTGACCACTATACAAGATAGCGCAATAACACTTTCTATAGTTAATAGTGACCTTGAAATGTTAGTAATAGGTCTGAAATGTTAAGGACTAGACAATAGACCCTATGTGAGCCTTCAAAGAACTTTCAATCATGACGTAAGGTCGCGAGAATCTGCCCCATCCCCGGAACCCCAAAAGCCCCATCCCCGGAACCCTAAAACCCTAAACTGAACCCCTAAAACTTTACTTAAACCCAACATACACTAAAATCCCCCGAAATCCCGTAAACCCCAAACCCTAAACCTTAAAACCCGAATTCCCTTAAACCCTAAACCCCCTAAAACCCCCGAAATCCCTGAAACCCACAACCCGAAGGCGCCTGCTGCGCCTCCCGGGCTCCTTCGGCCTGGCTCGGGCAGCGTTCAAGGGATTCCTACCCCCTAGGGCCTTAGGGTTTAGGGTTTAGGGTTCAAGGGATTCCTACCCCTTAAAGGGAACTCCAGAAAGTTGGAATATGGTTTCAGGGTAGGATACCTTATAATTTACCATAAAGGGTTTAGGATAATCATATTCCAACTTTCTGGCTTTTAATTTAGGGTTTAGGGTGTTCCTATAAAGGGTTCCTTTAAGGGATGCTAGAATATAGGGGCCTTTGATCAGAAGGACCCTTCGGGTTTAGGGTTTAGGGTCAAGGGGTTTAGGGGATTCGGGTTTAGGGCTTTAGCTCTCAGGAATGGTGTCTTGGGTTTTGAGTTGGGTTTAGACTTTAAGGGTTTGGGGTTTTAGGGTTTCCGGGATTTTGGGTTTCGGGTGCAAGGTCCAGGGTCCTAATCCGGTGAGTTACTCATTGTTGCTGAACTCGCAAGAGGAAAAAACATCTTACTTATCTTACTTTCCTGATCTGCTAGGGTTGTACATACCCGAACACAAAATTGTGTTGCGGCGAAGGAACTTCTTGTGAGGATGATGGAGATCATGTGCTGTTGATGTTAATGGTGGTGTGATACCATGGCTGGAAATGTGTACCTGCAGGGCTTGAGGCTGGAACAAAGGGGTGAGACAAACACACATGTGCCAGCCGAACAACATACGGCCGCGGCAGGAACACCCGACAATGGGCACTGAGACTGTCGATTCGTCTTTAGCAAGCTTTTACGGAGGGACTGCCCAATCTCGTCCCCCTTCCCAAGCCTCTGTGGCTAACCGCTGTCGTTCCAGGCGATGCACTTCGTCTTGACTCCCCTGGCGCAGACGTGTCTCATTGCCCGTACTTTGCATAGTTTTACACTGTCACCAGCAGCAATAGTTAGTACTCGTCGTCGTAACAGCAGTAGCAATAGTAGCAGTTGTCTTTGTTGTAGTTGTGGTGGTGGTGGTCGTGATGATGGAAGCGGAAGTGGTAGTGGTACTGGTGGGGGTAGCGATAGCGGTAGCCGTTGCGGTAGGGTAGCGGTAGCGAGGGGTAGGGGTAGGGGTCGGGGTAGGGGTCGGGGTAGGAGTAATTAGTCGTCGTCGTAGTAGTGGTGTTAGCAGTTGTCGCAATTAGTAGTGTAGTAGTAGCAGTAGTAGCAGTAGTAGCAGTAGTAGCAGTAGTAGCAGTAGTAGCAGTAGTAGCAGTAGTAGTAGTAGT